AATTGAAATAGTTTATTTTGAACACTAACATAAGAGAAATAAACCTGCAAACAGACACAGAACGAGAAATAAATCTGTTTGCATGTCTGGAGGATTAGGAAGAAGTAAAACTCATTGATCCCATCTCTTCTTTGTTATTGATCAGTCAGCTTCCCTTTTATGGCAATATATGCATTATCTTTATCTTTAAAGACAGTCCAGATTTGATTGTTTATAATAACTGCCATTGGATAATACAAATAACACATAAACAGAAACTTAATATTATTTAGATCTAAATCTAAAAGACTGATTAACCATGTTGATACACAATATGTATTTTCTGTAAAACAAATAACTTCAATTTATTCCCATTCAAGTACACATACCCACACAAATTCACATCCTGTATACAGAGAATTTAGGAGAGGAACTAGTGATCATTTGCTTGGGGTGGGGATAGAGACCTGAAACACGGTTTTGCATTATAATGCAAAAAACAATATCGATTCGACTATCGAGTCTCGAGAGTCGCCGATACTTTAAGAGGTGACATTGTGAGGTGTTCAAGGTCCAATTGGTAAAACGAGAATTCGACGAGAGTACGTTATAATATAACGTATAGACTGTATATACTACAGTCTATCGTAAATACGTTATCATGATGTGTTCAAATGTCACATTCAATAAAAAAAAGAAAAAAATTTTGTACAACAAACAATATATATACAGTGTAAAGTATATTTTACAGGTCTTTGTTATACTTCTAACAAAAGTTCTGTTCAACTAATTCTTCAACTTCTTTATTGTGGGAATAAAATTGTTGCTGCCAATTTATTTTTTACTATTCCCAGTTAAATACTATGTTGAAGGGGTTACATCTACTGTCATGTTAAGCAATTCAAGTTCTGTTAAACTCATACAATCATCTCGTCTTTTCACCAAATAGCAGATGAGAGTCTCAATAATGTTATCAGCACCTAACAATATCCATCACTGCTATTAAACATACATTAAATGTCACGGCTTATTAAAAAAATTGCAAAGAAGTGATCCAGAAAACACCAGTATTCGTAATTGGCGTTGGCTAAATTGATATTTTAATCACTGGTTTTCATTATCAGTTCCAGTAATTAATTTTCCACTGAAAAGCTACTTTTATTGTAGTATGAACCCTTTCTTTGTGTAAAACAAAAAAAAAAGAAGTAATTTCAATTAACTGTTAAAATGTGAAAACAATTTCATGAAAGATAATCATAATTACCTGCACACACTTAGACATGTTGAGATTGCAGCGCCTACTGGCAATTACATATTTTACATTTTTGCAGCTCGTTTCTCGTCTTTGATTGTGATTTTGAGATACGACTTTAACCTCAAAAAAATCCTCTGATGTGTGGGATGTCAGGTTTGTAGCTCACGGTGCCAATTAAAGTCTCTGATTATAGCTCCAAGTGGGAGGAGACCATAAAAATATAATAACTCCAAATGAAGTTAAAAGTCATATAAATATAAAATAACAGAGCAGGAAGCAGAAGGTGCTCATTAAAATCTTGGACAGGACCATAATAAGAGGGAGGAGGGAAAAAAAAAGAAAGTCTACTGGCTGTAATTAGCACACTGTCACTTGTTAGAAAGCGGCCCACGCTGGTAGCATGTCAGATCACTTCCCAACAGCATCAACCGATTGTTTTGTTGCTATTTTCAAAGCGAGTAACATCTGTGCTGGGTAATAAAGCTGAAATGGCTCAAAATTCAACAGGGACATACAGCATATCAAAGGAAAAAGCATCTATTCTCACACACACACATACGCAGCTTCTTTTATTTGGTTGGTCTGAAAACCACTGAATAAATTATCAAATTCAAAAAGCTTCACATGATGCTTTTGTGCACAGATCATGTCTTTTTATATGGATTATAAATTTGGAGGTCTGATTTCCTGCACCACTGGAGCACATCGTACCACAATGTTCTTTTATTTCCATCCCAGAAAAGTCATGTAGTTTCTTTTTTTTTTACGCTCCACACGGCACTAAATAATGAAGCAGAAATCATAAAACGTGATCGCAAAAAGGATGTCAGTGTCATCTAATGTAAAAGGCAAAATGCCTTTGAGGAGTCCTCCAAGCATGAACTCTGAATAGCTCAGCATGAGTGACAAACCTCGCAGTATTTGACGGTATTTCCAAACTAGTCTGGCTGCTGTTATCATGTGAAAACTTTATTAAATCAAGCTCCAGTCAAAACTCTTAGGATGAGCCCGACAACCCGGAGTCTAAACACAGCTCCGCTTTTATTACTTTCAAAATCTCTGAGATTTAGAGGCACATACTTTTCCCCAACTGTCGCAGATTAGCTTTAAATCTGTTCCTTTGAAATCTTAATTTTTAAAGAGGTCATTAATTGATGCGTCACAAAGCAGAGTTTTCGTGTCCCTGCCTGTTATTCACTTCAGCTCAAATACACCATTGAAGAGCACTACTAAGCTCATACTGGAGAGATTAATGAGGCTTGAAAATACAAAGATTCAGCAGTCCAATTCAACTTCCTTTGAAGGACACAGGGTGTAAAAAGCTGGGTCTCTGTGGGACATAGAAATCTGTTCTTGAATGATTGCATACTGCAGCTCTTTTTGCATGAACTTACTCCATGTACTGTGCCACCTTTGAATTACAATGTGCCTCCTGCTTGAGCTGTGATTAAAGAGGAGAAGAGGAGAGGTGAAGTGTGGCAGAGTTTTTCTAATTTTGCAATAAAAGGACATTTATTTTCTAAATATTAGTGTCAGAGTTTGTTGCATTGCAGAGAAGTTTAAACTTTAGCCATTTTAACATATGTAAGTACTCCTGAAAATTTCCAGAAAAGTTCAGGACAGCCTGCCCCTTAAGTTTTCCAAGGTTGTTAATCAATTAAAACTAACTGGTTCATATAAGGGGTCACCATAAAATTTCGCAGTTTTTTTCTTGTGGAAATTTACAGGCAGGCAGGTGAAGTTTTGGGTAAAGTCAGGAAAAAAATTGCTTTGTTACATGAAACAAATTCCATGGAATATTTCAGAAGTTTAGCGCACACGAGAAATAGATTTTAAAGGTGCTAAAGGAAAAAAATGGTAATGCCCTCCAACATTTAAACTGGTAATCTGCAGAAAGAAAAGCACTAAAACTAACAAACTTGCTTCACTGTGTCCCTCTGTGCCCTGGAGCTCCATTGTTATTAAACCACACTGTTGCACAAAGTGACACGTTCTTTAATTACTGTAAACACACACACACATGCAGAGTAGTTTATTTAAAGTCGGTCCCACTCTCACCATCCTGCTGCCAGAAATACTCAATTGGGCACCAACTGCTCCTGTATTAGTTACGCAAGCTGTAAACAACACAGCTCAGTTATTTTGGGAAATTACTGGGCCTTCACTAAAAAACAGAACCAATGATTTAGCCAGCTGCATTGAAAGAGGCTTTTTTTTTTGTTTGTTTGTTTATTGTAAGTGACAACTACTAGTGTTGAAAAATGAAGCCAATTGGAAAGTGCAACTGCAGTTCCTTTAGTGTCCACTTGAGGCAGGGTCCAAAATCTCAGGACACCCCATTAGAGCCCATATTCAAATGCTCAGAATTAAACAAAAGCTGTGTCCGAAATGGATCCCTAACCCCTATATAGGCGACGACATGAGGGTTAGTGCCATTTTGAGGGGTGTCCAAAATCTGAGTGATCAATTCCAATGCCCCATTTAGGCGACTCAAAATTTCCCGTAGAGCATTGCAAAATGTAGTGACCATCCGATGGTCATTCACAGGTGGTGGGTATCCCGTCATGCATTGCGTCTCCAGCGGCAATTTAAAGAGAGCAAGAAGAGACAGAACCCGAGCTCTATTTGCCATTTTCAGCGCAAGTTTTTTATCTTCACTTCACTCGCAAGTGATCCGTACGGTTTTCGAAAAACAATTGTTTGCTGCGTCACATAGTCAACTGCACAATATGACGCAGCAAACAATATTCAACGCGAAAATGTAGGCCTTTTAAATAAATTATTTATTTATTGTTTTTTTATTGTTTTTTTATTTCACGAACATCCTGGAAAAACAACTTCATCTATACAACATCATAAAATTCAAGAGATGTGAAAACAACAGCCGCAACTTCAGGTGCGGCAGTCTGAGCAGTGACCCCACAATTTATGTAGTTCAGAAATTGATTAGTCCGATTGAAATCACATTTAATTAAAACTTCTCATAGTTGGAAAAAAAAGACAAAAACAGTTTGATATGAATCTTTATTTAAAGACTTGAATTCTTACAGAAATAGTCATTTTAAATCAATCTTTAGTGGCTTCCATCTTTCCTATTAGAACAGTAAAACCTGTGCTGTATCACAATATCACTAACCTCAAGAACAGATTTAAGTCAATAGTATGTTTCAATGGACAAATTATCTTTAATGGGTCTTTTAGTGTCATCACAAGCATCATGCAGAAGCCACAAATCACTCTGAAAAGATCCAAAATGATGAAAAAATAAGAGAAATTACTGAACATGAGCAGATTGTGTTTAAATTTCATATAAAACACGGATTGTAATCATGTCAAACACGTCTGTATGAGGCTGAATCACTAAGAGTGAAACAGCCCCATGTTTTCTCCTTCCAGATCATTCCCTCTTATTCGCATCACTTTGACCACTGGGTCTGAGAGAAAAATACTGAATAGAGTCTGATGAGTGGCTGAGCATGATTGTACCCGGAAAAAAAGGAAATAACGAGAGAAGAAAAACATAAAGGAACAAGAATTACTCTTCAAAATAAAACATCTGAAGGCATTGCACAATTCCAAGATTGATCAGTGAGATTTTTAAGGCAAAAAAGTCGTCTAAAATACTCTTAAATAACACTTAAAGATGTCATATTACAATTATGTTTAAACCCACTGGTGCATCTCTGTTAGAAAAGTCTATCATGCAAACTTAATGCATGCTATAAAAACATCAGGATAAAACAGGATATTCATCACGAGCATTCCTTTAAACCACTTTGTTAATATAATAAGGTACAGTAAACAACTTCCATGTTGTATGTGTGAGAATGACGTGGGCGTTCACATGGCCTGGCATGCTGACACAATACCACCTTGGCAGAGTGACATGAATGCATGGATGAGTGGTGGGAGGCAGCGAGGTGTGAGCCTGCTTCATTAAAGCTCCTATGTCAGCTGGTAGCGCAGGGTTTTTGTTGTTGTTGTTGTTGTTGTTGTTTTCGTCATCGCCTTGTAGTCTCCTACACAATAAATGCTTTTGATTGTCACTCCTACACCGACTCAGCCTCAGAGGAACAGAGTTTTCACACACTGGAGGTGCATGTGACAAACACATCAGCCCAACTGCTCCAGGTTTCTTTAAGCAAACAGGTTTTTCTTCACTGATCTGAAGGTAAATCCATGGAGGCCACGGCATGGCTCTTTATTCTGAGGTATCTAAACTGTACGAGTCGAGAGAGGGAAAGCTGATCCCACGGCTCAATCCGCTGTGTGTGGTGGGAAGCTCAACTGAATCAACGCAATCAGAAAACCAGAGATAAAATCCATCAAACTGGAGGGGTGTCAGTTTGATGGAGTGCTATGGGAGTCATGAAACAGCCATATTCTAATTTGAAGAGTCCAAAAACCTGCAGTTCCTCCTGTGACCACTCGAGGCTGCCTCCTCAAGCAAAGGATACCACATACACACTGAGCCAAAAAATGGTTCTGGTCCGAGAAACTCAGGACTCCAACGGTATGAGGAGTGAATTTTTTGTTGTTAATAAGGTCACAAGATCGGCAAATCGGAGGGACAGTCAACTTGACTGACAGGCAGTTACACTGTAGCTGATTTCAAGGAGGCAAAAGGTCCGCCTCTGGTAGGTTTGGCGACTGCAGCCGATAAATTTTAAAACTCTGCTTCAGAAACAACTACGTCCAATTACTCTACAGTCTCTGCTTTAAGCCTCATGTTAAACAGGCCAGAACTTTTGTTTGCAGCCTGGAACAAAAACAAGTTTGGTGTCAGTAGCTCAAAAGTTTTTTCATGGTAGAGCTGATGTTTTTAGGCCTCCATTTTTCTGCAAGTTAAAAAGCTGACTATAATTCAGGTCAAGTCTGTAATACCGTTCAGACTGATACCAAAACAATCAAAAACACTAGCCTGAAGTTAAGTTTTTTGTTGTTGTTGTTGGTGATGTTTTTGGTTTTTTAAGTGCTCAGTTTTCGGGGGCCACAAAGTCCTTGAAGTGTCTGGGACCACCCCTCAATCCTCCCTTTCCTGGCTTTCCCTCAGTTCAAACCTGTCCCTGTTATCCCTTTTTATCCACAGGTTGTGGACCCCTCTTTGCCACCTTTTTTTCGTCTGTACCTTTCTTTCTGGGAGCTACAGTTGATCCTTTAATAAATCTCCAAAAACTGACAGGAGCACGAGATTCAGAATCATTCTCCTGATATAATCTGTCAGCTGATTTTGTATATGATGCGCTCCTAGCTGATGAAATAATGGATTGCACAGATATTTTAAAGAAAGCTCAACGTCTTGACCTCTGAAAGAACTCATGGTGAAGAAAAAGATCAGAAACCCATCTTTTAAATGTGCTTTCACTGCGATAAACACCCCGTCTGTGAAAACACCATTTCTCTGAGAAAACAAGCGAGAGAGTCGTCGTCGTCTTCACTCAACCGTCACTTTGTTATGTAAGTGTCATGCATGTTTCATATACAAATACATGTACTGGAGGTACAGTATATAAGAGAGTGTGGGTGTAAGATGAAGTTGACATCTTGTCGTGATAAATAAATGAAAGGCCCTGCCTTGTGTTTCAGGAGGAGAGTCTCAGAGTTCTGGCAGTTTGCTGCAAAGTCAACTCTCTGGAAAACACACACGCACACACGGTATATACAGAATATATACACACAAATATGTATAAAAAGACTGTTCCTGTCTGATCTGGTTCAGTCCAGTAGTTTTCAGTCCGATACCAGACACGGGACCAGTGCTACATTGTGCAATTCCACATCCCCGCTGTCATAGGGGGTCCTGCAATGATGCAACAACACAGAGGAGTACAAAATCTGTCGGACCACCCGTCCCCATCTGAGGGACCCTATTCAGTCAAACTGAATAACTTACAGCTGATCAGGAGAGAGTCTCAGTCAGCACTGAGGCGCTACACTTTGAAATCGGTCGAATTTGGCAGAAATGTTGCTACGGAGAGAATTTGCTCAGCAGGTCTGCTTTTGAACACCTCGCACACATGGAACAACATTATTATTTCACCATTCGCTTATAAAAAAATACAGGCCTGTCGTTCATGATTTAAATATGAATAACTTATATATAAACATGAATAAGGCCTGTTAGTCATGATTTAAATATGATTACAGGCCTCAGTATAAAATGTCAGAGTTATATCAGCAGTTAAGAAGCAGCATTACATACACAGTATATTGACCATTACACAAAAAGGCAAATTTGTACAGTGTATGAAAGTCTAAGAAAAGGGTTTCCAAGCAGTTTATAAGGAGACGTTTTCATTAAGCATCATCAGCCAAGAAGTATGTGGGAACTTTGAGGCGCGAGTTTAGAAAAGTGTCGTCGTAAACCGTTTTAATCGTGACTGAATAGGGCCCGAAAAGTACCGAAAGGATCTACAGTTCGCAGAAGACGGATCACAGATACAGAGTCAAACATTGAAACGCTGTTCTTCACACATTTACATGAGTCACAGGGGGGCCTCTGGCGATGGTGGCTGTGGCTGTTTCCGAGTTTGTGCTTTGCCTAAAGTTTTCCTCTACACAGAAGTGGGCTAAAACCGCGGGGCTGCATCAAGAGTTTCACCCTGAAACTTGGCTAAAAGTGACAAATGTGCAAATTACCTGCTTTAAGTTGTGTTTTTTTCCCCCCCAAGGAATACTGCCCAGAATAACCGAGCTTTGAGATCAAATACTGACCATCTGAGGGCTTCAGAGTGTTTGTAACATGCTGTTATAGAAGGGACTGGCAGCTATTGTTAGCCTGGCTTCACAACAGTTGCAGCAGATTCAGATGAGGAGCCAATGAGATCGAGTATATTTAGCAAAGTGAGGAAGTTTGATGGATTTGAACAGATTTAAACCATCGATTATGATATAGCTTGTTTTGGCATGTTTGACAGAGTGGATTTGAAAATGTAGACATGTTTGACTAAAGTTTAACCTCTTCATACATAGACATATTTTTATTTCTTGTATTTATCAGAGTCCTGAAGGATTTCACCACAGAGCGGAGAAAGCAGGGGTAAAAAAGAGACGTGGGATTGAGCCTTTGTCTTTCTCGTCTAGTCCTGTGCTGTTTGTATGAAAGGAGGCTGACCGTCTCTGTGTAAACCAAAAGCACTGACCCTAACCCTTGGATCTTGATCTTTCATATTATTTCTCTGCTGCTCAGAGTCTTTCATTTGATCTCTTTGTCTGTAACTCAGACTGGTTTATGTCTGGTTTTTTTCCACTATGGGGAATCAATTTTTGATCAAAACAACCTTTTTTGTATCACTTTTTTGACTCTATTGGATCTATAATACACTCTTGAAACAAATATCAACCTCTGCAGAGTCAGTCTAAGAGGGAGAAGATGTCGGTGTCAGAGGAATAACAGTTTTCTTTTGTTGGTTGTTACTGGCTAATCTTCGGTGGGCCCACAGACTCATCACAACCTTGGATCCTATTGGACCTTTTAATGAGCTATTTACAGCACTCTGTTAATTCTAGCTTCACTGTTATGTCTAAAGTTGTTGATCAGAGAAAGTTTTAGTTGCTATATTTGCACATTTTATTTATATAACTTAAAGCTGCAGTGAGGAATTTTTGGGTTTGTGTCAAATCTGGCGCCCCCTGTTGAGTAGATGCTCTAACGATCACGTTCTGTGTGAATAAATCTCATCCTGCTTTCTTTTAACAGTCAAATGAGTCACTTATTGTAAACGATAAAAAGTTTCCGTGGCATCCATCGCCAGTTTAAGGGGGTTCAGGTATTAAAACTGATTTTTCTTTGATTGTCAGTCTTGTTGCTGATGGATTCACTTAATTCAAAGGTCACAAAAAGATTAATCAGCATTTGTTTTAATCTGTTTTGCAGTCATTTGAAAACTCCTTACTGGGGCTTTAACTTGGACCCTCTTGAAAATGTGTTGCTGCATCTCAAAGGGCTCTCATTTAATAAAGAGAGGTTTAATGGTCATGAAATGGTAATAAATAACTAGCTGCAGAAAACAAAAGCTGCTTTTTTTCTCTAGAAGAAGCATCCAAAACTTCCTGAAGCCTTTCGACGGTGAGTGTTTGATCCAGAACTTTTGTTTTTCTGGTGAATGTTCCTTTAAGTAGATGATTAAATACATGCTACTAAACCTTAGGGGCTACTGATTATTACTGTCTTTGATAAAGACTTACAATGCTGTCGGACAAAAGTGAAAAGTCCGTTCACAGTCACCACTTTGATCCGTACGGGTAGCTGCGAAAAAGTGAAAAACCTCTTTTTCATTTTTGTTGGTGAGCTGTTTCCTGTGCAGATATTCACAGTGTGTCGCTAACACAAACGTGTGAGTCACCTGATCTGAAGCTACCAAAGTGCTATGATTCTCAATCTACAGTTTGGCAGATATCTGATGAATACTTGGTGAGAAAGGTAAAACTGTGAACTCAACAGACTTACCGAAAATCACAAGAACGCCAACATTTTGTTATTTAAATACCTTTTTTTTTTGGCAATACTGAACCAAGTGAGAGGTAGAGAGACGTTAAACAAAACAAAGAAATGCTCTGAAGTACAATGTTACCGCACGAAAATAAAGAGACTCTAACACACAGTCAGGTTCGGTAGTGAGATGTGTGTTTTTGACGTCTGGGCTTGGAGATCCACATTTCCAGAACCCACCGTGCCTGTGAACATAATCCGGTGAGAGGAGTAAGGCTTGTTCAAGTCCCTGCTGCATTTCATTGGACCAGACTCCCAGTGGAGTCAAGGCAGGTGGACGGAGCAGAAGGTGGGAAGATTTCAGGTTTCAGGTTTGCTTGTAATGGGTCATGGCAGTGGCGGAGGCGGTGGTGGGGTTCGTGTGGGAGGGACAAAGCCCTGAGTGCAAGATGACAGTGCATGCTTTTCTTCAACTAGCACATGCTCCATTTATCAAAAAAAAAACCAGATACACTTTGTAATGACGAATGTGGCGCCAGGGCCTCAAAGTTTCTTTGTACAAAGTCACAACCTCCAGTTTCTGCAGCTGAAAAATAGGAATCTGAAAGGTTTTCACATTGATCGGTATAAATGTCCTCCTGAAAAAAACCCCGCTCCAGTCCTCGGTTTTGTAAACATTTATATATTGAGAGATGAATTTGTGAAGAAGAAGAGAGGAAGTGGAAAGAGAAATCGGAAAAAGATGAAGTGCTTGAAAACAGGCCCGCATAATTTGGACCCTTTCAGTCCGAAAGCTGCAAGTGGTCGGTTTCAGTCTCGTTCTGGTGCAGATCAAACACCAGGATCCTTCAAAACCTACGAGAAGTGTCCCTCAAGAGCATCCCGCTCAAGGTTTTCCACGCCGCGCTCACCGCTCATGGCCAAACGTTCCCGAATGTGCAGCATGAGAGCGGGCGAGGTCCGCCGTGCGCTCAAAAGCTTCCAGTGAAGAGCAGGAAGAAAAAGAAGCAGAGAGAGGAGAGAGGACACCGGCAGAGTCGGCTGGCCGGAGTCCAAAACAGAAGCTCGGGCCTTTAGATTCGGCTTACCCGTCTGGTGAGGAGCGGGTGGAGAGCAGGTGGAGGGCAGGTGGTGTAGGGAGGTGGCATGGGGCCGGGTTTGATGCCTCGGGTCCTCATGTAGGAGAGGAACTGGTCTGGGATTTCAGCCAGCACCTCTTTAGCGAGGCGAGCCATGCTGAGGATGTGGTTTCCCCGCCGGTCGATGTAGTCTCTGAAAGGAACGAACTGCAGGGAGACAAGAGGGAGATTTGATTTATCAGTTTGACCTTTTATTTATCAGGAATATTTCCACTGAGAAATAAAATCCTTTTTACAAGAAAGTCCTGGACCCAGACAGGGACATAAAAGACGTTTCCCATTAAAAAAAAAAAAAACAGACAACAGATTATGAGAGGGAAAGAGAGAAGAAAAGTCCCTCTATTAAAGCATCACTGAGAGAAACCATTTCACTGTCGTATCATCGCTCGAGGGCTGATAGAAAAACAAAACCCATCACTAAAGCGCAAGAAAACCTCTCAACAGATAACAAAAGAAGAGAAGAGAGGAGGCAAGGAGGGAGGGGACAAGAGAAGGACAGAGGTATAATGAGGGGAGAGGACGCTTAAGGAAAGATGAGGAATTAGGAGATAGATGTGGAAACAAGGAGGTATGTGAGAGTGGAGAGACAAAGTGATAAGGAAGGAGGAAAGGAAATAACAAAGAAACATGACTGACAAGGAAAAGATGACACAAGTAGATAAAAAGGACAAGAAACAAGGAAAGAAGAGAGGAGGAAGCAAGGGAAGGAAGGGACAGAAAGAAGAAGAGATGTGAGACAAGAGTGTAGAGGGAACAAGGAAGGAGAAACTATGACACAAGGAAACATGGGAAGAGGAGATAAAATGAAGAGGAGAGAGAGGAAGAGGATACAAACAGGTAAGAAGAGGAAACAAGGAAATGAAAAGAGAGAGGAGATGAGAAAAAGAAGTGAGAGAGGGACAAGGAAAAGACAGAAGAGCAAGCAAGGGAAGGAAAGGAGGAAATAAAGAGTATGAGAGGAGGGAAAAGAGGTTATTTGAAGAGGAAGCAAGGGACAAAAAAGAGTAAATAAAGAAGGAAAGAGGAGACAAAGCAAGGTAAGAATGGCAGGGGACAAGGAAACATGGATGGTGGGAACAAGGACAGAAGAGAGGAAGGAACAGGGTGAGGAAAAAAGGAAAAGGGACAGAGGAAACAGAGGAAGGAGAGGAAACAACAAGATATAGAATAAGGTTGAAGAGATAAGGAGACATGGAGAAGAGAGGATAAAAACACAAGGTAAGGGAAGGAAAGGGGGAAAGAGTAAATGAAACAAAATGGAATGTGATCAAAAGAAAGGAGAGGAGATGAGAGGAGAGGAGAGAAGAGAGGAATCAGGAAGTAGGCAGAAGGGGAACCAAGGAACAAAAAGGAGTGAAGGATGACTGGAGATGAGGAAACATGGGCAAGGAAAGAGGGGAGAAAATAGGAAAGACAAGGAGAGAAAGGGAACAAGTGGAGAGGAAACAAAGGATAAGGGGGGACAAGAAAAGAAGAGAGGATGAAGGAATGAAGATGGTGAGGAGGAGACAAGGAGATAGAGTAGGAGAAAAGGGAATAAAACAGGAGACACAAGAGATAAAGACTAGAAATAATGAAGAGGGAAGGAAACAAATATGGAAAAAGGAAACAAGGAAATTAAAAAGAGGGGATAGGAAAGGAAAAATGAAACAAGGAACGAAAAGCAGTGTTAAATAGGAGGTGAGAAATAAGGAGAAAAAACAAGCGAAGGGTGGCAGTGGACAAGGAAACAAAGGAAAGGAAAGGAAAGGAAAGAACAAAGAGGAAAGAAAAGGGAGAGATGTGGTTCAGGAGTCGAGAGCGAACAAGGGGAGAAGAAACTGTGACACGAGGGTAAGAGAGCAGAGGGAGCAAAGAGGATCCACAAGAGGATAAAACAAGGAACAAAAGGAAGCAGATGGAGGAGAGGAAACAAGGAGGTGAAAACAAAGAAGAGGAAATGTAACACAAGGGGATACAAACGAGAGGAAAGACAAGAGGATTAAAATGTCAGGTGAGAGGGAGAGAAACAGGACGCACAGAATGAAAAGGACACAGAGGACGAGGTGGAGACGAGGTGGACACGGTCTAAAGGTGCGAGGCAGCATAAAGGAGGAAAAAAGGGGGAGAAAAATGGCAGACTGAGAACAAGAGCACAGCAGAGGGTCAAGCACCATGACCTTTTCCCATTAATCATAAATCCCACATTTCTCTGAGGACGTTTTGCTGAGTGAACGCTCCCACAGCCAGTCAGCCATGTCTCTACCTGAACTATGTCCCTCTCTGCGTATCGTCCTTGGGAAGAGATCCTCTCCTCGTCCCCGTCCAGCTCAATCATTTCTGCGGGAGGGAGCACACACACACACACACATACATCAGTCACGCCCAGTCAGGAGGCTCAAACCGCCGTGTCAAAGCCACACCGAGCAAACACAGCACGCAGTTTGTGCGTTTTTTTAATCTGCTGAAGCCATTAGCGTGCCACTGGGTTACATCCCCTCTGAGTGTCGATAATGCCAAACGTGGCATGAGTACACAGAATCTGCATCGCTGAGCGTGAAGCCACTGTTGCACACGACCGTGCACGCGAGCGGTAAAACATGCAAGAATGTGTGTAACAGCCAGCGCCATGCACCGCCGGGACGTCATGCAACCATGCACCCCGGCTTCATGAGCGTGATAATCCCCGAATCCCGTTGACTTTGCAGGCTAATTGCTCATCTTGAGCGAGCTTGTTTTTGCAGAGGACAACTCAGGGAACCGTAAACATGACAACACAGGAGAGAGGTGGAAAACTGGGCCATCACTTATTCAAGAGGCGGAATTACGCCTTTTCAGATTTCACAAATAAGTGAAGGAGTTTAAACGTTGGATGTCAGCAAAGATTCAGATTGTGTGCTAAACACGTGTCGGAGTAACTCAAGGAGGAGATCGCGGCTGTTGCTCTGAATGGGTTGTTTAAAAAGTCATGCAGGAATCAAGCGAGATTTGCTTTAACCGAGACTTCAACAGTTAGTTTATGTCTTACGGCACGATAGATGTAACACAGAAATGTTTTGTTCTGTTCTTTACTGCAGCGTTTAACTTTTTGGTCCTTTCCAAACATACAGGGTCAGATTTGGGGTCCAAAACCCATCCGAATAGAGAATGATAGTTTTGTGTTATGACAACAGCGGAGGAAGCTTCAAGAGAGCTTGTCAGCCTGACAACAGACAACATTTGCAAACAGGGATAAATGAGAAGCTGAGCAGGAGCTACAGGCTAATCTTAGCTGTTGCCATTACATTTGGATCATGTATCATGCCTCCAGGCCACCATAGGCTCCCCAGTTCCCAAACACACCAGTGTAAACAAACATGGCGTTTGCAAAAGAAGGCGATAATTTCATGTCTAAATGGAGCAAGAGCAAGTCAGTCGTGGAATTGGTACGACTTTGCCGTTTCGGACAAGGAGAAACCACTATTACTGTTGTCTTGTGCACTTTGAGATTTGTTTTTAAATGTAAAGAACGTAATAAATAAAATCTATTATTATTATTATTATTATTACTAAACCCCTCCAATCAGGAAATCAAATTTTTATCCCAATAATGACGTCAAAGTGATATTTATGAAAAATGTGGGAAAAAAACAAAACAAAATCAGTCAAATCAAGGAAAGGGAGGCAAGGGTGAAACAACACAACACTTCGTGAACTTTGAAAACACTCGTGAATTTTGATGTTTTCCTGTCCTACATGGTTAAAAAATGCTTTTATTTTGAAGTTTGCAACTTTTGTTTTTTTGATTAACTGTGAAATCACCAACATCCATGCGTTAAATATGGACATCCAACACATTATACATATGTAATTCAATAGGGATCGGTTTAATAGGTCTCCTTTAATGACAAATAAACAGGCAGACCACATCTGGTCTAAAAAACGGAGTATTTTCAAATCCACTTAAGCTCAGCTTTAGTGGAGGAGGAGGAGGAGGAGGGGGAGGAGAGGGGAAGAGTTGAGGAGGAAGAGAATGGGTGCAGGGAAGAAAAGAAGGTCTGAACCCTGTGGGAGGCGAGATAGGACGGAGAATGAAGGCGAAGGATTACCTCATGCAAATAAACGCACTACACAAAAGCATGCGCACACACATGCGGAGAATCTTCAACCTGCTTACCGTCGAATTCTGCCGGTCCAACCCCGACGATTATAATTGACATGGGCAGAGAGGCGGCCTGTGGAGGGTGGAGGAGACAAAATAGACACATGAAAGATGAGGGAGAAGCAACACGTGCTCGTTTCCCCTCTCCGCTATCTTAAACGCAGCAGGCTGTCAGTGAAATCACCCTGTGAATGACTAACTGTAATCAAACAGCACATAGAGAGAAAGCTCAGTGGCAAAATTCAACACCATTGTTAAGACAGACGGGGTTCATTCATTCAATTCCATCTTCCCTCCGCAGCCGCTTTAATAAAGCTCCTCATTCGGCCAGTTGTAGAGTTTTGTAATTTCATGCATCTACAACTTTGTCTAAATCTCCCAGAGCCTGACAGCTTAAAAATGACTCCCATTTACATCTCCACCCGCCCTGAGCTGCAGCTGAACTGCTGCCCTGTTTTGCAATATTGTTTATTAAATCTCAGCTGAAGTACAGTTAGAGTGATGAATGATGGGCTTTCTTTTTCATTGTTTCATAACTTCCAGTGGTTATTAGACGGACGACCAAATTGCTCGGGATACGAGGGGCATGGCCCCCCGTAGGCTGGTAAATAATTACTCCGAATCTAACTTTACAATAATGTTACATCACATGAGCGGAGGAATAACAGACAAGCGGGGCTTATGAAAAATCATCACACACATCAACTCTGATTAGAAAGCAGAGCAATCAGAGCCGGACGTGGTAGGATCAGGGGGTACATGGGGGGAGGTGGGGAAGGGAGGGTGATGAGGATGACCCCCCAACCCTCTCAGCTCATTAGAGAAGATGGGTGAAAAGAGAGACAGGGAGGAGATGAAAGAGAGAGGAGGACAGCAGCTGGACAGCTTTTCATACTCTGCCTTTCATATTGTTTGTTTGTTGCTTTATTAAAATCTTCATTAGTGACTCGATCAAAGTCGGACCACCCGGGGTCTTCACTGTCACTTATCTAAGGTAATATCGCCGTCTTGCCCTCCGATGTTTACTTGCTGATCTGTATCTAGCTGTGTTGTAGCGCTCTAGTTCAGGACTTCCTGGTTTTTCTGGACTCCTGACTTGACCTGGACTCGGGAGATGGAGAGGATGCAGACGGGAGTTATAGATGAGTTTTGTTTTCTCCTCATCCAGGAGAGTCCAGGTTCATGCTGTCCTAGTCTGGAGTGACCACAGACCACCCTGTCTGTTTTAACTAATATATAGAACTAATATATAGAATATGACGAATTGACTCTGACTTGACTCACCTCTGGAGACTCGTACTTGACCACTAATGACTTGTACTGAAGGTACGGTGAATCAGCTGGATCTCGTTACATGATCTCCTGTGTTAATGGTATGACCTGAACTGTCTATATTAGATAGATTAAAACGGGGTACTGTACATTGACGATGGACTCCTTGGTCTGCGCCATGTCTGTGATGACGCCGTCCGAGATGATGAGCAGGATGAAGTACTGTGAGCCATCTGTCACTGCTGACGCATACCTGTGAGGGGGAGGTACAAATGGTCAAATGTCAGATGAGCAAAAACAACAACTTAAACGTAGGCTGTGTCCAAAATGAATCACTCAATCCCTAACCCCTAACCCCCATATGGGATTTTACTATATAGCTGACTATGTAGTGAACTCAATTACCGGAGGTTTCAGACACTACATGGCATGATGCAATGCATGACGGGATGCCCATCACTGGTGAGTGACCATCGGATGGTCGCTACATTTTGCAATGCTTTATGGGAAATTTTGAGTCGCCCATATAGGGCACTTGAATTGATCACTGAGATTTCGGACACCCCTAAAAATGGCGCTAACCCCCATGTAGTCACCTATATAGGGGTTAGGGATCCATTTCGGACACAGCCTTAATCAATATATGTTAATACACTTAATTTCCTCTCTGCCCAATGCTGTTGCTGTGGCGACAGATCAATCACCATATACAGGAAGCCACAGAGACGCCAATCTTATTACACAAGCTTAATGGAGAGATAAGAGCGGTGGGATCAATGGCTAAATGGCTCTGTGGCGCCCCCTAGAAATTAAAGAAAATTTGTCTCCATGGAGAGTTCAATCTGGGGACGAGATTGGGACCATCTGTGTTTTGGCTGACAGAAGCCCAAACAGAGGACATGATAGTAGCCAATTCTGGTTTTACAAAGTGCGGGCGATGAAAAGTTGGTCCTAAACCAGATCAAACATGAGACCAATATTTTCTGCCTGGAAAATGAGGTGAAGATGTCAAGAGCCTTTTAAATGGAGGGAGCACAGGGTGAACAGAAATAATAGAGAGTGACATATATTTGATGTAAAGGGATAACAGTAAATATAAGGATATCATCTGGCTTTAAACCAATGATGGCAGCAGCTCTGTCATTTATAAAGAGGAAATTCTGTTTTCAAGTAATGTCAATATCAAGAGAGTATATCAAATAGCATCCCAATGAACACGACAGTCAGATCATTAGGAATTTAATCTGACATGGTTTGACCTTTTTTTTTATTTTAGTGTAAGCCACGTCTTCCCCAGTTTTAGTCAGATGCTGCTCAGAAGTGAGGTCTGAACAATGCAGCTATTCTCAGTCTGAGTGGGCGGATAACACTTTGAGAGAGAGAGAGAGAGAGAGAGAGAGAGAGAGAGAGAGAGAGAGAGAGAGAGAAAGAGAGAGAAAGAGAGAGGCTCTTAAAGCCGCTGATGAAAGGTGGGAAAAGTGCTTGTTACAGTCAGTCTTCAGGATCATGAGACATGATCTGGCAATAGGGGATGTCAGGTGGGAGTGGAGGGATTCTGTAGTACAGAGCGGCACATTAAGTTTCATCAGAGGCTGTTGGTGTAGTAATGCCAAGTGCTGCTGACAGTTTGTGGTTAACATCTACTGGACCTGTTTATTTTTCCTCTTAAATATTTAAAGTGGAGTCAGAGCGGGGTTCTGCATGTCTAATTCGTTGCACCAATAAAACTCGAACTGCACTCTGAGGCTCATTCGTGTCTCTCCCTCAGTTCCGGTTTTTAATAGTGAAGCTCTGGTGCATGTTTTCCACAATGGAGGGTGATGAAGCGCGTATTTGTAAAGTGGGAGGTGTGACATTAACATTACTCACAGCGCCGTTTCTTCTCATGTGCGGGGGATTCGTTTATTTATTTATTTATTCATTTTTATCCATCTGATGACAGCGCATCAATCAGCAGATAGGCAAATAGTGGCGCAGAGCGTACGATCGAGACCTGCTGTTTTTGTTAAGTGTCTTGAGATAACACTTGTTACAAACTGGCGCCATACAAACAATTGCTCCCTGACAGATTGATAGACTGTTCAGATTCTTAAGGACTGTTGCAGCTGCTGCATGACTCCAATAAATCATCAGGAATCAGGAAAAGGCTGTTTTCTTGTAGCAGAGTTACAGTTCTTTTTAGCTTTGCCTGATTTCTTTAGCAAAGAGACCAAACACAACTCTCCCACTCTCGGGGCACACAAGTAATAATCATAAATGTTCTTCCTTGAGCTGCGAAACTCCACTGCACTCGGTGATTGACTTATCAGGGCTCCCCCACAAATAAGGGGTTGCTGGAGGAGAGTGGGAGGGCTGTGTTTGGTCTATTTGCTATAAAATAAACCAACACATTTTTTCACTTTGTTTCATAACATGCTTAAAACTCCTCTCAGGAGCCTCAACTTCTATCATTCACGATCGATTTCCAATTTTATTTTGGGCTCTTTATAAAAAAAAAAGAGAGAAAAGCTCCTGGGTTTGAAAGTCTCTGTTCAATGAAACAGTGAACCTGTTCATTTCAGATCTGCGTCACCAATCATTATGTTTAAAACCCCTCTGTATTCACACTTTCAGATGCAGCGCTCTGACTCTCTAGCTGATGCTCTTAATAGTAGAGAGGTGAGAGTGAAGTTGACTCATCACCACCATCATCATCATCATCATCATCTTTCCTTTCTGCTCAGCTGCTTAGCTGGTTTGATATTTGTATTGGTGTAGGTGTGAAATACCAATTTAGATGTTGTACCTCAGCTGTTGAGCAGTCACCCACCCACCCACCACTGCTGCTCTACTACCCGAATGTAAACAAGCACAGCTGATGGAGGATGATGACGTTGGGTTAAGTTGTCTGTAAGCTGTGTCTGGTTATAACCACTCAATTAGAGCAATAATTAACCTGCTAGTGTTAGCCACTCTCTGAAATTAAACATTATTTACCCACAGACTCTATGATCCTGTGTTGAATACATTATGCCAATTTTTCAGTTTCCTGAGTATTTTCTTTCCTTTAGTAAAGTTTAAAAACATCAAAGTCCAAATTTATATTTTCATTCACACCTTAATGTCTCTGTGATTCTCTCATATTGACTCTTTTTTAATTTTTCTTTTCATTAACTGGTCATTTTGCCTTTTTTTTAATCAAAAAGGGGAAAAAAATATGGCTTGATTGAAGTTCTTGGGGACGTTTCACCTCCTCTGATGAGCCTCTTTAGTTCAGAAGAAACCTGTAACATCTTCAAGAACTTAAACCAAGTCCAGCCGCCCTTTGGATTTAGCCTTGGATTACTGTGATCTGGATAAGTGAGGACCCACAAAGACTTGTTGTGAATGTGATTTATGATGGGCCCCCTTTAAAAACAAGACACCAAATCTCGAAAACATGATCAAAATCAGAACAAAGGGCATCTTGTGTCAGTGCTCTCAGAGTATTTCCAGACTGTGCACTCTGTAATATAAACAAATGCTGAATTAAATCCACTACTGGAAAGGCACTGGGCAACAGAGATAAGAGAAACGTCATGGTAACAGGCAAGAACCTAAAGCATATCAAGATAAAGACAGAAACAAATCAAGAAACCAAGATGTGCGAACAGAGACCAAAACCCACCAGAGAAGGAACTGACTCCTCTGAAGAGCTGCTAAAACGTCTCTTTATATCAGACATTACCGAGATCTTTGAACACTGTGTATTTTTCTGCATGGTGTCTGCAAGTCTGCCAGCCTACACATGTTCCCTGTATCCCCGGCTGTGATTATAGTGGACCTACCTGGCCACATGGTTAATAACAGGGGAGAAGTGGGTGGGTCCGTACAGACGCACAGATTTGAGACTCTGGTAATAGGCCTCCATCACCCCCTCGATACCGTTGCAGTATGGGTTCTGTGGATTACCATTCTGCAGAAAAACAACAACAGAAAACATCAAAAGATGCGGTAGAAAAACGCTACAATTCATCAGATAAAGAAGAAGAAGATGTTGTCCAAACGATCAATATATCAGATAGGACCTCGGGGTAGTTTGGCCTCTTGAATCATGATTGTGGGGAAACGGTTTTTAAATAGATCTGTGATCAGAGCAGAGCAAAGCTCCACAGAGCCATAATCATCCATCTTTACAACCTCGTGCTCATTGCAGTTTGGGTTTAACAAGGCTAGAGGGAGCGAGATGAATTTGATAGGTGGGGTGAGTGTTTTGGTACCAGTGATGAAATTAAATTCAATAATACAGTATAAGGCAAGGGAGACTGATCTCTATACAAGAGCAAAGTGAGGAGGGTACTTTAAAATCCTATCTGGTTTGTTGAATTTGATTGAAGTAGGAGTAGTTACACCCAAGACCTTTGCACTACCATGCTACAAATCTCAGAAACCAATAGCAAATGCTGTTGCTGTGGCGACAAATCAATCGCCATAAACAGGAAGTGATTTTATCAGGGCCTGAACAAACATGTGGAGACGCCAATCTTGATACACGTGAGCTCAGTGAAGGAATAAGAGGGCTGATAGTAATTTTATCTGCAGGCATGGCTGAATCGCTTTGTAGCGCCCCTTACAAATTCAAGGAAATTAGCCCCTATAGAACGTTCAATGTTTTTGAGATGTACTCTGACATTCGTGAAACAAAAACTGCCTGTATGGCTTCATTTCACCTTTGGAAACTCAACCAGAGACTCAGTTTAAGGGCCTGTGTCCACAGTCAGCACCTATTCTTTAAACAAAACCAACAAAATTCCTTTTCTGTGCTTCTTGTTGCCTTCAAAATAAATTGTTTTTAGGGAAGTCCCAATACAGTTTTGATCTTGGATATCGGTCTGATATCAGCAAAGCCTGCATTTAAAATCACCGATTTCAGCACTCTGATAGAAGCTGTCCGTTCCAGACTCTGCTCCGGCACCTCTATCTAGCAGCGCCTGGATCCAGCATGCAGAGTCCAGGTGATCACAACAACAGTGTGTACTAATGTACTAACAAAGCTGCAAGAGAGTAGGAGTGATGTCGGCAGTGTGGCAGTATTTTTTGTTTGAGTCCAAAAAAGACGTCGCAGCTGAGTGCAAAACTTTTCATGCACAATTTTGTGCCAATATCGGATCAGTATTGATATTGGCCAGAACTCAAGGCTACAATATCAACATCCAATCGGAAGTAAAAAACGTTTTATCGGGGCACTCCTATTGTTTTTGTCACTGAGCTCACGGCACCCTGAGTTAGAAAAAGTGCAGCTGGAACACGATACACTCGCCAGTGTCACTTCTCCATCACTAGCTCTTCAAAATCAAGATGGAGCAGGACGGCTTTGTCAACAATAATGGTGGAGGTCTGTATGAAAAGGAAAGTGACTCCACCTTCTTTTCTTTAGGTTCTGGTGATGCTGTGAAACAGTCTTTAAGATATGGCACATACAGGGAACAATAGAGGGGCGACTGGAAGCACTCTAAAATATAGGGGAGCTGTTAGTGGACACAGGCCCTTAACTAATATTGACATTCCTTTCATGGATGCACTTTGAAAATTAGTTTTATATTTGTAATAATAGACGAGTAGGAGCTCCAGTGACTCTGGGGAAATTAATGCATTTACTGTATCTTTAAAGCAGCTGCATCACAATTCAAGTTTATTTCCTCAGAAAGTGTGAAGGGAGCTTTTGTTCTTCTCTAATCTCACTTTATCAAATGAAACTCCTCTTTTCAGTCCTATGGTAAAAGAAGAGACACTGGTCTCCTTTTCTGTCGTCTCAGATTGATCAAGCTTTGCTTTGTGTTGCTGGAAATCTATAAAAAGCAGATCTCACATTCTGAGATCAAGCGTTAGTCCGTCTCCTTCAGGATGATGCTTAATGTTTGGAGTATTTTCAGCCACTTTCCTGCTTTATACGCATCAGCATCTCACAGCTTACACAGTGTGACAGTGAATTGATGTCAGCCAGCTAATATTTTGAAAAATGTGCTAATTACATTCTGGGGTAATTAGAATATGTTGCTTACTCTCTGTTTTTGTGCTGCACTGGGAAGCTACGCACATTGTAACATCATGCATCTTTTCTATAATTACATTCAGGTTAGCTTGTCCTGATAAATGCAGAGACAAAGCAGCTAAAAGCAATAACAAAGCAGCGAGTCCCTGAAGGAGAAGATAAAAAAAGAAGATTTGTAGACTTTATTTTCTTTTATGAGAGGAGGGCTGGGTAGAATTACATTTTATTTTCAAAACAGGCATGTTTTGGCTGCAAATTGCAGAATAACAGGATTACAAGCATACTCAAGGAGATCAGAAATGGCCACCCCAGGGCCTCAGCATCAGTTATACCCCAATATCATCAGAAAATATTACCCAGTGCGAGAGGCACTGGAGGGTTTCAAGCCCCCTGAGGATGCAGAATCCAATCTTACGTTGGAGATATAACAAACATTTTAAAGAAATGTGGACGGTAAAAATCTTCCATTGCAGCCTTTGAGTCAAGAATATCCTGAGGGGGGCAATTTTACATTTTTAACTCAGCATGAGGGATGGATACCAGGGGAGGCATCTCGGTAAAACCTAATGGGTTAGATACTTTTGGTCTAGCAAAAAAGGGTAAAATGAAGAAAAAACATCTTTGCCTTGGAGTAGCTGTCTTCTAAGTTTGTCTGTTTAGAGCTGTCTTTTTATCGCTCTTTTGGTTTTGATATATTGACATTATTATGCATGACATTATTATATTATTTAAGCTGTCCATATGTTTCTGGGCTTTCCAATTAACTCAGTAGGAAAACATCTTGGCTAACTGTGCCTGGTCGCCCATGAGTACGAGTAGGGCTCATGAGATTTCTCTGCTGTTTAAATGGAGCTTGTATAATCAGGTTGGATTCAGTGGTGGCTTTGTCCCACTGCGGCGTCACAGCTGCAGTCCTCCTCCTTAAGAGCTGAATAAGTTAAGTCCTTAATGCTTAGATTAATGTGTGCCTTGTCTCAGGGTCTGGTGCCTCTGGGGAGGCTGTTACTCCACACTGAGCAGATGTAATGGCTGTAAACGCCTCTGGAGACACAGCTGGGAGTCTGATAGTAGATCAAGAGAAGAGGGTACGGGAGACTATAGGATGGATGGATGGATGGATGAGCAAAGCATGCATGGACAAGTGGTTTGTAAGATAGGAGAGATGGATGTTAGATGATCGGGAGAACGATCTATGAGGTAGTTATGTTTGGATGCAAAGATGGGTGGATGGTGGAAGGATAGATTGAAAGATTGCTGGATGAACAGATAGATGGTTGGATGATGAATGGATGAACTGAAGTACAGATGGATAAATGATGTGTTGATTTGTGAGAGGATGGATGGATGGATGGATGGATGGATGGAAAGAAAAAAACTGGTCTGATGGATTAACTGATTGATTGATAGATAAAAAGATGGCAGAAAGTTATAAAAGGTAAATGTTTCGTTGGTGGATGGATGGATGGATGGATGGAAGGTTGGATGAAGTAAAGAACTGATAGTTTGTCAGATGATGGATGATCAGTGCAATGAATGGATAGATGGCTAGGTGGATGGAGGCAAAGATGGATGGAAATTAGGGGTATTAGTAAGTTGGTCTGTTGGTTGGTTGGATGGATGGATGGATGGATGGATGGATGGATGGATGGATGGATGGATGGATGGATGGGCAGAAAGACGCTGGTCTGATGGATTAATTGATAGATTGTTGTTCGATAGATGAAAAGGTGGCAGAAAGTTGTGAAGGATGAATGTTTCGATGGATGGATGGATGGATGGATGGATGGATGGATGGATGGATGGATGGAGTAATAATGGTGAAAAAAATAAATTGACAGATAGATAGTTTCACCCTCTGTGGATGTCTGTGTCATACTGTAAACTGCCACCATGCTGTGGTATAACAGTTTCAAGTAAAACAACACAGAACAGGGCATTAAAAAGAACCATATAAAGGGTTTGCACGGCTGTTCGTCGTGTTTGTTTGCAGCTCAAACCTGAGCAGCTTCTTTTGCTTTTCATCACCAGTCTGTGTGGGCTGTTTGTCTGATTTGTTTATGTTTGTGGTCCACAATGCCCTCCATCCACCTACACGGCTGCTGCCTGTAATTGGTCATCTGTGTACAAAAGCATCTGGAAACATAGGTTTTGTTTATTTTACGCTTCTCTCACAAACTTTCCATCATGCTTTAACAAACACGAGGGCTAAACTTCACTCCGACGGTGACAGAGGAGCCATTAAAAGTTTATTCTCAGCCGTTTGAGGAAAAGTGAAATGTTATCCTGCCAGGTTTTTCTTTTTACCACCAGTCTTAAAGTTAATGCTGTTTGAAATTAGCACCATATTTCACCTCATACAGGTAAATAAATGTCTCAGTAAATTCCCTTCTGCCTTTATCACACTGTTCCCACATTGTTCTCGATGGTCCTGTGAAGCTGCTGTAGAGTCTTATCTTACCAGTATACTATTTCTTTGATAAATCCACAGTTCCAGATATATCTGAGCACTGTTAACAGAGGCAGGACATGACAGCTGTCTTGGTATTGTGCAGTGAGCTATAAAAGTGAGTACCGCAAATTTCTGGTCAAATCTGACCTCGTAAAGACTGACAGCCTTTGCCAGTGTTTCCTGCAGATGCGTGATCGTGTTTGGATCTGTAACTGCATGATTTGCATGTGTATTTGAATGTTGCATGGATTAAATAAGAGGGAAAATTTGCCTCCTCACCAGGGCAAACTCGTGTGAGACTCTCCCGTCTGGGGGAAGCTTGGCACCGAATCCCAGCGCAGGAAACAACTTGTCACTGTCGTAGTCCTGGATGATCTCCCCGACTGCCCGCAGCGCCATGGCGTAGTCATTCAGCTGGTATGGGCTCATGTAATGGAGCGAGGTGGGCTGCGACGGGTTGCCTGAGACCCGGATGGTTCAACACAATAACACACACACACACACACACATCAGCATCAAACTGTAATTATGCCTGCTCCCCCTGGGCTGTGAGTCATATTAAATAAAAAAAAGGAGGGGAGTGGGTGGAAGGGGGTTAAAACGCAGACTGGAGTTTTAGTTACACAAACATTTCTTCAAGGCACAGCTGCATCAGAGGCAGAAATATTCTCACTGGGTGCCTCAAACCTCAGAGGACGGGCGTGAGGAAGCGTGGTTTGACAGAGGAGCTTTGTAACATGAAGCCGTTTCTGCAATTTAGCAGCTACATTAATAAGATGATGAGAAACGGTGGCTTTCTGAGCCAACAAAATCCTCGCCCCCACAGTCAGAAATGAAGGAATCAGCGAACAGGTGGGTGTTTTGTGATGAAAACTTCAAATGAGATCGACTTTCCTTTACATGCAGAGGCAAGAACCTGTTTACTATATCTGTAGAAATGACTTGAATGTAACGATTTCTCTGTTTAGATGCTGAAATTTTAAAAAGGGATAACTGAGTGTTGGACTCAGTTTATTATATGAGCCTCAAATAACAGGTCACAAGCTGAATATACAGTTTTTAAATACATTAAAGGGATATTCCGGCATAAATTTAAGTTGAAACACACTGTAACAGCAATTTAGACACCCCCTCAAGAGATGAATGTTGCCGACTGCTTGCTTCTCTACTTATACCGACTTTTACCACACAATAGCACTACACACACGCAAAGCTCAACCAAAAAGCCACTCTATAGCCACAAACAATACACAGAACAGCACCTATCTTCATCAACAGTACATGTAGGGTCCTAGCCATAGTACTAACCATCTTTAGCAAAGAGACTTAACACACCTCACCCACTCTCCTCCAGCAGCCACTTGTTTGTGGGGGAGCCCTGATGAGTCGAGTGCAGTGGATCATTTCCATGAAGTGATAATCATCATAATAATCATTTTGCACTGCAGACGCGGTAGTTCTTCGGCCTCAGCGTCTCGGTCTGATTGAATTTCCATGAAGTAATAATCATAAATGTTCTTCCTTGAGCTGCGAAACTCCGCTGCACTAAGTGATCGACTCGTCAGGGCATCAGTGTTACTGATGGAGGATGAGCATGAGATTTTTGTCCGACCTTCACCTCTTATCACTTTGCTGATTTTATTCTGGGTGGTGATTTTTGTTTGTTTCTCCTAAAATGTCAAAGTTATCCCTGATTAAGACTTTTCTCCTTTGCCTGCAGACTTTGCTGCACTAACTTACCCAGCGGCGTTGGTTTCAGACATTCAAAATAATTGTTTCTGTATCATCAAGCATCAGGATTTTGGTTGCGGTTGCTTTTGTAGCTCATTAAGAGGCTAGAGTGTGTGTTTCAGACTGTTTATTAACAGTCGCTTTAATGTGGCGTACATATTAAAATTGTTAGAAACCATTTTTAGCTCCAGGTAAAAACAACTAATAGAGCAATCAAACTCCAAAAAAAGTTTTGTGGAGGATAGTTAAAACAAACTCCAGCTCCCTTTTCGATCATAATGAAGAAATGAGTCATCAGGTGAAACTATTTTGATTTATATCGCTAATTGGTGCTTTTTTAAGCATGTTTGTGCTCTTCGACACAGAAGACTGAGATAAATAAGGTAACGACTTGTTACTGGGCTGGTGCTTTACTCTGAACATGCTAAAAAAACAAAAAAGAAGAACTAAAGGCAGTTAACTCCCTCTTTGGTTGTTCCTATATGAGCATGTGGAGCCTTAAGACAAATTTCTGCAATAATGTAATCGTGTGCATAATATCGCTATCAGTGCAGCCGCTCTCACAGACGGGGATGTGGGAAACTGATTTGATGGCAGTAATGAAAGCCATCCATTTCTCCTAATGTCTCCAGAACTGTATTACAAATATGAACTTACTGAATCATCTTTTACCAAAATGAGAACGCTGCTCATCTGTGACAAAGTCTGCACACAAAGAATAGCTTGTTTTTGTTTGTTCCTTTGTCGTTAAACTGTTGTCTCAGACTAATGTACAGCTGTTTATCTGCGGGGCTTCGTAAACACACACTACATTCGGAGGTCTAATTCGAAGAATGTGGGCGTGGGGTGCTCCGTGTCTGCACTGAGGCGCAAACTGAACAAATTACGGGTAATGAAAAACATCAATCTGAACTCAAGATGATGTTCCGAATAAATGTCAAACTTTTTTGTCTTCCTGTCTCCAGCTGAGCAAAAACAGGTCATGAGAGTAGGGCAATTAAAACGTACTGATAAGGAATCACTTAAGTCCTAAACTCAAATAAAGATCTGAGTGTTACCCATCAAAGTTTTATCTGTTCGATACACTTTAGAGATTGAATTGATAGGAGCAAAGGCTTGAAACACTCACCGTTTGATGCTGTGAAATCAATTGCCACCGTGAAATTAATCTGAGTCCTACAGGAGAAAATAAATCACGTCAGGGCTAACATGGAATCATCAATCACGCTGGATTATACCACAGCGTGTTTCAAAGCATGCAGCGGCGAGCAATTAAACAGCAGGTTATCAGCAGCTGTCTGTCTAAATATTGAAGCTAATAGTGCTGTAATCCTCTGTGCAGATTCTACACTAACAGTGAGAGACTCACATATATACTGGCATTTACCGCAGACTTACCCGCCTCTGATGTAGTCCAGGAAGGAGAGCTCAGTGTCCACCAGGCAGGACAGGAGGGTCACCTGCCAGGTAACACAGGGGAAAGACAGTGTTGGTATAAATGGTGCAAATAGTCATGCTGCTTAAGTGGAGCTGTTGGGTCCTTCTTGCTGCATGAGATCTATCGAAGTCGCAAGACGTCATGTGTAGCTGTTTTATGGAAATGCACGTTAATCCAAATACATGCACATCCCTCAAAATCTTACAGATCTCGAGGTTAAAAGCTTCCCTATAATTCTAGTATGAGATGACAGCGGTTCAGCTTGAATCCTTCTGCAGGAGTGCGTACTGTGATGAGATGCATGTGTGTTGCTTTAATGATATGCCCTCAGTCAGAATATCCGAGATATGTTATGATAATAAATCCCAGAAAAACCAGTTCGAAGCATCGCCCAGAAATCCATCTGAGCCCAGAGGCTAAAACCTGCTCCTGGGTCTCTGTTGCATCCAAGTCTCAATTGAGAACATGGCAGACTAGACTGGAGGTTTTACTATGGCTCACACTTTTTGCACAGAGACACAGAAACAGAGCATTTCTATTTTACTGTCCTGTGCTACTTTGGTTTTAAAAATAAAATATGTAATTATTCTCACCGTTCCTGAGTTTTGGTACTTTTTCTTCTTCTTCCCTTTCTTCTTTGGATTTAGCACCTGTGGAGAAAAAACACCAGTTTTAATCATCTTTATGATGTCTCGGTGAGCAGCAGGTGACAAAGTGGCAGCCAGAGGTCTGAATTCATGTCTTCTCCTGGGTTTAATCTTCACATACTGTTTCACAAAAATACCCCGACGGATGATGTAAGAAATATCAAATTCATTTTGTCAGTGAAGCCTTCGTAAACCAAACAGAGGAAACTCCAGGGATTCAGCAGTTACCACAAGTACTATTTCTAATGCTTCTATTACAAGGATACTACTCCATCCTCTACGACTACTTCAACCACTGCCACCATCACTACTTTTACTCCTACTTCTACTTCTATTTCTGTGATACCACAACACTACTGCCTCTACTACAGCCACTGTTACCGTGACTACTTCTTTGACCAGTACTACTTCTACTACTACTATTACAAGAATAGTTATTCATCCAGTACTTCTACCAATGCAACTTTTACCACTTAAACTTTTTCTTTAACTTTTTTCACATGACTGCAACTACAAATACTTTTACCACTGTTACTCTCACCCCTAGCACTACTTAGACCTCCACCACCACCACCACCTCTACTACTTTAACTTGCTACTGCAATTACTAATTCACCAATAATAATCACAGTATGATGTAATTTTGCGTAATTTGTAACTCTTTTTGAAACAGTTCTGAAAGAAGTCAGCAGACACTCCATTACGGCTCAGGTGAAGAATGTCAGGAAGTCCAGAGAGCTGTCAAGTTGATATCATGTGCGGACAGCGCTATGGCGAGCGCGCTGCCTTCTTATCTTCACAGAAGATGATTTAAGTCATGCTTCACAGGCATCTTTGCTGACCTTTAACCTTCAGTGGTCTACGGTGTGCTCACACACAGCCGGTGCAGAAGTTAATGGTCTGCTCACTGAGCTGCAGGTTAATCTTGAAGGAGGACTCAGAAGTCGGTCTTTAAAGGAAATGGCATCAGCTCTGTATTCTGACCAGACTGGAGAGTTAACCTCCTTTTACAAAGTCAGCGTATAACTGCTGACCTATTCCTGTGTTTCAGCTGAGGCAGAGCACTTCTAATGATTTGAATCAAAATATTGATCAGAGAGGAGGTTCTACATTTAATTTTTGTGTGTAAGAGCTTCAAAATCAATAAAAAAAAACCTCCTGAATAAGTATGATGCAGGGGCTGTATTCCCAAATTGAATAAAACCAGTTCACCTTGGCGATATCTGGCAGTACTTAGACTGTGTGCGTCTCATTCTGAATGAGCTGACCAATGTAATGTCCTGTAACGTGGATCCACACGGGAATATCAAAAAGCACTGGATCAATCTGCTCCAAGACCTTGATGGAGGCATTCGTAAAAGACAAAGAAACACGAGGCACAACGGAGGCATGAGGTGTTCACCAGAGGAGGAGAGAGGAGTTTGGTCCACATAATTGGGAGAAACAGCTTTATACTCACGCCTCCTCTATTATGTTTTTTTTTTTTTTCCTGGGCTCATGGAGACTCTGCACTGTGTGGGCGAAAGTTTTAATACAAGCCGTGAGTTCAGCTTGTGCCTGTGACGCAATTAAACACCAAGCAAAGGCTAATAATCTGTGTATTACAGTCCCCAGGGACGACACAGCGAGATATGAGGCCGGGTTTTATGAAGACAAAACCTTATAAAAAATATATTGATTTAAATATCTCCATTCAGAGGAGGCACAAGCAACAATAACATTGTTTTTTTTCACTGTGTGAGAAGATATTTTTTCTCATGCTGTGTCTCATGATGTTACACAATACGATGTAATCCCATATGATATAACACGACACGTTATGATACATTATGATATGTTAAGTTACGATACGTTACGATACTATACAAGGTGTGATTAAAAAGAATGACATATGATATGTTACCACAACATAATATACAAGATGACACATGATATTACACAATGTGATGTTACCTTAAGATATGATGTCACACAATACTATGTAATTGCATATGCTACGACATGAACCCATGTGATACATTGCGTTACATTAAGATGCGATACGTTACAATACAATACGATACTATACAATGTGTGATTAGATAGAATGACATATGTTACCATGAGATAACTTTATGTACGATACAATACAATATAATGTGTCAAGTCATGGTTTGATGCAATTTGATATTTCCTTTGCAACACGATGACCAAATATGGTAAAAATGTTTGAGATACATTAAATAGAAAAAGATCTTAAAAAAAAAAAAACATTTTCAAACATTTTTCCATCTGCAGCAGAGCAGCGCACCAGAAGGGATTATCATTTCTCTATTTCTGACTTTGTGCTACTTTTTCCCACCCTTATCATCTCTCTGACTTTACTCTCCTTTTTCCACATCCTCCCTTCACCGTATCTGTCCCATCACCCATCCACCCTTTAGGTTCTGAGGTTTAATTGAGTTTATGCCGACCAAAGTCCCCCTCTGTTACTGACCCGGCCAGATATTTCTATCCCCTTTGAGTTGATCCCACTTCTGAAACTGCTCCTGATAACATGAGAATATTACGGGTCTGAGTATTAGCTTTAGCTCTCTGCTGAACGCGGCTCTCAAGAGTTCACATTGTGTAATTAGACATGAATAGGCCAAGGACATGGCTTTGTGTCACTTTTACGTAACTTTGAGGGCTTAAAAGGAGGAGCATGTTTAGCCATTTTTAGTGCTTTCTGCTCTCCCTCTCTCTCTCTCCTTTGGGCGAACTGTTTCATCTTTTATTTTGATGTCATGTTATGGACACGTTAATAGGTATAGCCGTGTGTTTTGTGCGCTCTCACCTCATAGATGTGGAACTGTGACTGGCTTCTGGACATTTCTCTGTAGCTGGTGCTGAACTCCCCGATGAAGTCGTGGCTGGAAAGCAAACACATGAATCACATTCCTCTGAGCGTAAGAAAGAGCTACAAACTCATAATAAGATCAACAAACGCCTGCCTGAGAAGCGCAGATTCGACTAGCGTCTTTGTAGTTCATTCACTTTGTCGGTAAAGACCTCTTCAAAGTGCAGCAGGAAGAATCAGCAGTTTCACTAACAAGCTCCTTAGTTACTGCAGTCGTGGGTGTAGCAACCAATTTCATAATTTCATGGAGATAATCAGCACGGTCAGACGCAGGGTCAGAAATATATCGCGGCTCGAGGCAAAATGTCCTTGAAATAAAACAAAAAATGCAGCCGTCAAAATAATAAGGGGCAAACCGTGGCCCTGAATACTGGGAACTCACTTTTCTTTGAAGATAAACACTCTCTTTATTTCCTGAACCGACTCTGTTAAGTTATCTGTCGGGGGACCCTTTGAGTATTAATAGTTAATGTATATTTAGAGCCACAGAGAATGATGTCAAACTGAGACATTTCTCTGCTCTCTGACAGTGACAAACAAGAGGCCGGATAAGGACAGTCATTTTGGAGGGCGGTTGCGGCAATAATCTCCTGGGTCCTCCCCTAGTTTGCACACATGCTCTTAAATTTTCTGGGTTTTTATCTTTATGTTGAAAAATGGTGGATTTCAACTATTTCTACTCTTCCCCTGAGCATCCTTTAAGACAGTACAGTATCAGAGAAAGAATGAGCACCATCCCCTTACCCTCCATCTCTGTCCCAGTCGTACACCTCCACCTTAATGCTCCTGTGGAAAAGGACAAAAGGGACAAAGGGAAGGAGAGAAAATCCCATTAAAAACCAATTAGCATCCATTAGATTTCCAGTCTCTCTGCTTAAAAAGGAGGCAGCAGGTCCAAGGAAGGCTGGAGCCTTAAGTGGTCAAGCCTATATAGTGCAGAGAGCCTTATTTTAGGTTGGTTGTTCTGTGAGCTATTAACAGATAAAAATATACAGAAGAATAACACAACCTTTAGTTCTACTGCGATGACCATTAAGACTCTATTTTGGGGGGATACTCAACATAAGTATGCTGTAACAGGACTCAAGGTGGAGGAGAAGGTTCCTCTTAACCTGCAGAAGCACTATATTCATTAAATTTGCATTATAAAGGCTGTACTGGATCCATCACAGCTGTCAGAGGAATTGATTTTTCTTGTCCCACTTTTACAGTATGATCATATAAATAAAATCTTACATGAGAAATCCTTGAAACGGTTAGCAGTTGGAAAAAAAAAGTTGCAGGTTGAAAATTGGTGATAGTGTTCCCAAGATATAGGCTGGCGTTTATGTCGTCCTTTTAACTGTTGGTGTCAGGTTAGTGAACATGCATGAAGAGGAGACGCCACAGGGAAGTCGGACGGCTCAAAATTGATTTAAAGTTTTCACTTGTTTTTTTTTGTTTGTTTTGTTTTTTAAATATTTTTTTGGGCGTTTTTTGCTTTTTATTGATAAGATAGAGTGAAATGTGGGGAAATAGAGGGACGGAGGAGGACATGCAGCACAAGGCAAGGGCGGGAAGCGAACCCACGATTGCTGTCCCCATACATGGGGCGCGCTGACCCGCTCGGCCATCTGCGCACCCCAGAAGTTTTCACTTTTAAAGCTCGTCTGAATTGCATTTTGTGGTCATTCAAAAGTTGAGCCTCAAACCTGAAGGCGATTTTTCCCCTCGACTTTTGAACGACCCAATTTTTCAATTTCTTTTAAATCCAATGATGTTAAGTTTTCACACTAAACATCTCACTTAAATCAGCGTCTTCTCTTTTATTCCAGATTTAACTGACAGTCTACACGCTCTTATCCAGTCCAGCGCAGAGATCTGGAGGCTACTCTTTCAGGCTTTCTGGTCATGAACACAAAGATAACCCGCTGCGTAAAATCAAATTAAATAGCGATGAATCTCAAGGACATATTCCACATCCGTTTCCCCTTCTCCCTGTTTTTATTACTCTGCTGTTTCCACGTTTACATGAAGAACACATGCATCATCATCCGTCTGTGGCAACATCATCAGGGAAATGTCAGTGCTCCTCCTGTACCTGTCATAGTCTCCGTTACACAGCGCCCTGACAGGAATCTTAAAAGCCTGCCACACCGGGTCCAGAGTGTTCTTCACCACCTCTGTCTTGTGGCAGATGGTAAACCTGGGAGGCAGAAAAAAAGCTGTTACCAGGTGAGAAATCTACCTTTGAATGTAACTTAAGCTACATTTGGTGATCTCCTTTTGTTGTCAAGAATCATGTAGAAAAAAAAACAGGGTATAAGTGCTCTGGCTGGGCTTTGTTGGTATCTGTGTTGATTGACAGCAAGTAGCAGACCGTGAGAGAGCTGCTGTTATACGGTGGACACATTATAAAGTGACATTTACTGTCCTTGTAAAATATGTGTCACTGTGAGCTCAGGGACTGGAAACGCTCCCTGTTAACTGGAGAGTGAACTTCTTATTACAGAGCTTTTCTCTATTAATTTCTGAGTGGGATTTTCTATCATTAATTATTATTGAGAAAGAAAAATGGAAACACTTTATTTTAACGGACAATAAATACAGTTATGGGCCCTTATATGACTATGAGGCTTTAATAAGTTTTATAAGTGATCATAAACATTCATAAGAGCTGATGAGGTGTTATTAGTGAGCGTGATAACCTATAACGCTAGGATTTACAATGTTTTATAACTTAAAATAAAAATAACAAAAGCATCTTTTTAATTTGGGGTTTTATTACATGTTGGGGTCTGGGATGCTGATAGCTCATCTCCACATGTAGCTGAAAAAAAGCAAACTGCACAAAGTTCATGGTTGTGTTTGGGCTTAAATATCATAACCACTAGGGGTGGGCAAATGTATTAATTTTTTCGATGTATTGCAATGCCACATGTGACAATCAATTTTGTTTAAAGACCCACTCCAATTAAAATCATGTTTTTCTTGTTGTCTACATGTTCATATGGCATTTTTCTAATGCTACAGGACATAAAATGAGAAAAGTAAGCGCAAAATTGCAATTCAGAGTATTTCTGCATTCAAATTGCTGTGAATCTCTGGCAGACCCAAACGGCAGGTTCAGACACAGTGAGATTTCCTAGGTCACAACTCCAAGCTCCGCCCCTGAAGCCCTACCATGCAGGCCAGACTCAGAGAAGTAGTGAGGACGATCGCAGAAAATGCGTGTGCAATGCTCGTAAAAAAGCTAATTATGCTAATGCGCTACTGGATCTCTGCAGAATAAAAGCCCTTGAAAATGACACAGGCTAAAGACCTCATAATCACAGTTTAAAAACCACTGATAACACTTTAAGTAGCAAAAGAAAACGATCAGAGTTGGACTTAGGCAAATGTTCAAAAATCGTTTATTTCCCATGACAATAAAATTAGAGAGAAACTTGGAGGTTGGCCGCAACAAAAATAGCCCCTGGACAGTTTTAAGGAACAGACTCATAACATACTGTTAGCCAACACAGCGGAAGCTAACTTGCTTGCTCCTGTCACTGAGCGCGGGGGTCACACTCCTGGATTTTTGCGTTTGAAATTCAACATATAGGAGACATTTCCTGTCGAGGATTTCATTCATTCTGTTCTCATTCTGTTCATCCACCACTTATTATACTTTGTCTAATGAATGTTACCAAATGTGCCTTGTTTAAAAGAAATCCTGTATGGAGAAAAAGATGCATTGATAATTGTGATATTCGTAATAACTGTTTAATAATCGAATCAGAGCACCCTGAATCATCATCGAATCAGATTATGAGGTGCCAAAGATGTCACACCCCCTAATACGCACAATATGCTTTGTGAATCCAACCCTGAGTAGGAGGAGATAGCCGAGCAACTCTTGGTGCCATCAGCAGCTGCAACCCATTTTCAGTGTCCACATTGTCCTGATGGAAGTTACACCTTCACGTCACCTAAAACACAAACTGTATGTGTTGTTTTTGGTGGTTTCATATTCCCTGTATGTGCAGAGCAGCGAGGAGCTCCTCATTTCAGTTGGACTTCAGGGGTCAAAATAAACCCAAAGTGCAGCTCTTCTCTTTGTTATTTGAGAAAGTGTAAGGTTAAAAATCTTTCATAAAGGATTATCTTTGGCTAAAATAACCGCTTCCTGCTCTTTTTTCTGCGTGGCACCTAGCCTGGCTCCTCTTAACTGTGGCGTGCGGCTGTTCAACCCCGCGGCTGAACATTTAGGCTGCTTCAGTAAATACCCAGCTGCACAAAGAGAGAATGTGTGTCTTCTTTAAGACGCTCAAGTCAACTTGAATAAAAGCTTCTTCAGGGCAGAAGAAACTGTGACCTCGGCATACTGTTTTCACTTAACTCAATCTTATCCATCCTTTCTCCCTTTCTATTCCTCTTGTCAGCTCGGATCTATTATCTGCGCTCAGCCCTCCTTCTGCTGCTTTCTCCTGTTAGCGGCTGGCCGCCATAAGTCACATATAGTACAGCTTTGAGAATTACATAACATCACATAGGCAGTTTAGACCTTATATTCTCTGTATGGAGGCTTTTTAGAGCATGAAATATCCCACTCAAAGTCTATATGCATCTCAGGCGTCTTTACATGCTGCGTATGAGTGTTTTTGTGTGTCAGCGTGAGATGGCTGCGCCTCATAATCCAGCAAATTGATGTCTGAATAAACCAAGGGGAAGCAGCTTGTCAACTTACGATCCGTCTTCGTTACTGCGGTAAAAGACGAGGAAAGGATCTGATTTCCCGAAGAAATCCTTCTTGTCCAGTTTGTTGCCACAAAACTGCAGCATCACCGACTCCTGAAAACAAGAGGAGGAAAAACAAAGTGTGGATGTTAGGGCGGCCTGGGGTCTCCAGAAACTGCAGAAACATACAGAGTCAGAGGGTTTCTCTCCGTCAGGTCTGTCCGTTTCCATCCGGGCAATCTTCATGTACAGATTCTGCATGAAAGTGTGCAGGTGCAGGTGTACACACATGACCAAATACAGGTATGTGTTTGGTCATGTGTGCAGAGAAACAGCTACGAACACCAAATCTGAAATTTAAACTTAATTCATTGCATTTTGTTGAATATTTATGATGCTTAATATTAACATTCACTCACAAACCGAACATATGATAACATCAAATTACTGTAATGGTTCCATATCATGTTATAAAAGTGCCCCTAGACTCTTAAAGTTCCCTCCAGATACTCTTTAACTGTATTATACTGACAGAAGGTCACTTTTTTAACACTTTTTTTATATTGGAAAGCATCTAGAGGGAACTTTTTGTGCACTTCTATGTTATATTTACTGGAAGGGCATCCAGAGGGCGACTTTTACATCTATAGGGCAACATTCATCGTTCATGACAGCAGCAAACATCACATTTCTTAAGCACTTGTCATGGTGTTTGTCCAAGAATAACACACTTTGACAGTGTTTTTTCAGTATGACAGCACCAGAGGAAGTGATCTCACCCCAAGTACACCACTGCCATACATTGATTTGGACCTCATCAATACCTTTGAACAGCTATCTTTACTAACTGTATAATCAATAACCCCTTAGGCGTTGTTTCTGAGCACAAACTCCAGTCTTAACTATATAGACAGAAAAAAATAGAAGGAGCTGAAAAAGGAAATCCAGACCAGAATTTCTTTACACAGACTACGCAGGAAGCCACACCGACGTATCTGTCACCTCCAGAAGCAATCACAGAGTCACCTGATAGCTGATGATCCCCCAGTGAACCCTGAGATGTTATTTATTTGAGGGATAAACAATATCAAGTTTGAATATCACAATCTCATTTTCGTGTCCCAGGATGTCAGATGTCAGTCATGTGACCTGAGACGAGTCATGCTGTCTCACTTAACCACAAAAATCTGTAACTGAGCGCGACAGCATTTAATAAAAAAATAAATAAAAAACTAAAGTGATTCATTAAATTTAAAAATTAATAACAATCAAATCTCAAAAAAAATAAAAAAAAACAGCAAAAGGGCAAAAATTTGGCCTAATTTTAAAAGATTTCATTAAAACATGAAAGTATTTTATAAAAAAGGTAAACGATTAAGACTTTTATTTTTAATTTAACGAGCATAAAATATTTTGTGATTTACTTTTTGTGACCTGAAACTTTTTTCACATTTCAGGAAAACAGAGTTTCCCTAAATTTCTTTTACATTTATTAAAATTTTTTACCAGTTTGGTTTCATGGTGTCTTTTTAAATTTTGTGTTTTATTTTTAAATTTCATTGAACTATTTTGTGTTTTTCTTTTATGTTTGAGTGCTTCATGAATGTTTGTGAGGTTTACCTTCAGGGCCACCGTAGTCAACACAACTCCTGTGCGTAGATTCTCTGTGTCACCTGACAGCTTTGCTACCGTCGCAGATGTTACAAACAAGTTGAATTTTGATACCGCTAACATCCGAATAATAAAAGATCCTCGTTGAACTTGACTAATTTGGATCTTTTCACCCTCTCGCAGCTGTGGGAGCCGTGATTGAAATGTTTGATTTTCCTGCCACCAAAACAAAGATTAAATCAAAATCATCAGGCTTCATTTTACCCCGCAATACTCTCGACTCTGACTCATTATTACCATGACATCCTCTTAAATCTATAATTAATGATGTGCAAGGATTCAGACTCAATTAAGTGTTTGTAATTACGTTTTCTATTGCTTTGGATTTCTTTGTTCTACTTCTTCATTAAACTATTTTCTTTGTTTTCTCCGTTTGCTGTTGGAAAGCGCCCAGAAAAACAGATGTCAGACTTCTGCGCCAACTTCTTCAGCACATACATATTGTATGAGCAGAGACGTCAGGAGTGAAATGGATGCCTCTGCCTCTTTTACAATAGTTTTCTCTCCTCGTGCTGGTTCGATATGTTAGTGCGAAATGACAGCTCGGGGCCATTCCTCTGTGATTTGAAGGGAAGGACACCAGAAAGTGACATTCACCCTCCCATGTTTTTATCTCAGACAGGAATAGGAAGAAAAAAAATGCCCTCACACTTCACTGCAAACACCTTGTTTGGGGAATGATGCATCTAGAGGGAGCGAGAACACAATTGAAAATAAAATAGGCTGAGAAACGAGAGGTCATTTCTCAGATTTCACTGTTTTTTTATTACCGTGTCGAAAAATCTCATTTTTTTTCTCCATTAGTCAGAAAGAAAGATTTAAATCAGAGTGAAGCTCATAAGAAGTCAGCTGAAAAAAACAGCTCTCTCTACTCGAGCTGACAGCTGGAAACATGAACAAAAGTTGTGATTTTTTCTGCTGACAGAGGTGATAAAATAAACCACCTCAGAGTAAATCTTCAGGTTTACACTTTAACTCATGACGTGTTAAAGTGAGGCAGTTTCTTATCTGTAACAGAGCTCACTGTCGCTTCTCTTTGGGGTGTCTTAAGAAAACATGAATTTAGATCATCCATTTATTTCTAAAAAGTCCCTATAGTTTTCTTAAATCCATACAAAAGCGTGTATTTCCCCATGAACGGAGCTGCCTTAGTGCTTTTATTTTGAAGGGTCATGTGATTTCTACTCCCACCATCGCTCTGTATGAGGGAACCCCAAGCACCCAGTGAGAACCAAGAGGGCGGATGCAACAGCCACACATGCACCGCACTGATTTGTTGTTTATTTTCTTGCATACGGCTGCTTTTTATTACATAAACACATTATTTTCTTTTTAAGTTAAAAATCTTCCATCCAGCTTCATCGCTCTGCAGCAGACCCGATGTTAGAAACATACTTGGCCTGTCGCTCACACACATATAATGGCATGTTTTAGAAAAAAGGCTCAGATCTCACTTTCATGATGAGTTAAAGTTTTAGTTTTTTAGCTTGTTTGAGTCAAATTCTGCTTCATTTCACTTCTAAAAAATGATATTACTTTTAAATGTGGTCACAAGAAGAAGACATCTGCATACTTTTTGAAAGGGTAGGAGGTGGAGGCATGTCATCCTTCTCTATAAACAGTTATGTGCACAATCGTTTGTCCACAAGGAGGCACCCAAACTGACACAAACCAAAAGTTGCTCACAGGAGCTTTAACTAAAACAGAGCACAAGTTTGTCAGAGTTTTTGTCCCGTCAATGACTTGTTTTCCTGGGAAAAAAAGTTCCTCATAAACATATTTTAACATTTTTATTATGACTTCAGTCAAAGTTTGGAGCGCAGGATGAGTTTAGAGTCATCAGAAGAAAAAAATCAAAATGAATCAAGAAGAAATCAAAGATTTCTCTTACCCTGCAGTTGCTCAGCTCCTCGGCCCTCACTATGATGGTGCCACATTTCTTCCCCGGGATCCCACTAGAAGAACAAAGTATAAAACAGTCAGGCAGAAGTTTAAAAAAAGAGAAAATAAGAGGAAGAAAAAACACAGAGATTCAATTATCTCCCTCTTTTGGTCTTTTGGTCTAACAAGCATTGATATAACTTCACACACGCGGTCAAGTTTGGTTTTATCTGCCAAACTCAAACTGTAAACTGATTCATGTCGATGATAAATTTGCAAACATGCATTGAACCAGCTCTTGCGTCGTCTTCGTTTTCTTCAGCCCACAAATTAAAAAAAAAAAAAACCTGCAATCTAAAGTTAGCGATAATAAACTTTATACAAAGATTATTATGATTCGGAGGTTAAAATGTCAGCTGATTGCAGAATTCTGTTGACTGAGACCCCTGCAGACCTGCAATCAAATTCCCCGTTTTCCAGTCTTTCTCACATTTACATTCAGCGCCTGATTGTGCAAATAAATATTAATTAATGCACGATGAAGACCTTCATAAAAGACCGTGAAACAACAACGGCACAGCCAGTGACATTTCAGCAGCAATGTTTGTTTACATCCTGAGCTGGCGAGGCGTAACATTCAGCCAATAAAGCCAAGGGCGACTGACCACTAAAAATAGACCCAATGAATGCTGCAAACCCCGGGCCTAAACCAGAACGAGGAGGAGGAGGAGGAGGGGGAGGAGGAGGAGAGATCATTTCATTTGGGTGAGTGCTGTCCAGTCATAACAGACAGACAGACAGACAGACAGACAGACAGACAGACAGACAGTCAAACTGAAAGAGACGTGGAGAAACTGATGGCAAATTGATGCAAGGTTTTGATACTCCCCATCCGCCTGCCTGCCCGCCCGTCACCTGAGACACACAGCTGTCCTTTGATGCAAAGAGACGAATTCATAGATGTTAATTTATGATAGAAGCAGAGAGATCACTCACTGAGGGGGGTGGGGCTGACAGAGGCAAAAACGGCAAAGACGGAGTACGCTGAAGGAGGGGGAAACCTCAATGCAAGGTTTCCAATCATGTTCTCAGATGGATTTCCCTGATGAGTTCAGAGTCAGTATTTTACATATGCATTTCGATTCCCTATAAAAGAAAAATCCAATCAGACCTCCTTGACTGTTTTCTGCAGACCCACACTGACACCCTCTCTGAAGCAAACACCGTTTTGTCGGATTATTCTCGAACCTCCCTGTTAGTCCGTCTGATTTATGAGTTTGTTTTCTCAGCAATTTCTTACTAACTATCTGGTGTTACTTGTTTTTTATTTTTTAACTGCTCTCTGTTCTGCTTCACAAAAACATTAAAACCATTTTTGGATCATCGATGAGGACGGTATAAACAAAAGGTTTGGATTATGTAGAATACAGATAGTTAATTCTCATTATAAATTAGAGTTGTCATGATATCAAAATTTCACCTCATAATTATGATACCCATGAAATATTAAAATAAGGGAATTATTGTGATATTTATGGAAAAGCGGGACATTACTCCATAAACGTAACTTATTAACACAATTAACATAAACGTCCTCATCCGTTTATTTTTAATATCAAAGTTACGATTTCAGCTCTGTACGTGAAGGAAACACTGGCCCATAACATTTGTCTGTCATGCTTTTATTTTGAAAGAATTTCCGTTTCATTAAGGTTGTTTTATTTAGTACATTGTGAAAGTATGCTTTTATTTTGAAAAATGTTCAGTTTCTTTGAGGTTGTTTTATTTTTTACAATTTTTACAATACAACAACTATGCTTTTATTTTGAAGTTTGTTATTTCTGTTAGATAAGAGAATAGAAAGAACAAATGTGGGGCGCTTGGGCCTAGCAGTCTAATTTTGGGTGCCAGGAACCCTTTTTTTGTTCCCACGGTATCGAATCAGGTACAAAATACCAAGTTCCTCTACTGTTCTCTTGAATATGAAAACTCTGATGTGAAATAACAGGATTATTTGGGATAATTCTCAATGGTAGTATGAGTAGTGATGGAGAAAATACGACTAAACGTCCCGTTTTAAAGCTGTAGCTACATTAGACCCTTTTACTTTTACCACACCGTACAGCATTTCCTGTCTTAGCATGTGTTGACATGTTAACCAGGACCAGCCAGCGAGTAGTTTCAGGCTTGTTTTTGACAATGACGGATGATAACACCGCTCTGTCTGAATATGTGAGGTCACTTTCTGTCCGGGACCGAGGCTGTTGGTTGAATAAGTTCAGCTGAGGAAAGGGAGCGGACCAGCTGACCTGTACACTCACTCAGGAGATAAATAATTCACCAGGACTGCCACCGGTGAGATGGCTGGCTGGACATAGAAAAACAAAGTGTGTATAGTAAGGACAATATGAGGGTGTGTAGGACCTTGGATGTCTATGTTTATGGTTGATTACAATCAGGACAAATTAACCGTTTCCTCCTGTTTGTTTTGCTGACAAGAGAAATCCAAGTTTCCTCTTAACTCCTCCTCAATTAATCTCTTTATTTATACAGCGCCGATTCACAGCAAGTGTTATCCAAGACCAAGTCACAGTGGAGAAGAAAGACTCCCTTTAACAGGCAGAAACCTTGACTGATGTTAGAATGTCATCTGCTGAAACTGCACTGGGTTTAGAGAGGGAAGAGGGCGATGGAGATAGAGAGAGATGGACGGAAGAGGGACTAAAGAGGGAGATGCAGCAGCAATCCAGAGGAACCTACGGCATGACGGAGCTCAGGGACTCAGCGTCTTTTCATTGGCGGCTAGTATCTGGTAGGGATGTCCCAATCCAATATGATATCGGATATCGATATCGGCATGCAGAGCCCATGTGATCATAACAACAGTGTGTACTAAGGTACAAACAAAGTAGCAAGGAGTAGGAGTGATGTCAGCAGTGTGGCAGTACTTTTCATTAAAGTCTGAAAGACTAGCAGCTGAGTGAAAAACTAGTCATGCACAAGTTTGTGCCAAAATCGTTTTACAATTTTAAAATTGATTTTTTTTTTTTCAAATTTAAGAATAAATCTCAAAAACTGACTTGCATGTGATGTGTATTTTCTGGGGGAAATATGGTTCCTGGAATAGTCAGTAGACAATCATCATCATTCAACTGTTTCACTGGTGTTAAAAATACAGACCAAAAATCGAGAAAATCGACAATATCGTAGAATCGCAATTCAAATCGAATTGGCATCCAAAAAATCATAGAAGAATCGAATCGTGAGAAAAGCATATCGTCCCAGCCCTAATAATGATATCTTATCGGAAGTAAAAAGCTGTATCGGGACACCCTTGGTATCCGGTAGAGTTTTGGTTTTGGGACATCACCTTTACCCCTTCTATTTTGGCAACAAACAGAACTGAAAGGGAACACCTTAGATTGGCTTGTGTTGGCTTCTACCCTGAGATGGCGATGTGTGTTTGCCTCCTTTGAACCCACAATATTTTTTACTCGAGGTGATCATACCTGCACATGTCTACTACCTCCTACAATTAGTGTTGGCTGTTTTTGCTTGCTCAGCTATCTATTTCTCTGTCAATAGCAACTAACCTCTGTGTCTGCAAATACAGCGTGAACACAACATTGATAAAAAAATACTCCTATTGGGAAACAGTTGACACAGTGTTTGGTATTGTACCATCTAACAGCAATTATCTGTCCGACAATGAGGTTGTAATTGATGGTCATTTAGCAGCTTTGTAAGAGAGTAATGTGTTTTTTTTTTTGTTTGTTTCGTGAACTCTCTCCTCAGCTACAAACAACAACGTGACATAATCTTACAAAGGAGCGTGTTGTTACTCGGCCGTCTTTATTCTCCTGATCCGCCTCCACTCCACTGAGCACAAGTGTGATATGTTTGACTCAGAGCAAGTTTCTTTTTGCTCGTTTCATCGAGACTGAACAGGGTGAAAACACAAACACACACACACACACACGGCTGCAAACTTTCAAACTCCACCGAGCATCATGGGAAAATAAAGAACATCTAAAAATAACTCCGCACTGAAATAAAAAGCTAAAAATAAAACACGCAGGTACACGCACAAACACACACACAAAAAACGAGGTTTCTGAGTGAATGACTGGAGGCAGAGGTGATTACATAACGCGGCGGCGGCAACACCTCTTACATCATATTTCTTGTGTCATTCTTCAGCAGACCCATTCAGCTCTAACCACTCATTGATTCTGCTCACATTTACACACACACACACACTGATAGAGACAGACAGTCGTGATGTGGATGTTAGGCCAGAATAGTCGCCCCCCTCTCTTTCTCTCTCTCTCTTTCTTTCACTCTGTTTCTCCTCACAAACACACACACTTACACACAATCACACACACATTGACTGGTCCAGTGTGTGTCAGGGGACAAGGCGAGGGTCAGACTACTGATGGCTGGCTGCCCGGGAGGAAAACAAAAGCAACAACAAATTGTTCTCTTCAGTGAGCTCAAGAAAGATGTTGCATCGCCGCTGTGTGTGTTAAGACGACAGTTACAGCTGCTGAGATGATAACAAACACACACACAACATCACTGTTATCAATACACGCGATAAGGCGATGCTTTCAAACTGTTAATAGGTCCACAACCAGCTCACATAACCACTGAGACTTCCACCAGATCTGTCTTCGCTCCCTCTCTGCCCTGATGCAGTTGCATGTTCCCAGATATCAGCCAATGCCGTGTGGGGTTAGAGTGATGTGGGTGCATGCAGTGTTTGAACCATCAACCATCTTGTTCAGAGCTAATAAGTGAGGAAATGTGATTTAGGTTGTTATGGCTAAAAGAAAGGTAGAGTTGGGTGTCGTCTGCATATAAATGAGATCAATGTTGTGACTATGGATCACATTTCCAGATATAGAAAACAGGAGTGGTCCCAGAATCGATCCCTGAGGTACCCCACAGGTTAAATCACCACTACATGACTGTGAGTTTCCTATGGCAACACTAAAGGACCTCCCACATACAGTCCACACACTACTGGACTAGAATGTGCCCTCTGGGTGGAGTCTCTCACATTTTCAGAATCGGCTACGATCCAGAAAACCTTTTAGTTTCGTTGCTAAAATTACTACATGAGCTTAAAGGCTGTTCAGTCAGCTTAAGACACCAAGACTTCCTGATCGTATTTTGGAATCTGAGATTGGGCGGCCATCATGATTCGGTTTAGGCAAAAAAACTTCTTCAATAGGCAAATCCACCAAAGTACTTAGATTAGAGCAGTATTACCTTTTGGTCGGACTGAAGCATCCAGAATACCAGTTTTTTTTTTCTTAAATACTTTCTACGAGCGATAAAAAGAAGTGTCCATTTCCTTTAGATCAAACTGTTTGTTGATGACATTCGCCTTTTTGTGCGTAGCTTATCTTATCTCTTAAGTTCCTTACACACCGGGGCCGACGCAAATATAGAACATGAAATTACGAAATATTCAGAGGAGAATTTTGACGCGCCTGACCATACAGATAATTGCACGAAAAAAACGGTCCCGGTATGAAAGGACCTTCAGCTTATCAAAAGTTCTTTCTTTCCTTAGGCTAACCAAATAACTTTTTAAGAAGGTTTTTCTTTTTTTATTTATTGCTTACACTTTGAAAACACAGGAGAAGTGAAAGAGAATAAGCAGCAAATATGAATTCTCTCATGAATTTCCTGCAGGTTTAATCACGGCTTTGCTATCAACAGCAGTGCAGAGCAAAAATCAGACGTTTATTCATGTAAAACTCTCTCTGGGATTATTTCTCCAGGGTTCAGTTGATGCTTCACTTCGGTTTAAGCTTCTTCATAAAATGAGCTGAGCGCTCACTGCTGACATCTACCCTTTGGGTGAACTGTCCCTTTTCACTTCACACTGTTTACCATCTCCACATGTTTACAGTCTGTCATTAGGCCCTGCTGCTGTTTAACTACTCATTTCATTCTGCTGATGAAGACAGTGCACGCTGTCATCGCCGTCTTCCCTCATTTTCATGCTTTTCCTTCCCGGCACTTCAAAGATGAACGCTCGCAAATGATCTTAAAATAACCTGCTGATTTTCAATCCATGTGACTGAATCGAACAGAGCCTGAAATCAAAGCGCGAGCCAAAACAGCTTTCAGTGCCACTCGGTGATAGTTGCTCTCTGATTAGAGTCGTGCAATACAAACCAAAAGGCTTTCAATTATGTGAGTGTAATTTTTTTAAAAAGCAGGGTGTGTGTTTGTCTGCGCGGTAACAAACTTACATCAAAGGTTTTTCCAGGCGACTCCCCAGGGAGCCGACGATTTCACCGAGCGTGCAGAACGCCTGGCCCAGGAAGTCCTGAATGAGAGAGAAACATACAAACACATGAAACACCGAGAGAGGAAGGATGAAAAGGTTTACGTCTTCAGTTGCAGAGAGGGAAATTCAATACAATTTCTAAATATTTCATCATTTGGCATATCCTCTTATTTCATAATGCATATATTATATATTATATAAGGCAAACTTGAGGGGAAAATGCCATTTTTGTTGTTCTGGGCAGCTTGCAGAGTCCACCACCCACAGTGAGTGAGATGCCTTCTGCTTGCTTGAGGCTCTGAGTGAATTACACCTTTAAATCATTACAGAAAACCAGTCATGGTGTTTTTACTAAAGTTTGGACCTGATGGGAATTTACACTTTGGCTTCGGTGTGTTTACGAAACCATTCATTGTCAAGCACAGGAACTGTCTTTGTCTGTAAGACGATAAGGTTATGAATGATTTCTTCCTCCCAACCTCTTAAAAGTTTTAAGGGCGATGATTTTCCAAGTGGCTCCCTGCAGATATAGTAGATTGTACTGACTTCAAACTTGGTGGGAAGGTCCCCTGAGGCTTATGAGGAGGGTGTGACAAAACTGATCCTGACTGATCAAGTCTGTTTGACCAAAAATTTAATGCTATGAGTTAAAATCGATTTTAAATCATAATTGGATTTTTGATTATGAGGATGTTAAAAATATTAAATTCGTCACATCGATTTTCCTCTCTATCATGTTTCGCGCCTCCAGGCCACCGTAGGCTCCCCCCTTTCCTGTGGGAGTGCTCCCCAGTTCCTGCACACACCAGTGTAAACAAACATGGCGATTACAAAAGGAGGGCATTATTTCGCGGCTAAATAGGGCAAGAGCAAGTCAGTCGTGTGGAATTGGTATGGTTGCACTTTTGCACAAAGAACAAACCACTCCCCGCTGCAAAGTCTGTCTGAAGGTGGTATCAACCCGCCCGCACAGAAACAAATTCAGGAATAAATGCGGAAGATTTTTGTTGTACTGGCATTTCATCCACACGGAAACGGCGTAACGGGTGACTTTAAATGGTACTTTTTGAAAACGGGTCAGAGAGTGCATAAATCTGTAAACCAATACCGTTTTATCTCCGTGTGGATGCCTATCTGTATCTCTGGAAATGATTATGTGACTCTTTTATGGCGTCTGCGCGTGTCCGGTCAAATCAACCATGCTCCCTACTCTTCTTCTGCTTTTTTGTGCATTTCCTTGGCAGTGTTACAGCGCCACTTACTGACTTGGCATATGCACTACATTGTTTTCAGTGGTTTCATTTTGAAAGATGATAAAAAAAACTTTTTATTTAAATGAAGATTGAATAAAAAATTGAAATCGGGTTTCAGAGAGAAAAATTTGGATTTTATCTTTGGCCAAAATCGTGCAGCCCTAGTATAAGTTCTATATCTCCAGGTTAGCAGGTTGTACACAAATGAGGTTGAGACTAGTGTGTTCAGAGCGCAACTTCGTCCCAAGTTTATATGACCTTTGGTTACTGAAATATCAGCCAAAATGGTCCCCCATTGTAAATTGGTCTGGAAGCCAAAATTGCATCTAGGAGCATGTTTCAAACCATTCTGGGCTGGTTGGACATGGTTTCAGAGGAAGTAATTTTTTCCTCCTGTTTCAGACCATTGGGGGTTTGGTGTTGCTAGCTGGAGGTTGAAGGACGGTAGTTGGAAGTGTGTAGGTCAACTCAGTCCTTTCTCATATCTTAATAAAAGGAAACCAAAATACTGCTGGGGCATCCACAATTTCAGAACAACCCCCTCTGTTCCTGACTTCCTATAAACCCGATGTTAAATCTCTGTAGTAATAGCTTTAGTTTTTTCTTTTAATATTACATAATCAGGGGTTATGAACAGAAGCACACTTTTCCAGATGTTTGAAAGAAGTCGAGGTTGAATGTGTTATTCTGTCTGGACATCCTGCTCTTTAAGACTCCCTCCAGGAAAAACTCATGGCACAGACGGCAAAATTAGTCTCACATCTGGTCCAATTTGGTCTGCAAATAAAAAAAAAGAAACGAAAGAAAGAAAAAAGAGCTAAACCACTCCCCAAGCAGCTCATCATCCATGGGAAGGTGAGATTTTACTCATTAGGCTTTGGAGTACAGTTTCTGCAGCAGGGGCGTGCTTGTTTTCAGGCCTCATTAGTGTAATTTCAGATCTATGTTTGGCTCAGCCCTCTTATTCTATTCACTATATCTGATGATCAAATTGAAGGAGATGTCGGGTAATGTGATTCCCTGATACATCACACATCAAATAAGACGTTTCTTTTAAATGTCGGGCTGAACAGGCAGCTTCAAAAAGCTCGACTGGTTTCAATATTTGTGTTCCAGGAAATGAAGAGAGTCAGATTTCATGTGCTTGGCCTCCTTTCTCCGTCAATGAAGAGTTGATTTCACACACTGGCTCATAAATCCAGTGTGTGAAGGATTTTGCGCCCTTGTTGATCACTGTAGGGCGACCGCACTTGAAGACTCCGTTTGGGAAAGTAAAAGCCTCTGAGCAGTAAGAGGAGCAAAGAGAGAAGGGAGGGCTGTGAAAATGTGCTCATAACAGGCAAGGAAATACTGTTCACGCTCCAGTACTGAGGCCTCCCCTGCCAGATTGTGTATGCATGTGTGCGTAAGAAGGCATGCATGTATATGTGTATATGAGACAGTGTGTATATGTGTGTGCAGAACAGCTTGACAGATGAGCCGTGTTGAGTCCGGCGGGCAGAAAGCTGCTCCAAAGATCTTTGCCGGTACTTCTCCCCCCAGTCGAGGTCTTGAAACAAAAAGAGATGACAAATAAAAAAGCTCTGGCCTTTCCAGAAGAAGTGTGCTGCTAGCTAGCAAACCCAAACCTAATCTCGGGGCCAGAGGCTCAGGCGCCTCCGATTAAAAGGCTCAGAGGTGGCAGAGAACAGAGGTTAGGAGGGCGACCCCCCAGTAACACAGATCACTACAGAACAGCAGGAGTCCTTTAGGCTCTCTGATCACAGGACCTCTGATCCAGAGATGAAGATCTAAGTGTTTCAGACAGTTTAAATCATTTAAATGTGACACTGGAAGTAACAATATGAGCTTACTAGAGTTCCCTAAAGTGTCCTTTCAAACCATGCCTAACACTCAGATATAACAGATCTGCCATTTGTGCTTGTTTTCATCCAGGTAGTAGAGAATTAAGGTAACCATGGCAACAGATAAACCTGAACTACAGCCTCAGATAATGGTGGGCAGCCACACTAAAGATAAGACAGCAAACAACAGGTACTTCAGGCCTTCAGCAGTGAGAATGATGACATGTAACACATTTAATTCCCCGTTTGAAAGCTTTTTTCGTGAAAATCTTAAAGCTATTCTTGATTAAACCAAATGTATCTACTTTAAATCATCTCAAAATGTTGTCCTTGAGTCTGGCCAACAGTGCAGACTGAAATATCTCCCTTGAATCAAAGTAAAATCCCTGTTTAGTTATTTCAGAGTGGAGACAGATAGTTAAATTAAAGCAGGGTTGCTGAACTCTCTTTAAAATCAAATTTAGAACTTTTTAAGACCCTAAAAAAGTTTTATTCTCCTCTCCTCTTTAAATGGTGATTTGTAAATATGTACGGACTAAGCGGCCATAAATGCAGGATTTGTCATGTGAACAAGCAAATTCACTAAAAAAAACAACAAAAACAAAACTTATGCCTTTCCAAACCTTTACGATGTCTTAAACTTTAAAAATCCAATTTAAAACTCTTAAAGACCTTTCAAGGATCTGCAGGAACCCTGATTGGCGTGTACAGACTTTATTTCAATAAAATTAAAGGTTTTGTTTCTTATGACTCACATAAAGTAGTTACCGCTGCTTTCTCTGATTAAACAAACCATTTATCTGCGTTTCAGACGGTTTGCTTGGAAACAGGAGGTTCATTATTAAACATTTCACAAGTAAAAAAAAAGCAAAGCTTGCGGAAAAGAAATAATGATACCCTAGGAGCAATTGTAAATTTAATAAGGGGGAGTAAAATTTTGCAGTAAAATCCTGACTGCTTCAAATAGTCATGAAGAAACACACTCGGTTAAGTTAATGACTGTGTGCAAACAAAGAAGCCATTTCCCTGCCTGAGCTCCCCCGCTGATCAAGTTTAAAATAATAAAGAAAAACTTTGAAATGAGATTTCTGTTTGGAGGAAGCTGATTGGTGCAGAAAGACATAAAAAACCAGACTGAAAGGGTTTCTTTTGCATTGAAGGAAGATAAGGAGTCATTAATTCCATTTACTACATGCTCTGTTTATGCACATCCCCTCCTTCGTATCTGCTGAAGGTATGGAAACCATATGGTGCGAGAAAAAACATCTGCTGTGGTGGGAGGAAAAAGCAACCTCTCAAACACTTCTACTGAAGCTGCCAACAGAGATGCTGTACTTGTGAGCGTTTTTTTTTATCTCCTTACACATTTTCAAGTTATTTAAAGCTCTGTGACAGGAGATGGACCGTGCCCGGACAATGGAGCCATCACTGCGTGCCAGATCTCCAATCCCACACATCCACGGCGACGACAGGACGCATCCAAGCGTCCCCAGCCTTCATGCTGAGAGTGAGTTGCTACGTGCACATTGCTCAACGCTCTGAGTGGAAGCCCAGGGGGCACGCAGGGGATGGGGCTGGAAAGATCTCCGCCTGCAGTTGGCGGAGTATAAAGCGGGGTAAAAGAAACTGGGGCTGGGGTTGTTAGAGACAGATCTGGAGCAGGGATCTGCTGCAGCTTCTGTTTGAACTGAAAGTGAAAGATGAGGTTCTCCTGAGGGGGAAATCTGAAGATAATCAACATGGAGGTTGGGAGGACTTAAAAAAAACAGGTGGGAAAGTGTTTGGGAGATATCCTGCGCTCAATCATCGGCAGCGACAGGAGGCAGCGACTGGATGTTTACAAAGCTGCATTCTGAAAACCGAAACGACAAAGCTGATATAATCTACACTCATTATCACAGCCTTTCAGCTGACTGTTGTCACTAACGTTTACGTCTGTTAGAGACAAAAATGGAGATGATCTTTCCCCTCTTTATTTGATCACTCTGACAAGCTCAATCCCCCGGGAAATCTGCTCGAAGCGATAGCTGTTATTATTCCAGCTCACTCTCTTTGCAGATGACACACTTGTACATAAATCTACACAGCGGCGCTTATAGAAATGATTTGCGAGTAAACAAGAAGAAAATTACCCTGAATGACATAATATTCATGGGATAGTTGATAAACGAGCATTAAAACAACATTAATAAATGGAGCTCCATGCTTGTAAGAGAGTTAGGAATTCATTTTCCTTACATTACGTGATGAAAATTGCATCTATAGATTAGACACAGACTTGTTCTCCGGATCGTTCAGAAGTAAAAATGTCTTAACTGTCTTCTGTTTGGCAGTTATGTTCAGCAATGTGCAGTTTATGTGCAGCTGTGAAGCTCTCTGTAGTACCATCTGTTTTGTGCCATGTGAAATAGAGCTGCAAACCAAATGCAATGACAAAATTTGATAGTTCAGTTGATGTCAGTGCTCCTGTTTTTTATAGAGAAATTTCTCACATTCCTACTTCCCCTGCTGACAGAAGGTAAACAAACACAACATATCCAAATAAATGACTGAGGAGTGAGATATCTTATGAAGCTACTATCTCCTGTGAAGCAACAGGTACAAAACTTTTCAGTTCAGGAGTATTTCACCCTGATTTTTAGGCTATTTGGAGCTGATGTCCTTCTCATTAAACCCTGTCTTGAGTTAAACTCTACCAGATGCTTCACAGACTTCAAACTCGATCAGGAGGCCGGCTGCCTTTCTGATCCTTCCTTTCACAATAACATACAGAATAACCACTCAGTAACTCGACTTCCTCCTCATTATTTCACTAATTTATTCTCGTTATTTTACACCTTTTTTCTTAATATCCTATTTTTCTTTATTTTCTTGGTCCCCATACTCTTGGGTGGCTCTTGCTGAGGTCCAGTCGGCTTCTGGTGAGCCTCCGGACAGGTGGCCAATCAGAAGAAAGTAGGCTTTTGGAGGGGGGGCCTTAAAGAGACAGCAGCTAAAATGAAGCGTTTAGGAAAAAGACTGAAATAATGATATTTTAATAAACCACTGTGAGAAATTTGAGGCTTTTTTAATCTGAAAATTACTTAAAACTATTATACTAGGTATCAGAAAGGAAATATAGAATCTGAAAAAAATGCCCCCCCTCCCCACTGAAACTGAGTAAGAAAAGAATGAACAATCCAGATTTTGTTTCACGTTTCTCCTGATTAATGATCGAATTTTGTACAGAGTGATGGAAAAACCACAATTATGGCGACTGTTAAGCTCCAGCAATAATGTTGGAGGAGCTATTTTGAGTCAACCTTTTTCCTCTGGGTCAAAAGTGTGACTGACCGTTTTTCCTTCAACACAAAAAACTACAGAACTCTCTTTAGGAGGTCTCTAAGAACACTACACTGATATCTGACAGCTTGTGTGGCGTTACTCCTTGGATATCTTGTGTCATAAACCACACACAAAAAAAAAAACAAGCATATCCGGAGATTGTGGAGTAAAAGCCCTTTTGAATGTCTTTGGTATGGGTCACAAAAATCCTCAGTCTTTTCTGCAGGAGAGTTTAAATGCCAACACGATTGCTTTGTCCCTGTGGTGACACCGTGACACTTTGACATTCTGATTCAAATCAGACTGCTATTGTACTGGAAGGGTAAACATTTGTCCGTATAGCATTTTCCTGAATGCATGGCTGATTGTTGTAGAGCCAAGGTGAAGGAGACACTCACGTGTTTCGAGAGGTTGTCGCTCTTGCAGTCCAAATCATACCTGCAGAGAAAAGAGGAGAGATGACACATCAGAGCGGGGGCCGCGATAGGCTGAAAGGTTTGAGCAGCAGGTCTGCGAGTTAAAGAAATGCCACAGAAGAAATGAGTGTCTTAGTGACAAAAGACCTCATCAGCAGTCATTAATGCGAGACACTTCTCTGCTAATCACTGCAGAGGAGCCGTTCAGGGTGAAAATAGGCTGGTTATGAATAAAGCTGTGCTGATCTGATTTCATGAAGGAGGCAGCGACACTTCACCCAGAAAATCTTCACTGCCGGCTTGAAAATATGCGACGTGCAAATGCATTGTTCAAGAGTGCAAAGGAGAGGATAACAGAGAAATTAACCCAGATTCTGTGCTTTTCTGCAGGACTTCAAATTCTCCACAATACCCCTGTTTACAAAAAAAACCTCTTTAATCCAAAAAGCTGCTATTCTGGGGCAGCATCAGTGCAGACTCGCTGTTTTGAGTCAAATAACCACACTCAGTGCGACGTGTTTAGGCAGTTTCAGAAAAGTCTGTACCGTCTGCGTGAAGGCACATGTTGCTCCTGATTGACGTCAGGATATGAGGGCCCGACTCTACACCCAGCACACAGGGCTTTGACGTGCAGTGCAGCTGTCATTGTTTATCTCCAACCAATGCATTTGTCTGTTTTAGAGCCAATAAGAGCTCAGCATTTCTGCTCAGTATTTCACACCACAACTCTGCTGCTGCTACAGAACAACCTAAATCTGTACTTCTGCACTATACAATATCTTTACATTATCACCTGTTCAGTGCAATACTGCTGATTGCACTTCATGTTACATATCAATCAATCAATCAATCAAAATTTATTTATATAGCGCCAATTCACAACAGTCATCATCTCAAGACACTTTCCAAAGAAAAAGAGCAGGTCGAGACCACACTCATTGTTTGATGAATTATCAAGACCCAACCTAAGAAGGGATTTGTTCAATCACATCTAACATGAGTGACAGTGGAAAGGAAAAACTAGGACCAGACTCATGCCAGACAGCCACAAGGCCGCTTAAGAATACAGAGAGATAACAATAATAATATGAGTATGTGTATTTTCTATAGTTTTGTAAGATATCCTCTTAGTATTTTGCACCGTGGGTTTGAAAGAAACCTTTTTTTTTCAGTCCCTGTGTATGTGGCTGTGATTCACAATAAAAAAAAACTTCTAAGGTAAAGGTAAAGTCACACTAAGGTAAAGTCTCTATCATCAGCTAAATTACACATCAGAGTTGGCCATGTTTGCCAAAAACAGAAGAAGAAAGAAGCTGGACTGTTGCTAACAAACTTCCTTGCAACGTCACTAAAAAACAGTGAAAAAGCCCTTTAAATGGGAAAGAAAGAAACTTTTGTTCGATCCCTGCGTATGTGGCTGTGATTGACAGTAATAAAGCTTGACTTGATTTGATTTGTGCAAATGTAAGGTGCCTAAAAGTTCTTCAGTAGAGCCTAAACTTTAATCCATATGAGCCCTTAAGTTACTAACACACTTCCTTGCAACTTCACTAAAAAAAAAAGTGAAATAGCCCTTTAAATAAGAAACTGTGGATCTGGTATGCACTTTAAACTATGCATTTTACATAATTTGACAGATCTCTGAGTCTGCTCTGCTTTTACAGTTTATCTGATCTTGTTTTTAATCTTGTTAGCATTACAGTTTGGCTGCATACATTCAGCATTTAGACACATGTTGATGAGAGTGTTATCTATGATCATAACCCCTTACATAATACTTACATGTTTATTCCTGCTTATCTGGGGTTTAGCATGTTGTCTCTGTGGACATGGGAATCTATATCTGTACATTTCTGTGTGTGTGTGTGTTGCTGACAAACCCCCTGTACATGTCAACACACTGGGCCAATTTAGTCGATTCCGATTCTGATTCTGACTCTGACTCTGACAGGACAGTTGGCAGATATCTGGGATGCCACTTTGGATGAAACTTTACAGAGTAATGCGTCTTATTGCTCCACTCTAGCATGGGGATTGCATTCGGCCAAAGCGGAGTGATATAGTGTTTGATTGCTTGCATGCCTTTATTCAAGCTGAGAGGAATGATGCATCTCGTCGCTGCGTTCACACATTCTGAAACGCCGATCCCTCCAACCGAGCTTTCACAGGAACTTTTCATGGATGAAATCGCAAAGAATGAGGATTTTATTTCCAGCTGCGAGGGAAAGGCATGGCCCTAATATCACAGGGTTTCGCAACTGTGGAACAACTTATCAAAAACTGGGGCAAATTTTGGAAATGTTATAATCCTTTATTGCATAAATCGACCGTCTAATCCCATTGAAACTTGGTTTGAATATCTTCAAACCGCAGAAAACGGTACAGGAAAAAGTGTTCTTAGACTCTTTAGAAGGGTATTAGCTTTGTGCATGGTTTACAATGAGTAGCTTGGCATAGTGCTAGTTTAGACAGGCCAACAAGTCAAAGCTCAGTCATAATGATCTTAATACCTGCAGACAGCTGATTGGTAAATGTCAAAACAGGCTTCCTCTGCTACCTGCCTCCCTCTTGACAGCTGTGTTAGATTTCACCAGTGTCTTATGAATTGTCACTGATGTCCTGGGATGGGAATCCAGAACCAGACCCAGATACCTGCCAGTTTCCTGGTCAATACCAACCTCTTGGTACTGTGAAAATGTGACGTGACGCCAGAGGAAGCCAGCGCTAATGACAACCAAGAAGTAAAGGAAGTAATCATGATGCGACAGCACATGTACTGATTACTGTAAAGTCTACTCGATTCGTGAGACCGGCAGCTTTGAACAATGACTATGAATAGGCCTCAATTAAAACTGGGTTCGACTAAAACAACACTAATAAGATACAAAGACTAATTTCTGTTTGAAATGATTAAGTCTTTACTGCATTTTCAAGTGTACACAATACCAAGCTTATAAATTGAGAGTAGAGAAACCTTGTTAAACAGTTTCGAGCATATGAATCCCACATAATCACACCATTAGGCAAATGTTGATGTACTGTTGATGAAGTTAGGTGCTGTTCTGAGCATTATTTGTGGCTATAGAGCGGCGATTTGGTTGAGGTTTACGTGTGGAGACGTAGACCGCTATGTATTGCTATCGTGCGGTCTTTGCTGAAGTTGGTATAACTAGAGAAGCAAGCAGTCTGCAACATTCATCTCTTGAGGGGTTGTCTAACTCCGTGTTACGATGTGTTTGACCATAACTTAAATTTACGCCAGAATACCCCTTTAACACCATCATCTATCTCATGCAGGACCATGCAAACCATAAGAGCCATTCATCCAGCTTTATTTACATGTTTATAACCCGCCATCTTCCTTGGTGCCTCAGGTGTGGGTCAATATGTGTGTGTGTGTGTGCAGCAGCGTGCAGCGGAGTGTGTAAAAGGGAGAGCCTGAGCATTCCCTTCTGCAGACAGCATGCCATGTACAATAAGGCGCCTGCTGACAAAACCGTGTATCACCACAGGAGGGGGAGAGCCTTCAATACAGCGCTGCGACTACTAATGTTATTCCATAAGAGCCAAGAAACATGCTGCTATTACGCTACACGCCATCGGCTAAATGCACAGGTGCGCCTCATATTCGGTTTGTCCTGTGCCTCTGTCACTCCCAAATGTTCATTAATGATTCATTTAATCTTGCTTAATAACAACAGACTCAAACAGAGAGGGAGAAAGAGAGAGAAAGAGAAAGAGGGGGATGAAAACATAAACATACGTTTGATCTATACGTGTTCATTCTGGCTGCATTTTCACCCACATACACCTATAGACGCACATCACAGTGTGTGTGCAGAAGTGCATGTCCCACGGCGCCTCGTGAGTGCACATTTGTTTTGTGTGACTGAACGTGAGTGTGTGTGTGTGTGTTTATAAGGATGACATCACCCTACATGGCAGTGGGCCAAACAGGATTTCTTTTGGTCCTGTGCTGTCAGTCTTGTGATTGGGGGGGAGGGGTAGGTGGAGGGGGTCGGCTGCTCAGAGCTCCGTTTGAACTGAGCAATGATGACTAATAATGGCACACAAACAAACGAGGGCCGGGGAGGCAGCAAACAACAGACGACAGCACACTGACACATGAGCTCAATTTCCTAACAGCTTTACAAAACCTTCGGAAAAGGCTTCATACCAACTGACACCGCATGCTATCAGATAATCCAGGCTGTTTTATTTTTGCTGGCAGAATATCGGAAAGACAGTAAATGCACAAAAAAATTAAACTGTTCTAAAAAAAGAAAAATATCCCATCTTTGAGGAGTCAGTCAGCTTGGACTAAAAAGACATCTATAGATATTTTTGATGAGTGAATATACAGCACTTATAATTATCAGCATCATAGTTTAATATCATGAATTCTGTTATGATTTAAAGGTTGACCAATCACATTTTTTTCCAAGGCTGATGCTGATTATAATAAGCAGGCCAGCTGATATATAATGCTGACATCAGATTGTGGTTTTTTCTTTCTTTTTCGGAATTTTTCAAACATCACTTTAATTTTTTTTTATTGAATTAGAGTCAAAATTGCTGAATTTGTTCAATATCTAATCAAATAGACATAGTTAGAAAAATAATGGACTTTTTGGATTTCTGTCCAGCAGTTTGAAATCACAAAAGATGAAAAATAATACAAGGGAAATATTATTTTAAAGTCAGATTCATTATTCCATAGACTTAATAATCTAATATACATGGCTGTCTTGGCAACCAGTATGTTTTAGATTGATCAATAGAGATATAACTGTAGATTTCTAAACATGACTGATATTACTGCCAATATTGAGTATTACAATAAAATATAACATCAAAACAAGTCAATCAGTGTGATGGATTTGATTTTCTGTTTATAGGAAATAAAGAGATGTGTTAACATTTAGAAAAGATACTGTTGATATTGGCCTCGCGAGGTATGGAGCTGATATAATGCCGATTATGTCAAGATGTAGATATTCAGTCGAATTAATCTGCCAACCGATTCATCGGTCCATCAATAAAAAATAAAAAAAAGGCAGTTTGATTTTGCCTCTGGTGGAAATATCAGTCATGTTCATGTTCTAAAATCTTTAACATAAACCGTTATACATCTTTAATCTTCAACAATTGATTGGAGTCTCTATTATGTTACGAATACAAGGTATCGTGTATATTCCATTTTAATGTGCATGTAGTCAGCCTACTCTCATTATCTGTATCTGCTGATCAGTATTGGCCCTGAAAACTGGTATCAATTGTCCCCTATTAAAAATGTGTCCTCTGCCTGAGATTAAGTAATCCTGCCACAGTTATACCAACATGGTCTTGGCTGATTCTTGCACAACATTGCAAAAGTAGCTAAATTATCGGGGAACAAGATTTCTGCAGACATGGATTTGTTAGTTTCTAAATCAGGAGCTGTCCAATGTGAGGAATGTTTCCCAGATATCCAAAATAAATAATGACAGACTTTCAGCATCTGCTCTGTGGCGGTGAAAATAAATTTTCCCCGAATTGTGTTAAAGGAACACTTCCACCTTATTTCTTTTAGGTGTGTGCATGGTGTCCAAAGATCTTTAAATAAATGGACGATACTTAAATTTAAACCACTATAAATATGGCTGAAGAGGAACTACATGATCCACCTGTACAGTAGGCTGCCAGGGAGCGATTGTTGTTGCTTTAATTTATATTATTTATTTACTCCTAAAGCTTGTCATCTCACACATTAAACACCACTCTATATAGTCCCAACTTTTAGCCTCCCAAAACTGATGTGAGAAAGTAATATTAAAGGAATTTATGGCTCCTATAAAGTTCTGTTTCTGATTCTGGTCTAAAGTTAATAGAGTCACACTGTTCTTCTGTTTCTTCAGGGAGGTCATTTCACTTAATATTGAGGTCTAATCCAATTTGCCACCCTTGATTAGACACCCACCCAGCCAGGGGGCTTTTACTGGCATCTCAAGTTTCAACACCACCGAATGAAAAAAGAAAAGCAGAGCCAGAAACATGGCTGTCAGTGAGATGAGAGTTAACGGGATTTCCAGGCGCAGAAAGCACCAGAGGAAGTAAAGTGTGTCGTGGCTTTAGGGGTCTGAGGGTAAAGAGAGCGTGGGATGGTTCGGCAGCAGCAGCTATCCTGGCTGTTTGTGGGGAGCTTGGTGCTGTCTGGCTGTGCGGATATCCTGAGGGGATGTTAGGCACTGAGTGGAAGTGAGGGAGGTGGAGGTAATGATGGGCTGCGGGAGCTGCATGAGCTACAGGAGCTACAGTTAGAAAAAAAAAGGACTTCCTACCTCAGGACAGAGGCTGAGGAGAGCAGGAGTAACCACTGGTTCTGTAATGAGCAATGTGAGAAATCTGTGCGTGTGTGTGTGGTGAAGAAGACCGCCTCAGTGGCAAAGTGTGAATGTGTGTCTCAGTGTGAGAAAGTGTGCATGCGTATTTTGGGAGATTTCTTGTTCCGAGGGCAGGCATGTGTGTGTAAGTGTGTGTGTGTGTGGGCTGAGGCCAGCCGTGTCCTCGCTGTGAGTTATCCTAGCATAGGGCCATCAGCCCAGAGGACAAAAGTGGGGCCTGATGCTCTCCCACTCACAACGTGCCCCCCCTGCAGGAAGTCGGCCATGCAGCACACACACACAAATACACACATGAACACACAAAATCCATCTCCCTCCGTCCCTTCCTTTCCCTGCTTGTCAGCGCTTAAAATCTTGCATGACTCTCCTGCACAGTCTGTATTATCAATCTCTTACATACATAAATAAGCATGCGCACCAAGAAAATGAGCACACACATCAACACACAGGCTCACATAACTAAAATACTGCACCAATTTATCATTCTTGTCTTGCTAAGCGCACAAAAAAGCTGAGCAGGCATCCTCACAAACACAGCCAGGAAAAAACACGCGCTTAAAAACAGCACAAATGAACTGAAACACACAATCACGCATGTAATTATAAATTTGATTGGTGCCTTAATGAGCGTAAACTCACTTTACCTCGACACAAGTTCCATTAAATGCACACACACGCACACATGCACATCCACAACCAGTAGGCGCTTGAGTCTCCCCTTGACCTTCACTGTAACCTCCCACCGCTAATAAGCAGCATGCGGCCACACTGACAGACCAACAAGTAAACAAACAAAAGAGCTGTTTCATATTTCATAAGCTACCGAGAGAAATACAGTAAATATGTGCGACACAGGAGCACAATACAGAGAAGACAGATTATCATAATTGCCAAGACAGCGCGACTTTTCGAGCTACATGAGGGGAAAAATATGACTTTTTAAAGTTTAACAGAGCCATAAATCAGCGAACAGGGGAAACTACTGCAAACAAGAGATGATTTATGTAATGTTTTTCAGGTAGAGGAAATATATTTCAATCATTCATCCATACTCTACCGACAATCTGTCACTCTCCACCTTCTACTGTATAAAACATTCATGTAAGCTCAGTTGTGCCCCCCATTAGCACACAGTGAATTCAAGGATTCTGACTCCATCTAACTTTCAGCTCACCTAAAAAACTGACAAAAATTGGAGACAGGGCTATAGCCATGCTTCCTGTCACGCAGCTTAAAACTTGACCACCTTTTTTTTCAGCAAATCGATACATGACGTTAAAAACGACAAAACCATTTTTAGACTGTGTTCATTTCTGCTGTGAATGGGTGTTTCAGTGTGGACCTTTAAAAAGGCTACTAGACTTCTTTCTTCTTACATATCGACTTTACTTGGCAACATCTATGATTTCTGCTCAGATGGGATATGACAGCAAACAATACCAAACAACAATATAATGCAACACCATATCATATCAAATCGTATCATATATCATATCAAACCATATAGTAACATGTCATATTGTATCGTATCATATCGTATCATATCATATCATATCATATCATGTCATATTATATTGTATCGTAACATATATCATATCAAACCATATCATATCATGTCATATTGTATCCTATTGTATCGTATTGTATTGTATCATATCTTATTATACCATATCATATCGACCATATCGTATCATACCTTATTATATCATATCATATTGTATCATATATCATATCAAACCATATCGTAACATGTCATATTGTATCGTATCGTATCATATCATACCATATCATGACATATCGTATCCTATTGTATTGTATCATATCTTATTATATTGTATCATATCGACCATATTGTATCATATCATATCATAAACATATAATATTATACCATATCATGTCATATTGTATCCTATTGTATCTTATTGTATTGTATTATATCATATCGCATCATATTGACCGTATCGTATCATATCATATTATATCATATTGCATCATATTGTATCATATCTAACTATATCTTATCATATCAAACTATATCATACTGCACCATACTGTACTAAATCATATCATATATCATATCATATCAAGTTATGTCAAACCATACTGTATCATAACGTATTGTATCATACTGTACAGTATTAAATCATATTATACTGCACCACATCATATCATATCATATCATATATCATATAATGTGACACGATGTGATATGATATGATATGATATGATATGATACAACACATATGGTCCAATACAATACAGTACGCTATGATGAGATATGAAAGGATGCAATTCAATGCAGCAAGCTCCAACATGATGTCATGTAAATCAGTGTGATCCAAAATCTATAGCAGAACAAAATAGAGCAATATGAGAAGAAAGAGACAAGATGAGAGGAGACAATACAGTAGACACCTGACCATGCTATATGATACGATGCAAAGCCAGATTTGATACAACAGGATGTTATGTCATAAGATATGTTTTAAAAGGGTAAGATACAAGGTGATACAAAACTAAGACTGTATAAGACTAAGACTGTATACTGTATACAAGTGGAAACAAGAAGTGACGAGAAAAAAGCAACAAGATGAGAGACAGAAAAGTACATTACAGCAGGATGAGACAAGGCTACATGATGCAAGAAGAGACAAGATGTTGAAGGACAACATGAGATAAAGACACAATCTGATGTCCCGCCATACCACGCAAAAAGGTGTAATACCGTATGACCACAATATTACTGAATAAACAAAGAAGTGTGATACAGTTAGATGAGGCTGGCAGAAAAATCGTTTCGCAGTAATTCGGCTGAAATACTCGATTTTTCGCTCCCCCACTGAAGGAAGAAGACATGATGTCACATGGACAACAAGAAGCTAATAATTTTGCCATCTTGTGACACAGTATTTTGGTTTCCCCTGTGTTATCCAGAGGGTGTTGTCCATCTGCTTACTGCCCAAATCCATGTGAAAGGAGGCGTGAGGAGGCAGGGGAGAAGAGGGGAGATGAGGAATCGGCAAAGAAAAAAAACCGACAGAACACTGACACACAATAATGGTTTATCTGCGGTAAGGAGCATTTGATTCCCTCTCCACAAAATACTCCGCTTCATTTCTGCTTAGGGCTGAAAAATTCACATAACAACCATTTCCTTTAATTAGTGAGATTCAAACATTATAAATGACTGAATATGATCTCAAAAGTTAAGTATCTTGGTCAAAGGTTTCACTTCAGGGGATGCTGAATCTTTAAGACAAGTTTCTAAAGTAAGCTGAACATTTTAAGAGTTTCAGTTTGGGGATTTTTAACTCACGCACTGAAATGTGGCAACTTTTTAAAAAAGGATACGTTTATTTTGCCTCCAAACCCACAAATGAATACAACTGGGAACAAAAATGCAGCTTGCAAATGATGTATAAGAGTATAATGTGCATGAAGGAAGATAATGGGGCCAAAATTTGAGCCCTGAGGAACCCCAGAGGTGCTTGTTATTTTCTGTGGTGGCTTAAGACTCTCCTGTTTTAACAGGGCAGGTTTCTATTTGAGCAGGGAGGTCTCAAGGAGCTCCGCGCTGACCCAGAGATACCCACCCAGTGCTTAAGGCAGTCAATTAAAAATGTATGATCAACTGTGTCAAAAGCCGCACTTAGTTCGGAAAGAATTAAGAACGAGCAATCTCCTGCATCAGCTGTTCCAAAGAGGTCATTTGTAACTTTCACGAGGGCTTTTTGTCTGCGTCGAACTACATCCTGAAACACGGTTCAATTTTTAAAAAACCATAATCCCACTCACATGTTACTGAGGAGCAACTTTTTTACTCAGTGTCACAGTGAAAGGCCCGCAGATAGATCCCAGTCATGACCAAATGCCAAGCGAATGATTCACAGTTTGCACCTGGTCGTGTTTTTTTTTTCTTGAAGCGTTGTATGAATGGGATGAAATCAAACGGAAATGATGTTTGAAAAAGTGGCATGAAGACTTGTCTTTTATTTAAAAGGGAGAAGACTTACATCTCCCCCTGCACAGACCATGAATATTTCAGTCTGAATATTTGACTTTGCTCCACACCGAGCACCACTCTCACCCATTACCCACACACACACACACACACACACCACCGCCGCCACCATGCATAAGTCAGTTGTTAACTCACAGGTCAAAGCGTAGATTCTGTCTCTCCTCGAAGAAGTAGTCCAGGATGAATTTGCGGACAAAATCGGGGTTGAGGGTGTTGTCTATGACTTCTGTCCTGCCAAACTAGAACAGACACGAAGAAGGTGACGTTTGATTAGTGACAACAAACTCTGTACAGATAAAGAATGAACTCTCTGTCCCCACAACAGCATGTCTCACAACACTTTCTCTTCCTTGTGCTCTATTTTTGACAGGATGTTTTATAGAGATGCCCAAATAACACAACTCGATAATCCTGAAACCCTGGAACATTAACAAGGCTTGTTAGGTGATTCAAAACTGAAGAATAACAGCAGCAGTAACAAGCTGCACAGAACTGTCTCTTAAATAGCGTGTGTCAGGTAATCAAGGGAAGAGAGAGACGAGGGATCATGTATGCATGCTGCAGGACCAAATGTCATTGTCATACAGTCCGCCCCGCTCTCACAGCCTGCACATAGACCCCCCTCAGAGATCCTCTGAATCGCTAATGACGGATGGCGATCTCATACAGATTTACATTCAGTAATAATATTAAGATTAAGACTAAGATTTCAGCAAATACACAATCTTCCAGAAATGGTTTTCTATTTCTAATATCACACTGAGTCTGTTTTAACTGAATATTTTCATAAAATCAATGTCTTATACTTTGACAGGTAGACATTGTGCCACTAAAGTCTCATTCTTTTCATCATGATTCAATGCTAAAGATTAGGATGACTTCATTGTAGGGCTGGGCGATAAACCGAAATTTATCAGTACCGAAATTTAACTAACGTCATTTTGCCCATGTCAATATTTTCTGTGTCAAATAAAATAAAATAAATAAAATTTGGTTTTGGATGTGTGTAGGTAGGCTATGGTTTCGTGTCCCTTTAAGACGCTGTCCTACGTCGGAGACATTACTCCACCTCATCCAGAGGGAAAGACAGGTGAGGAGATGGAGGACAACTGAAGTAGATGAAGTTAATGTGGGAGGGGGTGAGCAGCTTTTTGAGCAGTTATCATCCATTTATCGTTAATCGAGATTAACTGCTCAATATATTGTGATATTGATTTGAGGCCATATTGCCCAGCCCTACTTCATTAGGGATTGACATACTGCAAATACAGCCCAATTTCAAAGCAATCACTTATTTAATAACTACACAATCCTAATAAAAACAGACACAATAAAGCTACATTAATATCATCTTTAAGGTCTGTCATTATCTAAAATGTATCTGCAGCTGTCTCTTATACTTGGGTCTAACACTGCTTCAGTCTGCACAAATGTAGCCGTAGTAGTGAAAGGTGATATTATAATTCCAATCTATATTTTTGATTTGTTTTGTCTTGAGTACACCAGTTGGAGAAGTCAAATAAGATACTTAACCACAAGTTTAAGTGGTGGGTTATGAAGAAAACTAATGACATCAAAGTCTTAAATGTGAAAACCTTTGAGACTCATTCAGGAACGAGCTGCTCAGGAACGTCTTCTTCATTACCTTCGGCCATGTTTGTTTGTTATTCTGCTCTGTGTGGGCTATGGCTTGCCCTTACGTCATCAACTTGCATTTATTGTAGTTATCATGAGATGGCAAATATTTATCATGGAGGATTTTTCCGACGATAAACCGTGAATGATAATTTATCGACCATCCCTAAGTCGTAGTAAATTGATTTTGTGACACATGCCGACTGTCGGATGAGCAAAGGTTCATAAAAGTAATTAAAATAAAAGAATACAGCTAAAATAAACCACTTCCTTGTTAGTTAGGCCCAGATCTTATGTTCAGACCTGCACCTACATGGCCTAATCCTTTTTTTCCTCATAAGAGGGACTACACTGCGCTGCCGTTTTATATTCTACATCTTCCAATACGAGCCTGCACATGACTGTTTAATTCCACACCACACAATGAGCAAACAAAGAACAAGAGTGAATGTTAAATGTGATAAATCCAAAGCAGCGCACTGATCCACCAGGCTTCACCTTACATTTCAGAGGAGAGGAAACCACATGACTCAGCGTAGTCTTATCATAAAACACATATTGTGAGCTGGCTCGTGGAGCAGCCTCCAAAAGCCTAATTGTGTTCCTTCACTCTCGCTGAAATGCTGCATTGCTGCCATTTAAGCTCCCTGGAAACAGCCGCTGGTTAAATATTATTTCCCCCCGCCCACCCCTCGTACTCACCTCTCTCCACTCCCTGTTGGCTATTCCTTGAGTGTACAGCACACAAACTGTTGAATAAGAAGCAGAAGAGAGAGGGAAACAGGAGTGGGGTTAGATTGATTGAAGAGTATTTAACTGAATATACAGCGCTGATAAGTCAGCTGAGAGAGTGTGCTCTTTCCCTGGACTCCGTCATGAGAGGAAAAATCCCTAATTAAATGTCACTAGAACTTTGCCTTGCAGCGTGATGATATTTCAGAGAGGGAGGGAAGGAGGGGGCGAGTGAGTGTCTGCGTGGGTGGAGGAACGTCCTCCTTATTGACATTCGAGCATCTCCGTTCCAGGGAGTCTTGGAGTGTTTTTTGATGACGGACCATGAGTCAAACACAGCAAGGCAATCAGCTGGCACTAAGATGACATTTAATTTGCTTTCGAGCCGCCTTTACTGTACTCTCACACACATCTGTCACATGGCAGCGGCTCGCAGCTCTGAGAACCCCTGGGATGAGACACTTGGAAATCCGTTAAAATGTTTACATGAGCAAAACCTGAGGAGAGGTAGGAATAGAGGAAATGCTAATATAAGAGGAAAACAACATGGTGGAAATACAACCAGCAGAACATATTCAGGCCATAAGTGTGCTTCGCTTTACATGTGTTATTGTTAGTGTGTGAAAAACCACATCCTTAGGTTTTGCTGTTTGCCTTAATGAGACAAACTAATGAAGTAAAGGTCACACTGTTTACTGCAGATGCTGTACTGTAAGGATAAAAGTAGACAAGTGGAAAACACATGCAGGTCTGCAGGGATGGAGCATTAAGTAAAAGGTGACTTATTAACCTGTCTTTATTCGGGTCTCTGACTTTTTATCGTCATTGTCAATTTTAAAAATGTAGTCTTAAAGGGATATACAGGCGTAAATTTAAGATAGAGTTAGACACCACCAATAGATATGAATGTTGACGACTGCTTGCTTCTTTAGTTATACCAACTTAAGTAACGACAGCAGCGGAAAAATTATGATCGTTACTTCATGGAAATGCAATCAGATCGAGACGCTAAGGCAGAAGAACTACCGTGTCTGCAGTGCACATTCAAGACAAGAACTCTGATTGCAATTTAAAGAAGTAATAATCATAAATGTTCTTCCTTGAGCTGTGAAACTCCGCTGCACTCAGTGATCGACTCGTCAGGACTCCCCCACAAACAAGCGGCTGCTGGAGGAGAGTGGGTGAGTTGTGTTTGGTCCCTTTGCTAAAGAAACCAGGCAAAGCTAAAATGATGTTTGATGGCTAATACTATAGCTGGGACCCTACATGTACTGTTGATGAAGTTAGGTGCTGTTCTGAGCATTATTTATGACTATAGAGTGGCTTTTTGGTTGAGGTTTGCGCATGGAGACGTCGACCGCTGTGTACTGCTATCGCGCGGTCGCTACAAAAGTTGGTATAAATAGAGAAGAAAGCTGTCGGCAACATTCATCTCTCAAGGGGTTGTCTAACTCGGTGATACAATGTGTTTGACCCCTGACTTAAATATTACGCCAGAATATTCCTTTAAAAGTGACAAGTGTAAAGTTTTATGCCTTCTGTAATATGAGGTTGACATCAGCCTGTTAATATGCAAAAATTAACTGGCACACCTTAAACTAACATGCATTAGAGGGTAAGTGCAAGTGCAGAGCTGTTTCCATCCTCAACAACAATAATGGTTTACTCCTAAAGAGCCTCAACAACAACCTCCACCTGTCCTTGTTCTGTACGACCGCACGAGAGCAATAAATACCCAAGAAAATCCAATTTGATGTAAATCTGCAAGCTTAAGCCAACATGCATTTTTGAAAAAGCATCCAGGGGGTTAAACTGTATGATTATTAAGCTCAGCGGCTGCAGAAGTTAGTGGGTTTGATTCTTACAGCACCCAACGTTTGTCTTTAATAAGGCTCCTGAATCACACCTGTCGTATCGTGTTTGTTTTATTGTTTTGGTGCCTTTCTGATCAGAGGACTGCTGATGGAAAAATGCAGTCTAATCCTGCACACCCCTGAGAATGCTGCTTGTTGAGCATGACTTCTGACAGCTATGTAAATTCAATCAATTGTGTTGAATGGAAGGAGATGAATTCCTAAAGTGAGGTGTACTGAATGAACAGAGGCTGCTGCAAGTCAACAGTTGGTGCAACAGGTGCAATTCTACAGGATACAAAGGCTGAAAGATGCAAAAAACTCATTACAACGTGCTCATGCATCACAGGACATGCTTTTTTCAGTCGCATGTTACGAACCAATTCCTGCCATCATCGCTTTCTTGTTTTCTATGATTCATCTGCCATATATCACTTTAATGCAGCCCCAGAGATGAACACACACAGAGATGACCGCTGTGCATGTAGAGTCTGAATCTAAGTGTCACAAAACTGCAAAAGCTTGACTGAACAAAATGGGTTTCAAGGCGTGGATTTCTTTTTTTTTTTTTTTGGCTTGTTCCAATTTTTTGTCAACATCCTGGGCGATACACAAGGACCACTTATGGTGTTCACTTTTAGTTTTTTAACCCGGATAAACTCCAAGATCTATATAACCAAAACTAAAAGTATAACTGTCACATTAATGTTTGGTTTCTCTTGTATCCGGCGTTAAAAATAGACGCCTGTCATGCCCTATAAATGGCTGGTATAACCATGCAGCACTTTGTTGATTTATTCTCTGCAGTAGTACGATCTTCTGTAGGCATTAAAAGTGTTTACTTTTCAAACATCTACGTATATTTAGATTGCAGCGTATTCAAGCGAGGGGGATGTGGAGGTGTGTTTTGACACTTGCGAGGATTGGAGAGGGCATCCTTTGGCGCTGGAATGACATTTGCATTTCAGCGAGCTTGAATGTTTTTATAAACATATGACACACTCCCTGCTCCCCGCTATAAAGAATGTATGAAGGCATGCATGTGGACGTCTATAAGAGCAAGGCAAAGCAGATGTATTTGGATGGTATGTGTCTGAATATATAAATACATCAGCATACATGAACCAGTACTGTCACTGTTATTATTATTTCACAATTTGGATGCCTCGAAAAACTCACCGCACATTAAAGCTCCTAGTAAGAGTTTTAGGCATGACGAATCTTGAGTGGAAAGGAGCCGCATCAACAGGTGAGACAGGACTGTAACTTCCCCTTTCATTAGCAGAAATGGTCGTTTTTTATAACATTATGGTTTCTCATATGATCTGAGATTTTTACTGAGTGCTTTCAGAGAATCACAGTCTAATTCACCATCACATCGCCTTGAAACTGCTTGAACTAAAAAGTCAAGAGTGGCACTTCATGAGCGAGTTTAGAGAGCAGAAGTTTAACGGGAGCGTTCTGCAGATTATCCACAGGACAGAAGGTCAGCGGAGTCAGGAGGTGAAAACGTTTAATTTCAGCCCTAAAAGCTCTGAAATTAAAGGTCTTGTCAGAAGGGGCAGCCGTAAAACTTCACGGGCTGAGCTGATCTTATGACATCTGCATACGAAGGCAGACCCTTTCCACCTTTACATGCATTACCAGTAATTACTGAATTAATTCACTGCAAATTTATGCCTGAGCTAATGTATGAGCTACGACTGGTTTAATTATGGATTTCGTTCACACAGATTCGACAGTGAGAGAACATCAAGCCTGTGCGGTAAATGTCAGCTTTCCTCCATGACCGTGAGGTTTCTTTTTTCGTCTCTGGCTCATATTTAGCCCAGATAAAATACAGTATTTCCAACATTTTGCAGGAAACTGATGTTTTTCTGACTCGCAGCAGTGTTGTAAATGTCACGCTGTTTTTAAGCACCAACACGGAGAACAAACGTCCTAATTATCCTGCTGCTGGTGCGGCGGCAGGAGTGTTCAAACTCGCAGTGTTTTGGCACGCTGTCAGCCTGGATGCTGTATATGTTGCTGTGCGGATGGTGTGCGGGGAGCCTGGGCTCAGCTGGCTGGATATACAGTCATCCTTTAATCTTGCGATGAAGCATGGGATGACACATGGTCTCTGCGTTATTGTGCGGGGGGGGAAAAGCGATACATCAATCACATGCCTGTAAATAGCGATGCATCCTCGCCACCCCTACCCTTCGCATATTCTTCTCCTGCTATTCATCAGGCCGACGAGAAGGGAGGGAGCTCGACAATAGCGGCGCCAACACCACCTCTGTTTTGAATGTAAGAGACAGTGCATACTTTGATTCTGCTCCTGTCTGCTAAATGCCCTTTTCCAATCTGCTGAAGCACTATGATCAAAGCTCACGTCCACGTCTCTGCACCGCAGGAGCAACCGTTAGAAAACACACAAACATGGAGAAAACACAAACACTGGATTGTTGTCCAGCTTTATAAGCTTATATGAATATGGTGCGTGAGCCTGCCCGAGGGCCCGGAATGTGTGCGCTTTCTGTGAGTGTGTGTGTGTGTGCGGCTCTGCTGAGGCGGTCTAATGCTGTGTGACTGGGGCCAGTGCTGTCAGCAGAGCAGAGACATGGACGCAGCACAAGTGCCTCCTTGCATAAACGTTGTGGCGGGCAGGGATGCTCATCCTCCTCTCCCACTGTCTGACACTTAAAGGTCCAATCCTCCAGTTCTGAGAGCTCATCAATTATGGGTTCACACACGCCGGCCCGCGCTAAAAACACCACTGGGTTCACCGTGCAGCGCCCAGGTGGCAAAGTGCTGAGTATTTAGGGAATATTGCAAGGTCGTGCTTTAAAAAAAACGCTGCATGCTACCTGAACCCCGGATGAATAAAAGGTAAAAAAAAAAAAAGAAAAAGAGAAAAGAAACACATATTTCCACTTCACCTTTTCATCATAACTCAGAGTATTTCCTGCCATCATGTTTATTTTTAGAGAGCTTTTAACAGTCAGGACTGTCACAGGCTGTTACAGAAAACAAAGCAGAGGAAAGACAGCAAAGACCCACCTCACAGTCTCCAAACCTGAGCCTGCATGTGTGTGACTCCGGGTGGGTTTCACTTTCAACACTGGTGATAATTATATTACGATTATCTTGACAAAGTAATGTGATCTTACAACTGCTTTACAAATATGCAGTAAGTTACTGCATGTTTCATCATTTTGATAAAAAGCCTTTTCATTGTATTTTCTATGATAGTTAGTGAAACTTTTTACTGTTCAAAGGTGACAGGACGAGTTTTTTTGTTTGAAAAGACGACTTCAGCATGTACAGAGCAAGCCATGACAGATATCCCTTTGTCCACAGGGGGCGCCAAAATCAACACAAACCAAAGGATGCTCACAGTACCTTTAAGGTAGAAAAATACATCCATTCTTTGAATTACTCATGTAAGTCATGAATCTAATATACATGCTCATCTTAGCCGGTGACTGATATTGAGCGGCAATGTTAAACCTTTACAGGGTTTATATCAAACACACTGTCTGTTTTAGAGCTAAGATGGCTTTGAGAGAAAATGATTCAAGTAATGTCCTTTTTTTAGAGGATGTTTGTGCATTAACTGACTTTTAAATTTTAGTTTAATTTGTTTGCTGCTTGTTTTTTTTCTTGTTGTTTTGTTTTTGTTTTTGTTTTTTTTGTTTGTGGTTTGCTTTTACTGGACTTTTATTGTCTTGAATGACCTTTGCAAGACTGTACATGTTTTATTGAATTATGTATTGTATTATCTTGTATTGTTTGTTTTATTTGTGGACCCCAGGAAGAGTAGCTGCTACCTTGGTGGCAGCTAATGGGGATCCAGATGAATAAAGAATAAAGAATAAAGAATTTCCTAGTGAGACATATCAAATCAGCATCATGTGTCTTTTTTTTTCATGTGTCCGAAACACTCAAACTCTGGAATAAAGTCGTACAGCGTTATCTTTTTTTTGCAGCCTCACAAAGAAAAGGAGGAGCATCAATTCTCCCCTCCTCCATCTCAACAGTGAAAGAATAATAAGGTGTGCTGGGATGAATTAATGTTTTAAATACACTGTAGAAGTTGTTCGAAAGAGCTCATCAATTCTGCAACTTTCTGCAGGGAGGCCGTCGCTGATTCCCGCTCTGACACACGAGAGGATAATGGTTTTGTCTGACAATCTTTTTGATCCACATTGTGCCGTGCCTGTTTGATCAGAGCCATTATCTGGGCTTGTACTGCTTAGTCTGATGCTGGCTGGAGTAAACAAGATTGCAAATTAAAAGCCAGTTTTGGGGCTTCTGTCTGTTTTTGATACGCTGTGCTTTTCAGCCTGCATCCAAAAGGAATTAGGGTTTAATACCCAGTCCTGGTGTTTACATGTTGGCTTAACAAAAAGAGGACTCAGTTTGAATCTTCACAAAAACACACCGTCACCACAGCACTGAGGGTTTCTCTATCAAGCCAAATGTCTGCTGGATTGCAGGCTGGGCCTTTAAAAACCACTGGACCGGTTGCCAAATTGAACCCCTGCTGTCAAGGGAGTGAGGAGTGTGTGTGTTTGCGTTTGAGTGTGCACGTGTAAGTGTGTGCGTTCTAGGAGGAGGGAGGCTGGCTCATGTGAGAGGATGATGTGGTTCCCCTCACTCTCGTCGGAAGCAGAGAACAGTGACGAATACGACCCCTGACATATGCAAATGTCTACTGATTCACACAGGCAAGGCAGGGCGCGCATGTATGTGCGTGCGTGTGTGTGTGTGTGTGTCCATGTGTGGGGAAATCAAGCCTGTCTTTGTACAGCTAAAACCTGCCTGCATGTGGCGAACGTTGGTAGATAATTTCTGTTTGTCCGCAGAATTACACATAAACGTATCTGCGTGTTTTTGTGTGCATGTGTGCTTGTATGTATGTCTGGCCCTCTGGGAGCCTGTGTGTATGTATGTGTGTGTGTGTGTTTGTGTGTGTGTGATGGGAGACAAGCTTACTTGGATCAGACTTGGAGAAGGTGTCTCTATCCAGCAGGTTTCTGGAGAACAAGAAAACAAAGACACACGCTGGCGTTAGATTTAATTGCACAGCTTCCCGACTTTAACAAAGAAAGTGGAGCAGGGTGCTTATTGCATCACTAAAACTCGCCTAATTAGCTCCCTCTCTCACCCTGACAACTTGTTCCACCATAATCCTCCCCTGAGTTGATGAACAAAAGCCATTTCATCCTGTCATCAAGGCAGCTACATTAAAAAGACTATAAAATCCATCTTAAAATGGAGCCCATTTATATTTCAGACAGAGAGAAAACAGCAGCAGAGAGGACCTATTTTTCACTTTTTTTCAACTCCCTGGATGCCTGCAACAACAACGGCGGAGGCCGCCATCAAATTTACATGACACTCCAGTCTTAGCTCTTTGCATGAGGGGCGGGATAAACGCACCAAAGAGTCCCATCATAGAACAGATGCTCGGCACTACCAAGGTACTTTGCAGCTAAACAGCTCTGGAGGAATTAAAAATGCACAGAGGAACGACACGTCGCAGCTGCCCGAGACGTGACGAGAAAGAAACAGAGGAGCAGCATGAGTTCGGGGAAGGGAGACCTGGAGTGCTACGTCAGCGGTGGGCCTCCCTCCGTGTGCCATTCGTCTTAAAGAGTCGAGGTCTCTGGGGGGAGGCAGCCAGGAGGCTGACAACACCCAGAGGAGATGGAGTGAACCCTTCACTCACCCACTCAGCTTGTACTCCTGCCAAGTCTTACATTAAAACCCCATAAAGCTTTCATGGAGCGAACCTGGGAGGACTGAATAATATGAGAGCATCAGACAGAGCATCAGACATGTTACCCCAAAATCTACTGAGCAGCTGGAGGCATTTCACGACTATATCCAATCGGATCATTTAAGTGGCACGATAACCGGAAACACCTGCACAGTCATTCAAATCTACAGTACAGCTTATCTTTACGACAACAATGTCAGCCTTTAAGTAGAGAGGCTGGTATTAAACACCACTAAATAACTCTGAGAATATTCCAACAGTCTGAGAACTTGCAAAAGACAATTAAAAAATCATGGTTTTTCCTAAATAATGAAACTGTTCCAGATATTTCCTCTCCTCTTTTTCCACAAATTCCACTTTTTATGATGCAAATGGGTTATATATTTACCTCAGGATAATTCTGACAGAGGCTGTTGTAGCTGACAAACACACCCTACATTTAAGACACTGACACAATGAAACATTTAAGATTGGAGGATATTTTCTACTTCTCTCTGCAGATAACAGGAACTCGATGTGAAGCAGAGTATAAGGAGTTTTACAGCTGTTCAATATGCAGAAGTTTGAGATACTCAGGAAAGTGTTATTTTTTTAAGGGGCTGAGGTTCAAGACAAAAATTTCAGGGCTTCAGTTCAGGTCTTAAACTCCATCTCCACCAAATTAGACGCTTAAATTGCACACTAGATCACCATCGGGATGTGCTGGGATCAGGATGATATTCACAAACCCTGACAGGGTTGTGGTGTCAGACCATAGGTAAGGTATCTGCAGTATTATGAAGTGTGAAAACTCTAGGCTCACTTTTAAAGAGTTTTAAGACTCTGCAGACTGTGTGTGTGTGTGTTGCACCAGATCACACTCATACGGTGCTCTGCAAAGATGATAAACACAAAGACAGTGTGACTCTGTTTAACGAAGATTTCCTACACAGAAACTTCTCTTGACTGAGTTTGATTGATGGAGGATTTGTTTATCTTTTGTAAGCTGAAGTAACTCTACCTTTTACCTTTCTTAATATGAGATCATCATGTGAATGGTATAACTTCAAACCACACCAGAGAGCGATATTCATACATTCATCATTTGCGCAAAATAAACATAAAAAAGACAGATGATAACACCTACTGCTAAATATTTCTCTTCACTTTTGGATGGTGTGAAATACAATCTGCCTGAAACACGTAGTCTTTTATTTTGAAAAGAAGCCAGATGTTTTATTTTGTGTCTGTGCACGACTTCCTTTCCAGCACGGTCTAATCTGTGCTGAATTTCTGCAGCATGCTGCGGTGTCCGGAAAAAGAACCCTGGCGATCGGCTATGAAGCCCGTTGAACCGCAGGGGGCCAGAGAGAAGCCAGTGGAATTTGACACATCAACTTGAATGGAAATCATCAGTGTGGACGGCCTTTTCGCCGCCATCCTGCAAGCGGTAGAAATTTAGGGTTGGAGATGATTGCGTGTTTTGAAGAGCAGGAGGGGCGTGACGTTGATTTTTCATCATCAGGCGAAGGATTTCTGCAAATGTCTTGGCTCCAAAATAAACCACAAGCTCAAGACATCAGCATCAGATGGAAACAGCTATTTTTGTCCGGAAAACACACCTCTAATCATCTGACAAGCCAGGCTACACACACAGGTTGCAAAAATTTTCTGCAGCAGTTTCCCTGAGCCTCTTTTCTTCACTGCCTCCACTGTCGTATCCAGAAACTCCCGGCTGACGTGGATTCGAGCTGACCGCCTTACAGCAGCTCTGCTAGCTTACAAAGTGTGATTTTGACTCTTAAAAGAGAGATTTGGTGTAATGCACCACTTTAAGCTGCAACAGCAGGACGTCTGCGCTGTGCTCAGCTGACAGAGATGTAGAGGGAGAGCAGAGGAGAGAGGCCCTCGCTATCATGGCAGCTGAGGGGCGAGCGTTCTGTCGCCCGTCCTGTCCTGTATGACAAGCTGCGAGTGTTTTGAAGCCGTTGATGGCTAGTGATGTATCTAGATCAGGCACTCGTGTTGTGCTGATCCCAGCGAGGCCCAGATGGTAAAACGCCACGCTCTGCTGCTCTTGCTGTCAGGGAACGCCTACTGGCCCTTTCTCCGGCTTTGAGACCTTAAATAAATGATAATAAGCGATGGAATCAGGCCTAGTCATATCAGGGCTGTGTTTGTGACGACTGGAGAGTCGGGGAGATTGTGTAGGAGTGAGAAGTGGGCGACTTCACCTGCCAAATGGGATCAATGTCTAATAAAAGGCAATACTGTAATCTGCTGGCTCCCAGAGGAGTGTGAGTGCAGGCGTGGAGCGAGGTCCAAGAGGAGGAAGAAGAAAAGAGTGTAAGCTTGTTTGAAAGGCAGAGCGCCACACTCTCATACAGATACGGTAACCCTGCCTGTGATTCATAAGCACCCAAGGGCTTCCACCTGGCCCTCCCAAGGATGGGCGACTCCTATAAAAGCCCTCTCCACCGCGGGCAGCCCTGTGCGGTCCGAGCAGAGTGCTTCGTCGTTCATCAAACATTTACGAGAGCGGTCCCTCCTCGACACCAGAATTACATTTGAAATCCCACCAGTTACATCACAGCCTCCTAAACATGGCAGCTGGAGCTTTAAATACCTGTGTGTGAGGAGGAGGAGGTGGGGGGACCTCCATCTGCGAGAGCAATCGAGATGAAATTTCCAAGATGTGTTCGAGAAAAGAAAAAGGGAACATTGCTTTCCTGGTGGGTTTCTGCAGCTGGGATTTCATCACGATAAATACATTTAAAAGGTGATGCATTCAAAGCTCACATTATGTTTATATATACGACCATCTGCCCGCCTACTCTGATCTGTAATTGTGGAGTTTTATAATCCATACAGGGGCTCCACAGCTTGATCCACTTCTTATGGAAGCTCCTCAATGCAGGCCGGCAATCCAGGACGAGAAGTGGGTTCCCATCCTGACACAATGAGATGCAGCGCGAGTAAAAGAAGGGGAAACCTAAGCCTGTTTGCAACGTGACAGGAATGTTGGTTTTTCTCCGGGCAAATCCAGCTAATTAATGCCTAAAAGGGTCTAATGCACAGGGATTAAAAAGGAGAGAAATCGCAGGGAGCCTTCGGTTTCAATTCATACCCACATAATGAGAAAAAGAAGTTCTTCACAATCAAACGTCCTCCTACTGTCATACGCATTCAGTGCTTTCTCTCTCTGTGTTCAATGCTCAGTATTTAAACTCCAGAGCCTCTAGAGCTGCGATCAAACCCACTTTCTTGGGTCTATTACCGCTCAAGAAGCCTCTATTCCTCTAAAAAACCTACCTGGACTAAAATACCTGTTTTGACAGGTTCAGAAGTCTCATTGGGAGGTGCAGAAATCACCATGCATTTAACTCAGGTGATAAAACAGAGCTGAAAGAATGATACTGAATGATAAACGGTTTTGGTCGGACTTTAAATCAGCAAAAACAGCCGTAAAAATAATCAACTTCTTCCTCCATCTCTGCCTGACAAAGAGGTTATTCTTATCCACACAAACTCAGCTCAGTAAATGTGACTCCTTCTCTGCTTTATGTGTATAAAGGCTGCAAGTTATCATTAGTCTCAGGCCCTTTGGCAACTGTTGCTATGTCGAATCTGAATTGTGTTACAGTTTCTGTGGATCAGGCAATATAGCCTCAGTAAGAGGAGGTCAGTGACTATAGTGCTCTGTGAAAGGATCCGGCTGTGAAAGCATCTTTTATAATCAAGGTAAAAGATCCCTCTGTGCGCCGGGGGTTATCTTTTGGAGTTTATTATATCAATTATGTTTTTTATTGTCATGTGGACCCGTGTGTTTGAAATAGATTTGGAAAAAATTAACTAACGCAGACGGACACAGAGCAATAATCATGTTTCATTGTTTTGTGTCTTTGGGAAAAGCTACATACAGCTGCTTCCACAAAGTCAGGGAGTCGAGTGTTGCTTGTAGAAAACCTCCAACGCATGTTTTTATAATTTGTTTGTCTATAAGCCATCTGTCGTGTTTTCCTCTTGCTCCTCTGTGTTTGGAGCCGAGAGGGATTTATTAAGTTTTTACATCTTTTTTTGTCTCTACACAAGTTCATTTTGCTGAACCAGTCTCACTAGTTTGTCCATTCTGTGCTACTGTAGAGACATGATGGTAGTTCAAGATGGTGGCCTCGTGGGAGGAAACCTGCTGATTCCTCCCGTTTCTACCAAGTCTGTTTGATCTGACATCTGTAAATTTAACATACTGTAACTTTAAAATCTGTTTATAATTTTAGGACATAGTTTGAAATCCTGAGGATTTCTAATGATTTCCAAATGACAAGCACAGAGTTGACATTTTGAATTAATACTAAGTAACACAGTAAGGGCCTGTTTCCACTGACCGCATTCTTTGCGCATTTTCCCAACAAATCCACACAGTTCAGCGTTTTTAGGGCTGATCTACACAAAAATACCCAAAGGTCAGCTGTTTTTTAAAGGGTTTGATTTTTGTATCCAGAGCTACTGTGTGATTTCTACCCACTGATTTTGACATATAATTTTCTTTGTAAAGTTTGGATAAATAAAAGCAGATTTATGGTCTTGACTAAGACGAGAGACAGTGCTGCAGAACAACTTTTGTGACAAAGCAACAAGCGTGTAATGAAATTTGTCGTTTTTTGAAATGTTATGAAATTTCCTAAAGTCCAGGTTGTGAATGCTACTAGTGCAAAAAAATGCCATCAGTGGACACAGGCCCTTGTGCTTTTCTTTTTTTTTAGTTTTTCTCTCTTTCAAATTTTTGAATATTAATCTCCATCTTCATGATTACATTTTCATTAATAACTGTATAAAAATGACCGTATCAGGTTTGTGGAACAGCCATAAACACCTCTGAGCACATTTTCCCCGCACAGCCTCCTTTGAGTGTCTTAAATTATGCTTTTTAAGGAAACACATTCTGGGTGCTAACAGTGGACGTGTCAGCATCGACGCTCACATGCTCGCTGTCAGCCTCCGTTCCATCAACTCCACATGAGCACAGGTAGGAGAAAAACCTCCTCACTCGCCCCCCTTGCTTTATAGAGTCACTGAAGCCCAGACTACAGCCTGGGCGGTCACTCCCTTCATGTAACTTCACCTAAGCCCATTAGCTTGACATTTAACCCTCCGGCCAAAGAGCAGGTTTGCTCTCTGTTGATGCAGCAGCAGTTTTCAGCAGCTATCTAAAGTGTCTTATAAAGAGGTCCCCCCAGTAAACAAAGGCACAGTAATGAACGGCACAAGCTGGTCCTGCAGAGAGGATAACAGCAGATCGATAAGGTCAATGGAGTCTGAGGAAAACTCTGAGCCTGTCTGATCAATCCACCTTTGAAGCACCTGAGACACTCTTTAACTCTCAATGATTTTCTCAGACTCCCTGAGCGTGTGTGTGTGTGTGTGTGTGTGTATGTGTGTGTGTGTCTGTGTGTCGTGCTCAGGGGGACCCATCTCCAATAATGAACTAAAGGAATCCTGATTCACCGAGAGAAAGTCACAACATCAGCAGTCCGTGTACGTTTAAGAGCAGAATTACAGGGCTCGAAATTGACTTTTTTTACTTGGCCACACTGGCACTCACGATTTCTGACACTTAGGAGAACCGGAAAATATGACAGGGAAACACACATGGGCTTTTTCTGATGAGGTTCAAAGTTATAAAATATGAACTTCTTTCTTTTTTTGCATGTGCACTGACTTACAGGTTGTCCACAGACTTATTGTCTATGATACAAAATCTATACATCTCCAAAAGTGGTGAGGGAACAGTTTTTGGGCGGGGTTTAAGCCCTTCGCTTTCATCTATCATCTCCTCCGATACAGATACTACACACTGGCTGGTTCAGGCTCAGTTGGACAAAGCCTCTAAGGTCCATCTCTGCACATTCTCTGCAAGCTTGCAGCTACACAGACCAAAAGCTGCAGTACCATCATATACCATAGGGGGCAGTGTTGCAAATAGATAGCATGGAGTATGAGGGCTGAAACAAAAACGACTGGATCTTTTCAGACGCAAGGGTAGTATGAATAAATGTCTCCTTCTGCTTCTTCGTTTTCCCCACAAGGGTGGCAGGCAGTAAAAGAACCACTAACACCCCCTGCTAATTATTATTAGAGTATTATTAGAGTATTTCCTTTGTGTTATTGTGCTTATTTTTTTTTTGCACAATTATTAGGCATGCAACGAAAATTTTCAGTGCAAAAGTGCATATTCGGTTTTTGGGCAGACGCAAACGAAAAACCTATTTCAATATATCTGAGAACCACAGATAGCAATTAGCATAGGGTGTAATGCTAATAATAATATTTCCAAATATCCAAATCGTCAATGTAAATTTGAGAAGAACACGGCACATAACAGTAAAAATCCCTCCCACTCAAGGGCGCCATCTAAAGTTGTAAACAACACAGAACATCCAACAACAAACACAGACTCAAAAACTCGAAACTCAAGTGAATATTAATTTAATATCTTATATTGATTGATATTCATTTAATATAAATATATAAAATCACAATGCCTTGATTTTAGTGAGGTTAGTACACAGAAATAGCCATAAATGCAAAGGTTTTAATAATTGGTACAATAATTTCTTTCTGTGTTTTGGTTTTCGGCTTTGGTTCCCTCATTTTCAGTTTTTGGTTTCAGTCAAGAATTTCCATTTCGGTGCATCACTTACGAATATCAATACATTCTGGTACAGCTAGTGACAAAGTATGAAATACACTCTCTCAGATAGACATCAAAGATACATCACGTGTGTTAATATTAAAGAATTACAAATTACAGCCATTAAAACATTCGCCTTTCACATGCTGTTCCCTTAGATACTCTGAAATTACCGTCTTATTTTAGGGCCTAAAGAAAACCACCTCCTTTAAAATGACAAATAGCTCAGTAGAAAGACACTATAATCAGCCGAACATCTTCAGAGCTGTCCACGGCAATCAGAGAGATGAAGGAGAGTGGTTATGCAAAAGATGAAAGCAGGGGAGCGGAGGGGGCAGGAGGTGAGATGGTTAGTAATGTGATGGAGCCATGTCAGCTCTCTGAGGTAACCAGGCACAGCTACGGTGGCTGGCTGGTGTCTTAATTAGGCTGAATGACTCCTTCAAAAACTCATTAATGCAGCCACTCAGCATGACCCCCGCTGGGCCTCCTGCGGTTTAGATCCACCATGTGAGACCGCCTTGATCTGTTGGTTTTTATGCTCTTTTCTCCGCTCGGTTCAGACGGCGGACGATAAGTAAAACCTACAGATACATTTGAGGTAGTGGACCGCAGAGGAGAAGTGGAGGAGGCTGGGGATCTGATAAGCCTGATAAAAATGAAAGCCAAGTCTGAACTTTAAGTAGTACTTCCTTGGTTTTAATAAGAAGACAACAGCCCCAAAATTAACAAGAGAAAGCAGCGACAGGTGGAAACAGATGAGACTATAGCTCCGGAGAAGATAGATCAGGAATAACAACCCTGTCCAGAAAGTGATAAATTGCAAAAACAAGCTGAACCTGAAGGAATTTTTTTTACAGCTCATTATAACCGAGCGCACAGACAGACTGTGCCTCCCTGCACTCCATTTATTCTCCCTCATGACATAACTGTTGTTTTAATCATTCGGGTCTTCTTGTGTTCATTACACCGTGACTCAACCATTAAATGAAAGAAAGCTGCAATCTAAGAATCTAACGGGGGGAAAATGTCAGATAATACAAGAAGATTCAAGAAGCGTTAAATGTGAAAACCTCCAGTTATGTAAACTTGAAGATTTTTTGTTGGTTACGTAATAGTTTCAGCTTGTTGATACTTTGACTAATACTGTGGCTACATTCAGTATGAAGCCTCCTCTGCATGTTTCCAGTTTTACTTATTCAGTGAGAGTTTATCACGCTGGGATTAACTGATAATTAAAAATATACAGAAGCTGATGAGCAGCAGCACAATGAGGATCTTATTACAATGCCTACTGTACCTCTTCACACCTTCAAAGTGCGAATAATCAACAGCTGAAACTCAGGAACTTACATATGCAATGTTCTCTCATCTTTTCCTACACCTGTGCCTGCACATGAGAGAGAAAACTAACGGATGAAAAACTTTATACATAAATATTCAAAAAGTATAAAAGTTTCCTTCATTTGAGGTCTTTCTGATAATAAACATGAGCAGCGAGTTTAAAGTTTCTATCGTCTTGGTAGGTTAGTTTTTGGATACAGTTGCGGGGTGCTCGCCTGTTTTCTTTGTCCTTTACAGATTTGATTTATGAGACGGCGGTCTGCTGCTCTGTTTCCAGGATGAATATAAACGGTTAAGTCGAGCTTTCTTTGTGACTTTGATTCTAATTGAATTGCTCCTCATCTCAGGAAACCATGACAACAACAACGACGCTGCTGCTGCCGGCGTTGTTTTCACCTGAGATCAACTGGTCGCCCTGAGGTTTTGACTGGCCATTTTTTTTCTCCTGAGAAGATAAAGACCGAGGAGAAGAGGGAGCACAGCCGTTAAAAGAGGTGAAATAAACCAAGACTCAAAACAGTTTAAACTTGGAACAATTAGCTGAATCAAGAAAAGACTCGGCAGGGGAGCGGCGTCATCCATTTCTCATGAGACTGTCTCTTTAAACAGCTGGTTTTCTATGCTTCTATTATGACGATTCGACTGTTTTGCAGTCACGCTAGTTAATTTTTAATTTTGTAGAGCATGCTTTTATTTTGAAATGAGGTATATGCCGATGTTTCTTATAGGGATGGGTTCGGATACTGACAAATTCATGGATCGGAAATGTCTGATCCAACCTGCAAAAATTTCCGATCCACAAGCCATGTTTTTGCTTTAACTTTGTCTGCTGAAAGGACTGTACATGTGATTCTTGTCGGTCAGTCTGCTAGCTGGCTGTAAGCTGTGCAACAGATCATACGTCCATATACTTGCCTGTAGAGAGGAGTTTATTACAGCCTCATATAAAATAAACAATAATGATAATATTGATGGTAAAGCTAACAGACCTCTGATATCGGAATAGTATCGGTATCGGCAGATATCCAAATTCAGGAATCGAGATCGGTTCAGATGTGAAAAAATGTGGATCAGTGCATCCCTGATTTTGGTTTCTGCAGCTCTCGTTGCTCCTGCATCTTAATTTTGACAACCAGCATGAAGAACCACGAGCGCCCCCTACGATGAACCCATAAGTCATGTGACATTAGCATATACTCATTTTTCGCTGCACACTGAAGTAGAACTGTGTCAATGAGACTAAAGGATTTTCCTCCATCAGTCAGGAGATATGAGTGAAGTTATAACAACAAATCAGATGATTACACAAAAGAGGGACACACTGGTATATGATAATGTTTTATAGCCTCAGTTTGATTTGCTGTTGCTCATAAATGGAGGTATTAGGTATATCTACGGCTTCTCAAGCTCACGTCCGAGAGTTTTCCTTCATCGCTGTAATGTTGGCAGCAAAATTGGCCGACAGAGAAAAACTCTACCCCGTACTGAGCGCAAGATTAAAAGTGTGATGATTCTCGAGCGAGCTCTGGTTTTGCTAGCAGCATCTTTTTTAAACATTAATTTAGAGATAATGATATCCCAGGGAAGTACAAGTCAGACTGGTTGGAGTAAAGACTCCTAGGAGAACAAATTTTGACTCAAATTGGAGCAAGTGAGTCCAGATGGTTTTTAAATAGGGTGTCACAGGCACTGATGGTCCTCTGACTGTGTCGTTAACCCGAGTAATCAGTGTCCCAAATGATGAGGACTAACTCTCTGCTTTACACATCCACTCACACTTCTCTCTTTAAGTTCAGCAGCAGCTCTTCCTCTACAGCTCCCCCCCTCATGAGGAGCCTCCCCTCACAGTGTGAAACCTCCAGAGTCAAATCTCCACATTAGCCTCTGGATGCTGTTTAATTTAGAGATGAGTTCACACAGTCGGCAGACCCAACCAGACTTCAGACAGACAGACATACAGAGATTTGGAGGCACCAACCACAGCTAATGGTCAGCAAACATTTGGAGCTTCTGACATCAGGAAAAAAAAGCACCAAAACAAGCAGAAGGATCTCAAAGAGAGAGAAAAGGAGAGGTGGAGGTGGAACAGATGGCTGGATTAGAGATTTTCAATCAGTCAAGACTTAAAAAACTCTCAGGGACTTAGAAGTGAACAGTTCACAGTGGGATGTTAAACATATTTGGCAGTTTTTGCTAATTTGAACAGTAATTGATTCTCTCCACGTATTGACAAGGAGGGAAATTTTTTGGAACTGTGGGGGAGGATCAGGGTTTTGTCCTAGATTAATCCCTATATATCAGAACTGCCAAGCGTCGAGCTTTCAGTGTGACAGTCACGCAATTTGACCCATTCTCAAACCACACGCCACACTTGACATTTCTCACGCTTATATTTCCCCATTCTCTGATTGACTGACCGAGATAACCAATCCCAGACTAATCCATCAGTCCTTCATGCCTAAATCTAACCAACCACAGAAGGTACCACGTAATATAAATCAGAAGCAACGTAAGCCAGGTCTTGTCATCTCTATCTATCTTTCCCTTGCAACAGCGCCAATATTTAAAACCCTCTTTCTGATTTCTGGTTGATTAAGTCTAGCATTAGGAGGCCATGGTGCAGGGAGAGCAGCTGGCATGGAGGTGAGGACATCAGTCTTAAAGTTTAAATCAACATTAAAAAAGGCAAATTTTTTACGGTGGCCAAACACATCATAACACTGAAGTCTCACTCTTGTCACTGTGAAACTTGGCAGCCTTGATATGTATATAAATTTATATGCTCATCAGCATCTTTATTAGATACACCTATTCAATATTTGTTAACACAAAACTGCTAATCAGCCAATCACATGGCAATAACTCAATGCATTTAAGCATGGAGACGACTTTCTGGAGCTCAAATCGAGCATCAGAGCAGAGAAGAAAGAACAAGGGTTCAAGTGACTTTGGTTAGGGTTAGTATTTTAGACACTGATGATCCACTGGATCCATTCTGCCTTGTATCAACAGTTTAGGCTGCTGCTGGTGGTGGTCTAATGGCGTGGGAGGTATTTTCTTGGTACACTTTGGGCCCCTTTGTATTAATACAGCATGAATAAAACTAGGGGTGTCTGGATACAACTGTTTTACTTGTAGCCTTCAATATTGACCGATACCGATATTGATCCAATATTGGCACAAACTTGTGTATGGCCAGACATCACTCTTACTCCTTGCTACTTTGTTAGTACCTTGGAACACACTGTTGTTGTGATTTTTTGGGCTCAGCTTGCTGGATCAGGGTGCTGCTAGATAGAGGTGCCGGAGTGGAGTATGGAATTGACTGCTTGTATCGGAGTGCTGATATCGGAAATTTTAGATGCAGACCAATATAATCCGATATTCCTTTTTTTGCTGATATCGGACCGATATCCGATATCAATATTGTATTGGATAATTAAAACGAAAGTTACGCATGTAACTACGGTTCTATGAATCCCGAATGACCGCCAGAGGCGGTGCTTTAAGCACTGAATGACTCCCTTCGCGCATGCGCAGTTCGAGTGTTTATACCAACAACGTCACTTGTGACCCCGTGGTGACCTGGAAGAGGTTATTTCTTCCATCGGTCAACGAGGGTTCAGTCCCTGCAGAACTTTCTCGCGAAGACGCGAGGATTCTGAGTGACAGAGTGCTCTGGCGGTCATTCGGGATTCATAGAACCGTAGTTACATGCGTAACTTTCGTTCTATTTCATCCCTTCTGACCGCCAGAGGCGGTGCTTTAAGCACTGAATGACTTATACCAGCAAAGTCACGAGGAATCCTGATTGCAAACCTTGAATCAAGGGGACTCCGGGAAGAGGACCACACCCAACGGATGGGGAGTGGCAACGTTCACCCTGTAGAACTTGGAGAACGTGCTTGATGACGCCCACGAGGCAGCCGAGCAGATGTCCTCCAGGGGTACTCCTCTTAGGGCTGCCCATGAGGTGGAGACACTCCTAGTCGAGTGACACCGGACCCCGGGTGGCATGGGGCGGTTATTTGCCTTATAGGCGTGGTTGATTGTGTCCACCACCCAGTGGGACAACCTCTGCTTTGACAGGGCAAGGCCTATACTAGGGCCGCTGTGACACACAAAGAGCTGTTCAGCTCGTCTTACACGTGTGGTGGCTCGAATGTAGGCTCTCAAGGCCCGCACCGGGCACAACAGCCTCAGTTGGTCAGCCCTGTCTCCTGGCGGAGGATCGAACCGGGCCAGTGTGATAGGCCGGTTGATGTTTGCTGCCGATGGCACTTTTGGCAGGAAGTCCATATTGGGCCATAGGGTCATGCCTGACTGGTCTGGGTTCCACCGTAGGCAGGATTCGTTGATTGAGAGGGCATGCAGCTCCCCTACCCGCTTGGCCGATGTAATGGCCAGGAGGAGGGCTGTCTTATAGGACAGCCATTTGAGCTCTGCCCGCTCCAGGGGCTCAAAGGGAGCCTTGCATAGGGTGTCTAAGACTAGATTTAGGTCCCATACTGGAGCTCTCGGGGCTCTCGGGGGGTGCAGCCTCTGGGCCCCCTTCAGAAAGCTGGAGATCAAGCGGTGGCTCCCTATCGTGCTGTTCTCAACCCTCATGTGGTTACAAGATATAGCTGCCACATACACTTTAAGTGTAGAAGGGGACAGGCCTTTAGTTACCAGGCTTTGGAGGAATTCAAGGACTACAGTCACTGGGCAGTGTACTGGGTCCTCAGCTCTGCTTTTGCACCAGCTGGAAAACAGCTTCCACCTGTTGGCATACTGGAGCCTGGTGGACGGCGCCCTTGCGTTCAAGATCGTATGTTGTACTGCGTCCGAGCAGCTGCCTAGCAGCGGGTCGGGCCCTTCAGCAGCCAAACACACAGCTGAAGGCGTTGTGGGTTGGGATGCCAGATTCGTCCCCTCAGCTGTGAGAGCAGGTCCCTCCTGTCGGGGAGGCGCCACGGCGTCCCTTGACATAGTTGGTGGAGCAGTGGGAACCACACCCTGCCTGGCCAGAAAGGGGCCACGAGGAGAATGGTGTGACCCTCCTGAGCCACTCTCTGGAGCACCAGGGGAATCAGAGGAAGTGGGGGAAAGGCGTATAGGAGAACCCCTGGCCAGGGGTGGGACAGCGCGTCCTGGCCTAGGGGGCTGGTTGGCTCCGCTAGGGAGAACCACTTCGGGCAGTGGGTCGACACTGCCGAAGCGAACAGATCCACTTCTGCCCTGCCAAAGCGGTTCCAGATCATGGTGACCACGTCTGGGTGGAGGCCCCACTCTCCTGACGGAGGCTTCCGCCGGGAGAGAAAGTCCGCGATGTAATTCTTCTCCCCTGGTATATATACTGCCCGCAGGCTCATCAGGCGGGGGGCGGCCCATGTCAGCAGGTTTGCGGAGACCTGCAGCAGCTGTGCTGACTTGGTCCCTCCCTGGTGGTTTATATGGTAGATTGTTGAGGTATTGTCTGACCTGACCAACACATGCTTGCCTCTCAGGTGAGGCATGAAATGGATAAGAGCCATGTGCACCGCTTTTATTTCGAGCACATTGATATGATTTGCGCGGTCTGCTGGAGACCACTGCCCGCGAGCTGTCCTGCCCTGCCACACCGCACCCCAGCCCGAGAGGGAGGCGTCGGTGGTAACAGTTTCCCTGCGGAATGGAATACACCCCATCGGGACACCCCTCAGGATGTAAGTCCTGTCCCTCCACGGGACTAGGGTGAGGAGGCACTGTCTTGACACGGCAATCTGCCTGTGCCTGTGTCGCTCGGCATCTAGATGGAGGCCGTTTAGCCACCTCTGCAGGGGGCGTAGGGACAGCAAGCCCAGCGGCACAACAGCCGCAACAGATGTTAGCGTGCCCATGAGGCGGAGGAACCTCATGTATGGCAGGAGGCTTCCTCTCCTGAAATCGAACAGAAGCTTCATAATACCATCCACCCGACGGGTGGAAGGACGGGCTGTCATTGAAACCGTGTCTAGGGCTAGACCAATGAATGTTATGCTCTGAGATGGCGTCAGGCAGCTTTTGTCTGTATTTACTTTGATTCCCAGGCGGGCCACGTGGGCTAGAAGCTGTGATGTGTCGTCCGCTGACTGTGCCCGGGATGGTGCGCAGATCAGCCAATCGTCCAGGTAGGGAAGCACCTTCATGCCCTGGGCCTGGAGAGGTTGGAGCGCTGCAGCGGCAAACCTCGTGAAGACCCTCGGGGACAGGGAGAGCCCGAATGGGAGCACCCGGAACTGCCAGTGGCGGTCCTTGTAGGCAAACCGGAGGAACTGCCGGTGTTGCCTGGCAATGGGGACATGGAAATAGGCATCTCTCAAATCCACTGTCGTGAACCACTCGTTTGGGGCCACGGACTGGAGTACAGCTGCCGTGGTCAACATACGGAAGGGTAGGGTCTTTAAGTACCTGTTTAAGCCTCTCAGGTCCAAGATGGGGCGGAATCCGCCGGTCTTTTTCTCTACCAGAAAGTAGGTTGAGTAGAACCCCCTGGGGTGCTGCAGAGGGTCTACTGGTTCGATGGCACCCTTGGCCAGGAGGGTAGACAGCTCCTGGTCCAGGGCGAGGGCCTTTGCCGGGTCGCCAATGATGGTAGTTTTGACCCGGCTGGTTGCAGGGGGCCGGCGTCGGAACTGGAGTTTGTACCCGTGGGTCAAGGTGGTAAGCACCCACGGGTCCACAGCTCGAGCAGCCCAGTAGCTGAGCTGCTGGTGTGTGAAAGTTCCGACGGCCGGCCCCATTGTCTCAGTGTTTGGCCCCTCTGCCCCTAGGGGCCCTGTTGGGGGGTCCAACGGGGTCTGGGGGCCGAAATGGCCTAGACTGCGCACGACCAAAGCCCCGTCCACGGGCTTGCCCCTGCACAAAGCGTGGGTCTCTAAAGTGGGCTGGTGGGGGGTTGCTTCCAGGGGCAGCTGAGTGGGCTCTGCCCCTGGCCCTGCCCCTGCTATGGGGAGGAGCGCGGTGCAGGCTCATCAGCTGCTGTCTAGTCTGTCCAGCCTGGATGGTTTGGTCAAGTGCCTCCTGGGCAGCTGGACCAAAGACCGTTCCTGGCACCACCGGGAGGCCCTGGAGGGTCTTCCTCGCCTTGTCCGTCAGCCGTGACTGGGACAGCCAAACCTGGCGGCGGGCCTGGATTATGATGGACATCATCCTCCCTAACTCCCGAGCCATGAGGCCAAACGCCTCCAGTGACGCGTCACAGAGGGTGGTAGCATCTGCGATTGCATTGTCCTCCTGCAGGGATGATGAAAGCGCCAGCAGGAGGTGCGACAGGGAGTTGCCAATTCTCCCAGCTTTTGCTCCTGTGTTATAGCCCCTAATCAGCAGGTCGTCGGTCAGCCTGCACTGGGGGCGAGGGCACCTGGTGTCCCGGCTCAAGGCCTCATCTGGGGGAACCACCAGAGATGCGACGACTGGCTCAATTGATGGCATGCAGTCCAAGCCAACGTCTGCCGAACCATGCATCGCTGCCAGCGCACGACCGTCGCTGGTTAGACGGGAGCAGGCCTTCGAGTCTGCCCAGCAGACCTGTAGCTCCCTCAAATAGTCCTCTGCATGAGGGACAGAGAATGCATTGGAGGCTGGCTTCCGCCGGAAGAATCTGCTTGTTGGGGCCTGCCCTGTTTGGTCTGGTAAGGCCACCCTTAACTTCTCCAGGGCCATTCTCAGGATGGCCTGCATCGAGTTATCCCCGCTCTCGGACAGCTCAGTCTGGGCTGAGGAGTGGGAGCCTTGATCTGAGGCCTGAGAGGCCCCCTCATAGACCTCCCCTTCCTCGTACTCATGAAAATGGGAGGCTGATGCAGCTAAAGACAGCGCATCCTCCTCTGGCTCTTGGGACTCCTGGGTCAAGTGTGGCATTTCAGGAGTAGGCACCCGAGCTTCCTCTGAAGGACACTCCAGAGGTTGATGGACGAGGAGCATAGCCCTCATACGACCAAGCTCCGCAGACAACTGATCCACCCTAGACGACAGTCGAGAGCGGTTGGTCTTGGGCCTAGCCCTAGGCTTCTTTTAGCAGGTGGGGCGCCTGCACTGGCAGGTGCGTCAGTGCCCCGCTTCGAACGACCAGGTTTCACTGTGGGCGCCTGGCCTGATGGGGGAAGGTTGTCCTGCAGCGGATTCACCTCCGCTAGCCTGGCCAGCTTAGCTGCCATTGGCATGTAGCTGCAGTCCATACAGTGGCTGTTCACCAGGGCCTCCTTGAGGTGCTCAAGGCCCAGACATGATGGACACAAATCGTGTCCATCATCAGGTTGGAGGGGGGCCTGACAGGAAGTACAGCAGTGAGAGACATCCATTGTGACCCCGCCACTAGATGGAGAATTGATCGCTCTTGCTGGAGGGAGGAAGCAGAAACGCTCCTTTATCCGAAAATTAAGACAGCAAGAGTGACTGCCGCTTATGCTGGAGGAAGGAAGCGGAAACGCTCCTTTGCCAGCAATCAGAAATAGAAAGAATAAATCAAATAATAATCACAATAATAGGCTTGAAGCAACTCAGGTCACTGGCAGCGCGAGCTGGGGGGAGGGGGCGTGAGCACCGCCTGCACCAGCGTAGGCTATCGCCAACTATATAATGAAAAGAGATAAAGCCCCTCAGGCAACCAGAGCGTTAATGCTACTGTTAGTGTTAACTAAACTAAAGACAAGGCTATGCAACAAAAACGGGTTAGCCAAGCCCAACCAAACGTCGCTAGGAAACTAGCCAAATCCACTTGGCCAAAAAACGAAAGAGCTATCCTCAAAACTTTTCTGCCCGCTTGGCCGCCGCTGAATGCTTTAGCCGCCGTCGGGGGGCCGTGGCCGCTGCGGCGTTAACAAAAAACGGGCTACCGTAGAGTCGTTTATTAACTGAAAATGCCGACGCGGAACGCGAGCGTTACCGTTCGTTGTATACAGTCGTTATGTCGGAGGGAGGCGGCGAGAGCGCAGCCTTTCACAACAGGTTAAGGTAAATATCTATATATATGTACACTAAATCAATAACCTACCTGTTCCGAAGGAGAGGGGAACGAGTCCCATCCTCACCGGTGAATGACGGACGCCGCGGCGTCCGATGAGATGAGAACTCCGCTCAGTAGGAGATCCCAATTAATATGGATTAGACAAGTTACAGCTCCTGGAGGGCGAGCATTCGCTACTCCGACCGAAACGGCCGCGGAACTACTGGTAACTTACTCGTTTAAAAGTGAGGTAGGTTTTGAAATATTGTAGCTCGCTCTTTTGCATCCTGCGCGAGCGAGAAAGAATAAGGGACTGAACCCTCGTTGACCGATGGAAGAAATAACCTCTTCCAGGTCACCACGGGGTCACAAGTGACGTTGTTGGTATAAACACTCGAACTGCGCATGCGCGAAGGGAGTCATTCAGTGCTTAAAGCACCGCCTCTGGCGGTCAGAAGGGATGAAATAGAACTAATTAATACTCTACAGCCTTCCTGGCTGTTGTTGCTGACCGTGTCCATCCCTTTATTCCCATCTTCTGATCGCCGGTCGTCAAATCATCTCAAACATCACTGACTAAATCTTGTTTTATGAGCAAACCCAACAAATCCAAAAAAGTTAATTGAAATTTTTCATTAATCATCAGTAAATATTATCGTTGGTTCCTCTGCATTAAACCCTGAATATTCTCTGACCGTGTCTTCATCCTCCTCGGATATTTCCCGCTCTCTCACTCTGCACTGATGTCTAATGTGTGTGTGTGTGTGTGTGTGTGTGTGTGTGTGTGTGTGTGTGTGTGTGCTGCTGAAACACTCGAAACGTGCACACAGAATTCCTTCTCTGCTCCAACAACTCTGTCTGTCTCTTTCTTCACCTTCCTCGTGGAAAGTGCAACATTGGCTGTGACACATCGACCGGCCTCTCAGCAGGTCAGCGTCCGGCTTCAATACAACCACATCACAACACGTCAATTCTTCGACGGGATACACTTTCTACCATTTGTGCCCAAAGGTCATGGCTATCTCTCCGCTGTGGACCGCTCAGATCAGATGACAGCCGCACAGATGTGAGCACCGACATTTTGGTGCAGAAACAGCCTCTGAAGCCTCCAAAAGGTCTGCCTGGCTCGCTGTTTGCCATCCGCTCATACAGCTTAACCACATCTGTGTTTGCCTGCGCGTTTGTGTGTTTATCATCAGGGCCATGTGATGAGCAGTGATAGGCACTCATCAGTCAAGCGGCCAGGCGCCGTAGCAGCAGACTGGGGGATTTTCTTCTCACTGATGCACAATATTGGACTTGAGTTAATCAATCTGTCAGTTCTCCTGCTCGACTTCACACGTGATGAGAGCGAAGATGGTCTGGATTTATTGAGTGAAGAAGGGCTTTCACTGATGGAGGGGATCTATCCAGGCTGAATGCTCCAGTAGATTTAGAAGCAGGCAGAGACGCCGAAGTGGGAAAATAACATCACACACCACATCAGGGCTGCTACACTAGTAGAAACGATCCATAGCTGTCCTTGGTTTAAAAATAATCTGATTACATGGAAACACAGGGGTGCTGTTTAAAGGTAGGAATCTCCTGATGACTCCTGATCTCCCTCTTCTTCTTCTAGGTTTTAAAAGTGGCCCACGCATCTCTTCGCTACCCAACATCCCGCTGTTTTCCTCTGGCATTGTGCAGCTGTCAACTTCCTAAACCAATTAAATTCTGCTTGTTAACCTCCCATCAATCTCCTCATGTCATTAGCACCACCACTGGTGGTCAAAAAGTGGCGAAACGGTGAGTCAAAATTTGCAGGAAAATCCAATTAGAGGACCAACTTTGATGAAACAGAGCTCCAAATTGCGATTTTTGTGCGTGCAGAACCTTCTATGAAACGTTCAATGACCCGGGTTTGATCAGTAACGTAGAGTTTTTCAAGCAGACTAAACTATAAGACAGGTACACAGATGTTTTTCTCTATCTTTATCCAACTCCAACAATGTCTAAAGAAGAAGAGAAGTAAAGCATCTTGACCCAGTCTGTCTATCACGTCTCTTTCTGCTGCACCGTTGGAGTAAAACACGCTTTGTTTATTTATTCAACACTAAGCGTCCTCACGTCTCTGGTGCAGCATGTTGGCTTAAGAACGCTTCTGATGTGAGTAAAAATGATAAACAGACACTGATTTATTCTTGTTTCAACCATAGACTGTAAATAGAATGGACGCCGTCTGCCTACTCGCTGGGGGAAGCCACCCTGAGAACAGCACCCTCTGGTGACTGGCTGCAGTATAGGTCTTCGTCCAGCAATCCCTATGCAGCTATCGACTAACTTTAGAAATTAATTACATAGAATATACATTTTTCCCCCCCTGGTCGTGATGTTGACATGTAGTTACTGTAAGACTGGTTTGTGCTCAAGTCCTCCTTTTTTCTGTACAGCTCTGTTTTTAAAAGTTATTGGGGGGTTCATGTTTTCCATGATTGACACTTGATACAGCCTATAGGCGAACTAAGTTTGCGTAGCTCACCGGGGGGATACGCTGTTTGAGCCGAGCGTCATCACAGCAACTCTCCCGACGAATGCGTACAACGCAACTGCCCGAGTGGTGAAATGCGTACAACGCTGTTCCAGGAAGTGGAGAAAATCCTGGAAATACCGAGAGCAATTCGGCTTAAAATTCGTAAAATGGTGGAAGGCGGAGCCAAGCTGTCCACAGTATATACAGTCTATGGTTTCAACGTTTTATCCCATCCCTGGTCTTGATCACAGATTTGGAACAATAGATTCACCTTTTTGTGATATTCAACATAACATGAATTATTATTCATCATCTCATTCATAGTTTTGTTTCCTTCTCAGCCAGTGTCAGTTTCTTTGTGAGGCAATTAGAAGTTATACAACAGTATTAAAGACGCACATTTAAACTCTTTGTTCAGAGAGTTTTCAAATTCTGGTTTGAGTACAAATTAATTATCTGATCGAGACAAAATGAGTCAGAAACTATTTGTACAATGAGTCATTTGTTTAAAAACAGCGTCAGTAATCCTCTCACTCCTTTTAAGTGTAAAAATGACGAATATTTGAGGATTAAATAACTGAATATGTGGGTTATTTTGTTGTGCTGAATATGACTGATTGAATAAGTCCTCGAGTCTGACAAAATGTGGCATCTCTGCAGCATGGCTAAGCTTCAGTCTGTTTGTTTCTCTTTGTACTTCAGAAAAATGTATCTTTTAATCAAGAATATAACCTTCAACTGACAACTCAGATACTGATTATTTACAGCCCTGATGCAGATCACTGAGACTGGAGATTTATTACTCAGTCTGCAGCATCAGGGACCAGTGCCAACTGTGATCCTCATGGTGCACACACAGACACACCCCGACTTTCACTTTTCATTCCATAAAAATGAGACTGTTGTAGCTTCCAGAAGCTGCTGTGTTGTTTTTCATTTATTGCAATTTTTTTTAATTATTCCTAATTTGCTCTAGCTAGTGTTTGGACAAAATTAAAGCAGCAGAGACCACATGCAATTTTTTTTATGGGACCTTTTTGTTGCTTTTGCTCCAGATCTTTGGAAACAGCAGTCATTCCCATCAGACCGCTTCTCATTTCCAGTCAAAAAACAGGATTTTTTCATATTCACAATAACTCTAAATCAGTGAATCTTCATTTTTGGCATAAAAGCTTGCAACAGCAGATACCTAGCCGCTGCAATGTCATGATGTTCTTTTGTTCATTTCTATATAAAATTACAAAAGGGGAAAAATATGATTTTGAGCATAAAAATCCAAGTACTATGGTTAGTACTAGAGATATTCCAATTCCTATTTTTCCCTCTTGATAATGATTCTGATACTTGTGCTGTGGGTGTCAGCCAACACCGAGTACTGATCCGTTACCAGTATGTTATAAAAACAAATATCATACCAGGCCTGCATGACTGTGATATGATTATCACTGTGGTGAGGTCTGGTTCAGGTTAGTAAAACACAAATAAATACAGAGAATTCAAGCCGTTTATTTTTAAATAGAACAGTATAAAACACAGCAAATGCAATTTAGTTGTCGACATGACGCTAGTGCTAATTAGCTGCTACTTAGCTTAGGTCCGAGCCTCGTCAACTGTGTCAACAGGCTCTGGCTCTGACGTTGTGTATCTGTCACGTGATGCATGCCGGTTTAGATCGGTGAAAAAGAACTGTGTCAGAGCTAACGTAAATAACCAGTAAATAAATTACCCTAATCTAATAAATTACGTGGTATCGGATCAGTGCCTGGACTCCAGTACTTGCCGATAAAGATGCCAGCATCTTTGGCAGTATCGGAGCAATTTCCGATACTGGTATCGGAATCAGAACAACTCTAGTTAATACTTCAAGATCCCCCATGATGCAAACTACTTAAATCTTTCATTAAACTCTTGCTGTCTGGTAACCAGAGTCTTTTAACACTGTAACTCTGGCTATCTGAGATATTTAAGGCAGCTTCCAGCCCAGAAAACATCAAGTTCTCAGGATCAAAAAGATGCTTCAGACTCTCAGCAGACTTAGAGGCATTTTTTTACAATCATGATTCTCTTAAGACCCTTTATAAAAACGGACTTTCAGGATCTTGTGACCCACTATACCTGAATTATTTATATTCATGTTAAAGGCAGAGAGCATCAATTTTTCCTGGTGTCTCATCTCTGACAATGATATTATTGCCACAGAAGAAAATACAAAACAATGGGATAGGACACACTGAGACAGAACAGTATAATATAATACCGCACACTTTTATTGTCCTCTGTTTACATGTCAATAAAACAAACTTTATTTCACAGTAAGTGTCATCCAAACGAAGCTGGTCTAGATCTGACTCTGTTCACTAAGACCCAGTGTAAATATGGGATCAGACTGAGCCCTACATCCAGATGGACCAGACCCACTCCCATCCCATCTTTGCAGCATTTAGCAAGTTACAGTGGAGAGGAAGAACTTCCTTTAACAGGCAGAAACCTCGAGCAGAACCAGACTGATGTTACACAGTCATCTGCTGAAACTGACCTGGGTTTAGAGAGGGGACTGGAATGCTGCACATATTCAAACAGGGAAACACTTGCCAAAGGAAAATCACGAGTCTGCACAATGGTTAGTAGGGGGATCGACTCTGCAACTCCCTCATAAAGACCCAAAAAGGAAAATGACAATCTTTGCTACTACATAACACCACATATTGTAACTCGTCCCCTTCTGTGAGAGCTGACTTGAACATATCCATCCATCACAGGTCACTTGCTTGCTGTGTTCCATCTCCTCTTGTAAATGACAGAAATAATACACAGCTTCATGCTCCTGTGACTCACTTCACAACCATTAAAGAAATGTTGCAGCAATTTGTCAAAGCACTGCCTCTACAGCCGTACGACTCAAAGTTTCTGCATGCACAGTCACATGGGTCAGAATGTACACATTGTGTTTGCATGTATAAAATGCTGCACTTTGTAAAAAATGATTCCTTTCTGAAAGGAATGATTGTCCTCCACAGAGTCATCATTTCATTTCAAAAGCACAATTATTTTGTCTTGCTGGTGGCTTCCTCATTTTGGAGGAAACATCTTCAAAGGCTCAGATCTAAAAATGTTTAAGGTCATTACCAGACCGACGTCTTCTGTCCAAGCATTACCGGGCTTTTTATCTCAGAGCGACGTATAAACACACGGCAGCGGCGGCAGCAGCCCGACTTAGGGTAAGAACATAAAACAGTCCAGGACCTTTTTTCTTCTGTTCATCATGTTGAACTTTTCCAGAAGAACAGTTTAAAAAAGCAAAGCCGACACATAAACCTGCAGACCTGAAAGGATCATGAATGAGTAATATCACAATCAGCACACTACAAACATGAGAATGACTTAATATCGCCGATGCTGAGGTTGAAATATCAGCAGTGTGGAAATATTCTGCACTAGAAAGACACCATTTTTGTGGATCTCAAACAGCAGAGCGTTTAAAACAGGCCGTCCAAGATATACTGAATATTATGATCACACAAATTTGGATTATTATTTGGATCATCTATGCGAGTTTTACAAGAAAACCAGCCAAGCTAAGTTAAGTGAAACAAGTTAAAAGCTCCTGTGAGCAACTTTAACTTTGAGTTTATTTTGGCGCCCCCTGTGGACAAAGCAGACTTCGCTTATTTTGTCCTTAGTGCTTACAAAAAAATTACATCCTGCTTACAGTCACATTGATCATTTATCTTACAAATTTGATGTGAAAATTGTAAAAACTGTGCAGTCTCTGGATGCTCAGCTGGCGTCTCTCCCCTCACACCAGCGTCAGGCTTGAAAAGCTACAATTAAGAAATGGTAAATGTTGTTGCTGATGGAGTATACAATAAAAATGCATCAATATGAATTTCATGCCAAAAAACTCCTAACTGGAGCTTTAAGTAGCTTGTGAAATGAAACAAACAGCATGCAGCTCCATGAGCAAAGGCAAGTATTGGATCAGGGTTCAGTATTTGGCCAATATTCAGGCTGATCAAAACTTGCCCAGTATTTTAAAATACCTCAACATTTACACAGTTTGTATTGACATTATCCTACGTGTTATAATCAAATCAACTTTGTTAGTTTGGGGGGTTTCAAGTGCTTCTAAGATTGCGTTCTACAACCCTGCAAAACCTCACAGCTTTATATTTGATGATAAGAACTTGCAGCCTTTCTTTTTTTCAATTCTGCAGGTCTGGAAAGTAAACAAGCAAACTAATTAGTTAAATAATGGAGACATAAATCAACTGAAAAATCATCAATGAACGTGATCGATAGCTGCGGCCCTTCTGCGCCCTCATTACTTTCTTCACACTAGAAACCTCAAACTAATGACCGTGGTTTTAAAACACTCAGCTAAGTCATGGTGAAGGTTGGCAACAATAACAGCCTCCTCCTCACCCATTACTCATTATCATCATCATCATCATCAGTGGTGTGTGTGAGAAAACAGGCAGATATGAGACTGGTAAAACCTAATACCTCCACTGTTAGAAAGACTCTTATACCAGTGTCTCCACAAGAATGACTGGTATCACACTTAATTGCTCATCTGCACCATTATTATAGAGTTCCGACAGTCCTTCAGTCTGCATATAAATTTATATATTCCTCACAGGAGCTGTAAAAGTGTAAACTCCTGCGTTTAAAAATCGTCTCACTCGCACTCGCCCAGAGAGGTTTGTTAATCATGTGGCATCATCGCGAACAACCTGAGGCTTTTACAGTCTGTCCCCAGTCTCCAGTTTACAGCCCTACTATAACAACAAGACAAGAGCGGAGTGGATGCTGCCTCTATAGTAAAACCGTCCAAATCTGCACTCTACACTCTGCCTTTCAGCACATCATGCCAAGAATGAGGAGCATCTCTCACACAAGGCACTAAAAGTGGCAATTTACGGGTTAAAAGCAACAATTCCCACCACTCTACATGTGGCAGCTGTATCAGAGCTCAGAGATGTGACAGTACAGTGAAGACATGTCAACCCTGACCTCCATCTGGACATCATCCAACAGCGAGCTGCTGCCAACAGACGCACAAAATTATCTGTTTTTCTCTCTGAGTCAAGACCCAGTGTCATCAGTCAAGGAGCACTGCTATGATACAGAGATTGAAATGCTTTTATTATAGGCCTTATATTATCAATAATAAACTCGATTTTTATCAAAAAGAACAAAAACGAGCCTGTTGTAAGTGTGAGATGCGTTACTCTCCACCCCATCCATCCATCCATGGACCGTGGTGACTCCAGATCAAGTGTCAAATACAGCACTACTACTCCAGACAAATTCACACAAAGAAACACGTCCTTTTTTTTGTTTAAAGGCACGTGACTGGGAGGAAAACCAGCAATACTTGGCACTCACCTGCAAGACACCGTTAGTTCAACTTTGGTGGCAGGTATCGCAGCGGTGAAAGGGTCTGCGTCCCCGATGCACGCCATATTCATTGAGCTGCTTCTTGGTCGATCACGAATCGCCCCGAATCCAGCGCCTTAACGGCGACATGAGAGGAAGAGGGGGAAAGGAGAGAATGGAAGTGGTTAAATGAGAAAGAAGCCTTGCAGCAAAGAGACTACAAGCCGTGTGTTTTCTGGAAGCGCAAAAAGCACCAGAGAGGAAACGCGGACGCGGAGCTGCAGCGCGCCTCTGTGCGCCTCGGTGCTCCGGAGGAGAGAGGACAGAGTGAAGGGGAGGGAAGACACACAAACTGAGTCACACACACACACACACACACACACACACACACACCGACAGGCATACACACAAAGTGGGAGAGTGCAGGATGCATCAGCTTGGAAGGAAAACGGCTTGGAAAAGAAAGCATACAATTTTCTCTTTGGATAATAGTCAAGGGTTCAAAAGTTCAAGATTGTTGTGGTTTCGGTCAAATTCTGGGCTTAGAGCTGTAAAATAAAAATATAGTCCGTAAGTGTTCGTGTACATGACGCCTGGATGTTTATGAAGACAGTAACAAGCCTTATAAATAACATAACCTACAAGTATGGGACCATCATGGACGCTCTTTGGCGCTTAATTTACAGTTGCGCTCACGTGTAACTGAAATAATCGGAAAAAAACAGTTCCTCATAAATTTTTTGCATTAAAGGGAAATATAAGTTGTACAGACAGGGGAAAATACCATATATTTTTATGTACTTTACCTACCTAATTAGCAAAATTAACTGACAATGGTGGACTATGCGGAACGCTGACAGCCAAAAGATTTTATCGCCACCAAACTCAGTATCGCGATACGTACTTTTTTCTTTTGCCGTAACATCTCTAAGATTGTAAGCTCTGATGGTGTTAACGTGCCTTATCAAGTTTTCTTTTTCATACACCCGTGTTGTTTACAGAATACAACATTTGGCTTTTAGACGGGCTTAAATCGGATGAGTAATTTGAAGATCTTGGAATCTCCGAGCATTTGAGAAGCACTTGAACACAGGGGTCGTTACTGGCGGAGATATCAGCGTAAACTCTTCATTCTTTCAAAATTTGACCGAGAAAACTATCACTTTCCACCTCGAGAATTCTTACCTTGGTCTTAAAAGCGGTTTTGAACCCTTTGCAGGTATTGCTAGCCATCTGAGTGAGCAGGTTTTTAAAAGCCAAAAACATTTCAAACGACCCTCCAAGTGTTGTAGGTGTATTCCGCCTAGCTTGTCCGCCATCTTTGTTTTGGTTAAACCGGAAACAGAATCCGAAAAGCGTTTTCGGTTGTTTCTGGGGTTAAATATTTTCCAATTTAATTCATACAGTATAATAAAGGTTTTTTCAAACATTTATTGTCAAAAACCGTTTTAAGACACTAGTGGTGACATTGGTTACTAAAATCAGATTGTTTGTGTATTATTCTCAGACTACATGAATATGAAAAAGAGATTTTTTTTAAGCAAAATGCAAAGATGGTATTTAGTGTATTTTATTAATAATTGGGGTAACTCTTGCAGCTAGCCAATATGTTAATATTTATGGAAGTGTATAGATGGGTTTCTTGTGTACAAACAATACTAGGTGCATGCGCAACCATGGGGCAAAAGCCTGCTTTGGAGTGAACTGATATTAATGAAGATGCCATATTGTTTACAAGTTCTCCCTGACAAAATTGCAATAAAATGTCATTTCGTTGAAAAATCGCTTTCAATTGCATCAAAATCAGAAAAATACTTGCTGAAATATCTATGAAATTTGTGCAGTTTACAGCACAACAGCTCCTTGTTATTTCCTTTCTCCGTTGACTCCGCTAGTAAACAAATAAGAAATGTCCCTCTTTCTTCCCCAAGGCTGCGCGCATATCTGCAATGATATTGTACCGAAACCTGTCTATTGCATTCGATTAAGAAAATAACTGCTCAATTTTTCCAAATTTACAAGACAGTTGTCTCAGATTTACATGAAAATGGCAGGTTTTTTTTTTTGTTGTTGTTGTTGTTTTCCTCAGAACTATAGAATAACCTTTTCATGCACGAAAACATTCTGCCCAGGTTTCCCTGAATTCATTTTTTCTTACGTGAATGCAGTGTGCTTCTGCATGTATTTGCTACACTGGTACAGGATGTAGCAGTTGTATGCAGCTATGCAAACTGTCAATGGTGTCTTTGAGCAAAGCATCACCAAGTCATATTTATCCTCTGGGGAGCACACATTTCTTCAAAAAGTAAATCCAAAATTCAACCAGCTGTCGGCCCAACATAGAAAAAATCTGCACAAAATGCCTTAAAACTGAGAGAGGGCACGAAATTTGAAGTCCAACAAGTGACTCTGACTCTGAACAACACCAACAAGTCTGTCAGTGGTCAATAGGGTGTCAATGAACATACTCATTAATAACTTGGCATCCCTGCCATTCATTAAAATTATGAGATGTAATTCATACATTTAAAAAATCATATTCAGAACCTTTTTGGTGCAATGTCTAACTTTCCTCATTATTTTTTAATTGAGGATCTGTTGTGTTCCAGCAGGTTCGGAGGGGTGAAGGGGCCGTGTGCTGCTACAATTCAATTATCTCCTTTCACAGCAGCAGTTTGGCAATAACTGTGCAAAAAATAGCTCTGTTTTAATTACCTGTTTACACTTACATCATTAGCTCCTCCAATCATGTGGATGAGGTTGAATTACCCAAAGCTTATTTCCCCCAACAATTGTTATTTAAAAAATTATGACCATTAAGAAAGAAAATAACAATGAAAGTGGAAGTTTGGCTCCGCTGCCATCAAAATATTAATTTTCACACAAAGGGGAGCCAACTGAGTTATCTGTGTGGGTGGAGAAAATTAAGATTGGGGGGTGGAGTGTAATTGAAAAGCGTACTTACTTTAATAAACTTAAATAAGTTTAGGAACATTTTTTTAATTTTGAAATAATTGAAAAAGTGCAATATCCCAAAATGAGATGCAAAAGAAATAAAGCTGGCAGGGCACCTACTAAACATAAACAATAAATTATCATGGTTTATTATAATTCTGTTTACCAGTGAGTTTTTCTCACACTGGTATTGTAGAGTGAGCTTCTTTTTAAGAGCTGATAACACGAAGATTGGCCAGAGGAGTCACACTAAAGCAAGATGACAAAGACCACCTGAGCAAGACATGCTAAATCATCCAGCCCAGCATGAAGCTGAAGGCTAAAAATGGGAAAATGTCTGTCAGCTTCATTTAGAGCCAAGGAACAGACCTACAGTTCATTCTGCAGGCCGAACACCTGTGGGATCTAATGAATACAGAGTCAAGGGTTTTCTGTGAGGCTGGTGGAATCCAGTGATTCAGATATCCAGTGTAGTCTCTATGCATTGTTGTAATGTTAAAAAAACAGCCTTTCTGACTCTTTTGGAAAATTAATTCTGCCATATATTGGGTTTACTAACTTAACTTGGAAGTATGCTACTTTTAACTAGCTAGTTTTCACCATGGATTGTATAAAACATGGACATAATTGCAATGATGTCACTCATTTGTTTCTGAAGCAGAGTCTTAAAGCCCAATGTTTGCAGGAAACTTCAGTTTTAAGTACTTCTGCATTGGCTTTATTTCTCAAGACAGGAGGTTGCTGCAATATCAGTAGCAAAGATTTGTCGACTGCCATATTGGAAATGTTTACTCAGTCCGGCCTTCAGTCAACCTGACCTTAGTTCTGTCTAACACCTACGAATTGCCCATCTATCTGTCAGGGCGGCCGCATCCCAAATTTATCAATTCACAGAGAACTTGTCTTAACATATTCAAAGCCAATGAGATGGGGGAAATTCACCTCTGTAAAGTACACAAAATAGACATGAGCTTTTCTGGAAAAACTGTTTGTCGTTGTTGTTGTTAAACACGTTTAATTCAGCTATAGCAATGAATATTCTAACATGTATACCAGCTAGAGCTCCAGGCTGCTGCTTAATGGGTCTCTTGGGCTTTTGCAGCAAGCTTCAAGTAGACACCTCAGGACTCCCCCTACTGGCTTTATTTTTGCCACCTGGTCTACATTCAGTCCTGCCAAAGCTGGTGAAAGATGCCAAAGACAAACTTGTGTTTTGGTCATTGACTTTACAGTGTAGAACTTACCATTGCTGGCTTGTTTCCTGACATCTAGGTTAGAGCTAATTGGTTGACCACCATCTTGGTTCTTTGGGGTCTATGTGGCCATATTTAGACCTTAAGTATTGTGTATAGCTATGGCTGGTACCATTACAAATGCTATGTAACTGAGCTTCACTCAGATAGGGTCATATATTTCATGAAGTTGGTTATTGGAACTATCATCCAATCAAGAAGATGTTCAGTGAGGCAACTAGTAGTTAACCCATTTTCCTGCTGACTTCTGTAAATCTATAAACTTTTAGCAGGCAGTGGAGTCACCCCCTACTGGCCTTTAGAAATAATGCAGGTTCAAGGCTTTGTGTTGGTATCACTTGTCATACTTGATAGTTGGGTCACTTTTGTATAGTTTGTGACCTTTATGGTGGTCTTTAAAGGATCACATTCATTCTCAGTATATTAGCTTTTTAGGCCATCATGTAAAAAATGTCCATGACGGTTAAATTAGATTGTTTTCTCACAATGATTACATTTTTCATTTCATTCTATCTCCAAATGAAAATCGATGATAACCAAATAAAAATGAGCCTCAAATAATCTGTTAATCTGTGTTTCCATCACATGATGTAATGAATTCACTGAACGGGCAAAAAAGTGTGCAAACATCAAGAGGAAACATGAAGACACTTTATAAAGCAAAATAACAATGCACTCAAACCCCCCAATAGCTGAGGTGCTACCATAAGAGTTTTAACAGCCCTTCCTGTCCTGCGTCGGATGTTTTTGTCACGGAGCTACGTGATCGGAAACCACAATCTGTCTGCATATTAGACTTCCAACCATTTTTCTCTGAGTCACTTTTGGGATGAAAGAACTGAATGTGACTTTGACAATTTCTCAGTAATTTTCTGGCGAAAATG